TCGGATTTTTTCTTGCTCCCTCATATTTGTTTTCCATCCCTCTTTGGTGTACTGAAACCTTTTAGAACTACTCTTGGAAGTTTGTCATGTATTGGTTCCAAATAATTTTGACAGACATCTGTAGAGGCCCATAGTGTAATAATAGACATTTTAAATGTGTTTTAAATAAAGTGACTTTAGACCTGAAATTATAAACACCTTTTATCTCTGTGTTACTTGTCTTGCACAAAGTAGAAATGATAGGGGACCTGATTTTTTTATCATTATTATTCATTTGCTCCTTTTTCTTAATGCATGGCCCCGTGTAACCTGTGTTCTTATTTGACCCTAACATTTCCCCGCTGAATAATCTTCTATTATTCATAACACATAGATGTGTGTGTGCGTGTGTGTGTGTATGTGTCTCCCTTAACGTCTCTCTCTCTTTTACACACATACACCAAACACATATGCAGCCTCATTACAACATGCATGCATCAAACTCAAATTCCATTGTTTTTAATCTATAAGAACTCATGCTGCTCATCTTATTTCATTTATAGACTCATTTATTGAACGTTAATGGCACACCATTCCAAGACTGACGGTATTTTCTGATATGGTCATTAAAGAAGTAGATATTCGCCATAAGAAAAGTAACTAGCCTACAATTAAAAGTCCACCAGGGGCTGTCTGCAGTTTGCTGTTGCATACTAAACCAAGTATGATAGAATTTCTGTAAACAGCTCTTAACCCAGTCAGTCCCTGGCCGATGTTTTCCCATACCTTTAACTAGCTTGTGATTTCACTGCTTCATGGGAGTGCATGTAAATTAGCTGGAGAGCTACATTATAGAGACGGTCAACATCGTTTCCAAACCTCTACGTGGCCTGTGTGTGCTCAGTAGATTTAAGCCATATATCCCAAGCCATGGGTTCAATGGTTAAAAACAAAATTGCTTGCTTGTATTGTCTTTCCCTTAAGAGACCAGTCTGTATATGGACATTGTTTTCATTATGAATTCTTCATATGTGTGCATATTAAATGTGTATGTGAGGTTCATTGGCTTTACTTTAAATTTGCTTCAAAATACCAAAGGTTTAATTCATTTTCAGTGTTTGGGTTTGCAAAATATGAACTGACTTCAAAGAAGAACATTCTTTGTTATGCCCCACGGGGGGCTGATTCTTCAATTGGAATCAAGGTTATTATGAGAAATTCTGCTTCATTCTGTTTTTTTTAATGCAGGCTCAGCCTCAAAATGACGGATTGTGTTCCACCATCTGAAGGACATAAATCAGTTAACAATCTCATCTCTGCATTCTCCCTGAAGCTTAAAGGGAACTTTCAGCTTTTGTGATGTCATGGCCAGCGAGTCCATTTGAGCTTCTCCATGCATGTTAGAATGGGAGACACTTTAATTTGGTGAGTTTCCTCTGGGACACAAAAAAGATTAAATTAGAATAATCATTATCAAGCCGGTATTATTAGATTTACTTGTCTGGATTCACATCAGCTCTGTAAAGACATTCTCTCTCAGTAACCTACATGCGGCATCTGCACATTTTTCAAATTCTATTTGACCTTTTTTTTTTAATCCTCTTTAGTATGGTGACTATTCTTACACATAATGCAAGCTCGCGGCTGATGGATGTAGGTTGGAAGCCCATTAGGAAGTGGAAGCTAGAAGAATACACATGCTTAACCTGCAAAAACACTCTGTGTGTTTTGTCACTGTTGCATCAGAGGGATGCAAATCCCTTTGCTCATGTATGATACTTATACTACCCTATAATGCCATGTCTATCACATTTTATACATAATGTTCCTTAATTGTTTTGCATCCCAGGCCTTTTGCATTATTTATGGGTAAAACTTTACTAAAAAAAAACTGTTGTAAACAATCAGATATGCCTGATAACAGCAAGTAGGAGACAACAAAACAATCATTTTAACTCATCGCACAGTGATAAATTCTGTATTTATACTTGGATCAGGCTTTAAAGGGTTAATGAAAGTTGAAATTAGGATCACTTTCTGATTGCTGCTATTAACCTTTTTTTTCTCTTTTTTATAAAGCGCATTTTGATGTTACATACACACTAGGATCCAAATATGACCATCAGTGATGTTTAAATGTTTGACCTTTTGGTCACCCACATAAATGCCATGACCACAGGATGCACATGACCTCTCCCTGAGTCTGCGAGCTCACCACGAACTCAATAAACACCACACTCTAACAAGCTTTAGATGAAAATTCCATGCCAATACGAGTTTTTTTTCTTTTTTTTTAAATGGAAATGACTGAGTACAAACAGAAAACAAAGCTGTGGCTGCATCCTGTTGCTCTTCTGTCAACACGCAGTTCAAACGAGTCCAGTTAATCTCTCAGCATTAATACATAGAAATGCCTTCAAACGGCTTTACACGTGGAGACAGAGACGCCCACCGGGCTCAGCACAAAGAGCAGCTCACTTACATCTGTCCTAAGACCAATCAGTTCTTTAGGTCCAGTTCTTTGTTTCCCCATAACTAAATGAGTCCTCGGGGGGTCACATTTGCAATTTGTTCGAAAGCCCCTGGGCTCTCCCCAAAATGTTTATCGGATCTCCACATAAAGCCATACATGTGTATCAGTACAGACACACGGACAGGACACACTGCAGGTGCACCAGCTGTGCAGGAATCCAAAATCAGGCAAAAAACTCCAACGTTTGTAGCTTGGTTTGAGAAAAAGGTACCAGTGTAGCGGCTATCCACATGTTTATGTTTTTAGCGGTTTTCCAACAGCTCAGAGGTTCATGTAGCAGCAACTTTTCTTCCCACTGCACTTGCATAGATTGCACCTACATTATGATCTGTTTATGGAACTTTGGTTCGAAAAAAAACTATATATTGGCTTTTGGTGTTCACATGATGGTAGGATTTAACTTCAAGCCTACTTTTGGTGAGTTAAGATTATTTTTCTCATCGCTCTGACTGCTACACATACAAACTTTCACAAAAAATAGTGTCTTGTTGCTCGGAAGTTCACACAGCATGTTTTTAACATTTATTTGTGTTGGTCACCTTTTTTTCCACCCTGCTTATCAGCTAAACTGGTGAAAAAAATTGTGTTGTAAGCTTTCATCACGGAGACTATGAAAGATTGTGATTCAATATATTTGCAAGAAATCGCTTCACATTTCTTTTGTGTGTGTGTGTGTGTGTGTGTGTGTCATGTCCCTGATATGTGAAGGTCTTTGAACGCTGATCATTTTCTTTTTACCACTAAGATAACCAGTTGCTGGATCATGCCTTCTCTTTAATGCATATGATTTGGATCAATTATCTCATTTAACCAGAAAAGGCACTTTATAAAAAACAGTCAAGTGTCTAGAGTGATTCTCAATAGGAAAAGATGGTTGTAGCTGGGAAAAAAGAAAAGTTAATTATTTTTGGCTCTATTAAAGCTTTTTCCTCTAAAAGCTATACCACACGCTTACATATTTAACACCAACAAGGAAATCTCATTTAAACAGAGATGAACAACTGTTAATATGTAAAACCTTTATCACTAAACAGAACATGAGACGTCTCAGCTCTCCAACATCTGCCCCTCTGTGTAGAATGGCTTCTTATGGTTTTTGACTAAAAGCTTCAATGTTCTCACTGGTCAGGAACTCTTTCACGTGTACAAATTATTCATGTTTGTTTCTCTCAGGGTATCGATGTGAGGAAACCGGAGTGCATGGTCATTGGAAATTAATGTGAGTTACGTACATAATCCTATTTCTAGCGATTCAGGAAGAAAATGCCCTGTGATGAGATCGAAAAAGAAGCTAACTTAGCTTTTTATGCCTGAAAAGATAAACAACAAAACTGCTGTTGTCATAAGTGGTTCTGTTAGAAAAGTTATTTTTTTCTGTAAAAAGTGTAATAATTTCTGATGTTTGTTCAAATTCATTCTGATTTACCATCATTGCGGAAAATCATAGGAGATGCTGAATTGTTATTAAGGAAATGCCAATAAAAGTCAAGAAATCGATCACATTTGTCCCTGACCTGGTCATTTAAGGAAGCTTTGATTTGCATAATTGTGTGCTTGATTTTTTTTTTATCAAACCACAAATCCCTCTCATATATTTATTGTTTCATTTCATAATTAAGGTTAAATCTTACCTTCTCCCTGACCCCTAACATGTTATTTTTTCTCATTGCACACATAACTAAAGAGAATATTCGGACCATGTCATTATTTCTTTGCCATTCTTACAACTTTGCTTAAGGTAAAATATAAATTTTCTGAGATGTGGGCTGATTTTGACAGAATGTTGTTAAAATGACAAGCATTTAACTGACAATCCGTGCAGTCACAATGGTTTGTTGAGAGAATGAGTTCAATTAGAGGTTACTGCCCAAGAATCCATTATCCATTATCAATACCGCTTATTAAAGATTTTGAAATTTCAGACTGGTGTCTTTCAGGAACTCAAATGTATTTTGGAGAGAACATTTTCATAAATGCATAAAGATGTCGTGAAAGTGAAACACCAAACATGGCTACTACTGACCGGCCACAAGCTGTCTGAAGTGTTTGGAGTTAAAAGATTTCCAGTGCTCAGACCCGAGGTCAAAAACAGGACAGAATTTAGACACAGAAATGTTGAAATTTAGTGAGGTTACTGGATAAATGCTCAAAGCTTAAGTCAAGCTTGACTCACAAATAGATAGAGGGCACCTCTTTATATCGAGATTAAACAAGGTGAAGAATTACGCCTGAAAGTTTTTTTTGTTTTAGTGATAACTAATTTGAAAATGACGAATTAAGCAGAGAGCAGGACATTTGTTTTGTTTTTTTAAGAAATGATGTTGCCATATAATCCCACACACTGATAGGCTAACCTGATAAAAAAAAACATTTTAATTTGCAAAAAGAATTGGCGTTTGAGGTCCAGAGTCATTTTGGACAGAAAGATCTTTGTGTTTTCTCAAGAAATATACTCCAAAGGAATGCGTTCTATGGTTCTGCCGGCTGTCTATATTGGGATGTGCGTCAGTTTGTCTTTGTCGCATCTTTCCTCAGTGTCCGCGGCTTGCTCGGGTCTGTCCCCCCTGCGGTAAAACACGGCCCCCGTCGTGTTCCCGCTGTCCTGGCTTCCTCTGGCGTTGGCGGAGATGCTCAGCTTGGCCTTGGGCAGCTGGCTGTCCCGCCTCTGGTTTCCGGTCTCGTTGCTGGCCATCATGGTCTCCACGGCGGCGCTCATGGCGGTCCAGAGGCCGCGGCCGCGGCAGCGCAGCAGGCGCAGGAAGGCGTCCCTGAAGTCCGCGTTGAACGCGTAAATGACCGGGTTCAGAGACGAGTTGCTCCAGCCGATCCACACGAACACGTCGAAAGTCTTTTCGCTGACGCAGTAAGCCCCCCGCTGCGCCCTGGGGGCCCCCGGCCCGGGACAGAAAGGCAGGGCGCAGTTCAAGACGAAGAACGGCAGCCAGCAGCAGACGAACACGCCAATGATGATGCTGAGAGTTTTCAGCACTTTGGTCTCTTTTCTGATGGAGACTTTCAGCTCGCGGTGCGTCTGGCTGGGGCACTGGGGGTCCGCGTCGACACCGACGTGAGACTGGAATGAATTGGCACCGGTTTCCGTGCACGCGTCCGGAAACAGCTCAGGTACGGAGGAACGGCAGCTCTGCGCGTGCTCCGCCGCTCTCTCCAAGGACGATATCACCCGGATCTGCGTCTGGGCTATCCGGTAGATCCGGGTGTACGTGACGATCATGATAAGAACGGGGATGTAGAAACTTATGAGGGAGGAGGATATGGCGTAAGTGCGGTTCAGGCTGGAGTCACAGCTCCGATCTGGGGTCTCACGTGGCGCGACATTCTCCCCGGTCAGGTCACCCATCTCCGCACGGTGCCAGTCCAGCTGCACGGGAACGAAGGATATGACCACGGAAACAGTCCAGGTGACTCCGATCATCACGAAAGCCACCTTTTTGTTCATGTTCCTCTCGTAGCGGAACGGGCTGGAGATGGCCCAGTACCGGTCCACGCTGATGACGCACAGGTTGAGGATGGAGGCTGTGGAGCACATGATGTCGCAGGCCAGCCAGGTCTTACAGAAGCCCCCGAACGGCCAGAAACCCGCCACCTCAGCCACAGCTTTCCACGGCATCACCAGCACAGCCACCAGGAGATCCGACACGGCCAGCGACACGATGAAGATGTTGGTAACTTTAGCGCGCAAATGGCGGTAGCGGAAAACGGCCGCGCACACGGTGAAGTTCCCGAAAAGCGTCCAAACGATGAGCAGCGCCAGGACGCTGCCCGTTACAGCCCGGTGCGGTGGCGGGTCTCCCTGCCAGCTGCCAGCTTCAACCAGCGCCGAGCCGGTCGTGTTATTCATTGCCGAGATCTGCGCACGGCCACATGTCCGTCCGAACGAGCGATAATCCGCGCCTTTATCAGATAAAGAAGCTTTCTATAACTCGCTCACAGCGGAGTTCCCGTGTCCTGCCCAGGTCCTGCTTATCTGTACTCTTGCTCTGAGCGCGCAGCAGATTTACTGGGGACCGTGCGCACCAGAAGCTGAGTGCGTGCTCCGCAGCTGTCAGAAGCGCAAGGCAGAGAAAAGTTAGTTATTTAGAATTAGCAGAAATGCTGCCAATACATTTGTTTGTTTTTTTAATCTGTTACTTTCTACTAGGTTCTTCCACCTTGTAGATTTTATTGTCGACATTACACGCTGTTCAACACTTAATTTAAATGTTTTTCCATGATGCTGTCTGATTGTTATTTGTCTTTACACTATTTTTTTATTCAACAGTTTTTTGGGATTAAAGAGAAAAACACAATACATAAATAATACCACCATGAATCTTCAACAATAACAAATTAAAAACAAGTACACACATTGTCACATATTCTATACAGTGAAGACAAAATTTTGGACACCCTTAGAGATTTTTAGAGAGTTTTATCCAAAACTCTTATGTCTAAGACTTACAGTTTTTCCACAGTCAATATAAATCTGCTTTAATCAACTTCAAAGCTTTTTGACTACTCAATACACTCATCAGCTATGTGATTCTCTAAGCAGCTGCCAGACTGTTTTGAAAAAGTAATGCTCATTAAGGGGATGAAGTGTTTGGGAAAATAATCAGCATTCATATGTTATCCTGAATTTCTAGTTTTCAAGAAGAAATTAGGTCATGTTCTATCCCTCTACCTGGGAGAAAACATGCTGCATTGGCTTTGCAGCCGTTCTTTATGTTCATACGCTCATTCTTGTTATATATGTCTTTGAATTGAGTCTATTTTGTCCTGCCTGGTTTAGACGGAGACACTCATATCATCCACCTATTTTCCCTGAGCTTCTATTTGCCTCAGGTGTCTTTTCAGAAATGTTTTAAAAGCATGTGCAGACTTTAATGCAAACTACATACTACATACATGTATTAATGGTGAGCTTAATGTCACCCCTAATACATAAGTAGAAAAGCATGGTTCAGACCATCATTGTCTCTTGTCAGCCTGCAGCCATGTGTCAGGAGAAAGGGAAACTGTCTCAGCCCTCCGATTGCTTTTTGCAATGATTAGGTTTTTATTCATGTCCCTCTTAAAATGGCTATATGGGTTCAGTGGAGTTTGAAATACATCATGCATCATTAGGGAATCAAACTTGTATCTTGCCCAGCCTCCAAATATAAAAAATGTTTTTCTACAAACATTGTATTAATGGCATCTAAACTTTGTCTTTGCCGCTCCATAAACTTTCAGATTATTCTGCATTATTTCTTCATTTATCCTAGTGCCTATAGCCAGTTATTCCTATCATTCATCTTGATATATCACCATTAGTCTGTCAGCAGTTTACAGCTTTAAAGTACCATCAATGAATGGGTGCTTCATATTTGACAGGAATCCAACAAAGCAGTCACGCCTTGCACACTGAACCGAGTATACTCCACGCTACAAAGCTCAGAATCCATAGAGGATGTGAATCTGACACTCCTGAGTTGATGCAATGTATTTCTTTATTTATTTTACCTCTGGGTTCACGATAGCTGTCAAGCACTTCATACAGCATCACTTTATTTGGGTCAAGGTTGAAAGGCTCTCAAAGCCTTTTAACTGGGACCAAAATGATAGAGTTTTTGATTCAAGTATGGCCCAAAATAATTCCATAAAAGTTCACAGAGAACAACACTTGGTTGCCCAAAGAGAAGACAGGCATATTTATTCACAAAAATAACAAAAAACTGCTGTTATCGCAAGATAATTTGACAAAAAGACATCTGATTCAATATAATAAAATGTATTTTTAAAGATTGAATACAATTTAAATCTCCTACGTTTAGATTTAGAATTGTTGCATGATTCCTCACACATGTGACCAGAAACTATTCACCTTTGGTGTGAAACAAATTTGTGTTGTACTAAACTAAACTAAAGGTTTCAGATAGTGTATTTACGTTGTTTTCTACCAAAAGTATTTATTTAATCAGATATTCTGTGATATTTCCATTTATTCAAGATCACTTGTTGCAAATAAATTACTACTCCAGTCTCGATTATCGGTTGCGTCTCTGAACGTGTTGGCGTGAATTAATGTATTTAAAGTGAAACGTGGAAAAGCTGTCAATTCTGAAATGTGTATACAGGTCAAGAAAGAAATGTGATGTGAAACTTTCGAAATTTCATCCAAAAGAAACTTTCGGCTAAGCAAGAAAATTATGGTGTCAGTTTCTCAAGTTTCTCAAGGCAGATCTATAAAAAATATCCTAAATTCCAAGTATAACATTTGAGAAAGTGCTAAGTAAGCCATGAATCAGGGATGAGATTTATCCCCATGTTGCCAAAATAGCTGGCTAAACAGCAAGTGTTTTCAGGCCTATAGATTCTTTAAAAACTGTGATGAAGGCTGCTGACACACTACATCAATGCTTCAGTTCAGCTGTACACTGAATAGCTCTCAGATTGTGTTACAATGTTTATGAGACTTATCTTATGATTAATTGTACCTCCTATTTAGGTTTACAACTGCCCCACATCTTTATTAACATGTCTTCAAACAAATCATTGACATGGTTCTGATATATATTTTGTAATACCTTCAGGGTATCACCTTTTTAAATGAATCACAGTTTACATTTATTAACCCAAATTACTTAACTCAAAACGAAATAATTCATCATAACAAGAACTTCTGGTTTTCTTTCCAAACAGGGAGGCAAGAGGTCATGATTGTATAAACGGATTAACACTGTGTCCCCACAACATGAGTAATGCAGGTGCCCTCACAAACACAATCAAAGAAACACTCAAACCCACTCAGGCACGTGGAGGATAAAAGCAGACTTTTTGGCTGGGAACACAACCAGATGGCACAGCTGAGCACCCAGCACCAGTAAGGAACACTGAAAGAGCACTGAAAAGCGATATTTGCTCTTTATTAATGGAAACAGGGTTTTGTTTGAGTACAGATTTAGATGATGGAAACAGAGACAGCGGTCCAGGGCGGAGGGTTGGGTGTTATTAATCAGATTATCTCCATCATTTTTTGAGAGTTTGTGCATTTGCTGATTTAGGACACGCACAGGAATTACATCCATTTGTTGGAATGAAATTGCTTTCACACAGGCATTCATTTCCTGTCTGTTCCCGACTCTCGAGTTAATGGTTGATGCGATAATAACAAAAGAATACAGAAATTAAAACACAGTATGCTTTCTAACTACATGTCTGAAAACTAACAATTGTTATTTGTGGCTTCATTGAACTTATTTTAAAAAAAACAACACTTCAAATGAGCCAAATTCAAATGTGTGAGCCATCACTGTATGCAGCACGGAGCTCCAACCTTCTCTAGAGCTGCATTCAGCCCCAACAGTCCCATCTCCTGCACGTATCCAGTCACTGTCCAGTGCTTTTCTGCAGACACCTTCTCAAACATCTCTGCACACTTCCTGCCGCACAGTTTCTTCAGTGAGAACATTTCCGTGGCACACCTCTCCCTCTCCTTTTGCAGACTCTCCTCCAGTAGCCTCTTGGCACCTTCCTCAGCTGCTTTTTGCTGCTCCGCCTTGATTTTCAGTAGCTTTAACTCCCGCTTGAGGGCCTCTGATTTGCGTTTCTCTGCTCTGAGGTGCTCCATCTGTATGTCCATTTCTCTCTGGTTCTCCAGCCTCTCGCGCCTGAGCATGCTATCCATTTGTTTCTTCTTCTCCTCCTCTTTCCTGCTCAGGTCCTCCAGACTCTGAAAGAGTTTTTCAAACTCCCTCTGCAAAGCGTCTCTCTCCATTTCTTCCCTCTGCCTGATGGCCTGTTCCATCTGGATCTGCTGAAGCTCCCTCTCTCTCTCTCTTCTTTCACTTTCCTCCTTTTCCCTCTGAATCCTCTCCTCAATCAACTGTCTTGTTTTCTGCTCCCGCTCAACCTGCTCCTCCAACATTCTGGAAACCTTGTCAAGCCTCCCCTGAAGAGCCTCCCTTTTCCTCCTCTCCACCTCCCTCAGAATCGTCACCTCTTGAGCCTTTTGCTCCTCCAGCTCTTGCCTGAAGGCCTCTTCACGATCTTTTGCCTCTTTAGTCTCCTTCTCCATCTCCAGCTCCAGTTTCCTTTTCAGCTCCTCCCACTCCATCCGGTTCTTCTGCTCGATCAGTCCCAGCTCCTTCTCGTACCACTCTCTCACGGCCTCCTCCTGCTTCCTCTTCAGCAGCTCGTCCTTTTCGGCCCGCAGCATCCTCTCCTCCCGCAGCTGATGGGCCAGCTCTTCCTCTGCCCTCTGGAGCATTTTGCTGGTGTAGCAGCTCTCTCCGTTGTCCCGCATCATGCCGTCCACCAGGGCCAGCAGCTCGGACACCTGCTCCTTGTTGTTGGGGCTTTGGTTGTCAAACACGCAGTACCTGCCCCCGCATGAGGCTACGAGCTCGGCGAGATCCCGGCACTCGTCTATGAGACGGTGCTTAACGGACGCCCCCTCTTCCAGACGGTCTCCATGGGTGAAGACAACCACGGAGAAGCTCAGAGCGTGGGAGCCCATAGCCTCTTTGATTTGGCACAAAGCGTCCCTCTCGTCCTGAGTGAACCTCCCAATCTGAATTACAATGAGGATAGCGTGCGGCCCCGGGAACAGAAGGCTGACGCTCCTTCTCAGCTCCCTCTGCACCTCCTGGGGGGTCTGATGAGTATCTAACACTCCAGGAGTGTCCAGGATCAGCAGCTGTCGCCCGCGGAATTCCCCGCTGACCCTACGGCTGCGCTGGGCGGCCAAGGCGCTGCTGACTTTCAAGTCCAAGATCTTGCGACCCAAGATGGAGTTGGCGGTGGAGCTCTTCCCGCTGCCCGCCCTCCCCAGCAAAACCAGCCTGAGGACTGTCGAAGAGGAGGGAGAAGTCTTCCTGCCTAAGGTGGGAAAGGAGAGCATGAAGTCCAAAAGACAGAGAGAAAGAGAAAGCCTGGAAGAAAAAAATAATCAAGACTCACCTGCAAAGCCCACTGAAGACTGCTGCCTGGGGGACGACATGTCGTGGCCTCTGCGCTTTTCTCTCCAAACTGGCAACGGAGGAAAATTCTGCTGCATATAGACGTCGTCACTGTGGGCGTGTTCTACTTCGTGACACATAGAGAGCCCTCTGTCCTCTCCCTGTCATCATCACCAGGGATCCAGTATCAATCTGTGGAAAGTGTGGTCCGATAGTCTGTCTCCGAAACATTCAGCCAAGCAGATTTCTGAGAATACCTGCACCAGCAAGATGTCACAATGCATCAATGATCAGTTCTGATCAATGTTGTAGGGGGATTTAGTGTGGAACTTGCATTTAGCTATGATTAAAGTCCAAATAGACTGATAATATTAATCTAAAAAGCAAGGTGATAAGCTACCATGACGGAGGCGCCTCACTCAGCCAGACTCTTTGGTCAACAGTGAGGTCAGGTGGACTTGATAAACACACAGTGGTTGATGCTCCCAGCTACACAATGCCACCAGGACGGATGTTAGTATATCTATATATATTTAAAACAAACATGTCAGCTGAAACAAATAACAGAAATCAGTTGTTTTGTTTCTGCTTTTTTTGGGGATTTGATCAAGTGGAGGCAAAGTTTTGTCAATTTTATGATTATCCAGAGAAGTTACCGAGTTTTCTTTTACCATGTGCATAAACAACTAAACGTTGATACATTGATCAGTGACCATTATCTTAAAAAGTAAACTTTCCATTGAATTTTTCAATCTTCTGGCATCATTGTTCCATGTGATTTGTCACATGTGACCTTCGGAGCACACTTTTTTTCAAATGCCGTCAGTAGAGATGGCTTCAGTGAACCAATTAGGATCTGAAATAATAAGTATAATAATAGAGACGATAATGAACTGCAGGTTGAGCCCATAATATTTAGTTTGTCTCCTTCTAACATTCGACGTGTTTTGTTGAACGGTGTTCCATCACGTCACAGGACCCTTTTCTATCTAATCGGTAGCTCCATATCATTGTGCTCATGTTTAACCCTGCAGCTTGATGTCAGTCAAATTCGAACAGTGAAACAAAAGTTCATTTGTGGGATACTTGCTGTCTCTAATTTGATCTATCTATCTATTTTTCGGATGAGAAAAACTTGAACTCACTTTATCAAGGTAAATTTTCATATTATTTTATGCTGTATTTGTTTAAATCTTTATTCTGTCTGCTGAATTTTCCCATTAACAATCTATTCATTCATGTCTTGTGGGGCACTTTCTAAAGTGGATCATCTGTGGTTGCCGCTCTTCTGCCCTCTAGAGGCTCATTTCCTGAATGAACATGTTTGTGGGAACTGTGCTTTCTACTTGACTGCATTCCTTCAAGCTGTTTGTTGAGTGTTGTTTAAGACACGTGTGTGTTATGCAATCATATGTTAACATACTTACATATACTAAAAAAAGCAGTTTTGTAAATTCTTTGCTCACAATTTTGAATAAACAACCTAAAAACAAACAGACAAAATAGTAGGTGACACTAAATTGTCTTTTTTTTATTATTGAATCATTTAGCAAAATCAATTTTGCTCAATTGCTCCTTTCTATGTATAGCATGTTATTCTTGAAAGATATCCATTAAGGTCCAGATATAGAGTTAAAAATAGGAACTTGTAAACATCCACCCTTCTCTTCAGGTTAAACAATCAAGTTAAACGTCTCGTCTTGACCTCAAACATTCGAACACCATCGTCACGTTCCTCCCACATTTGTTCTTTCCTCAATCGTCCAATGAAAACAGTTTTGACGGTGCTGGTGATCATTCCTGTCTTGTGATTCCTTTGTAGCGTTAGAGGCGGTGCACGCACTGCCACAAACAGAGAGGCATCATCTGGCTGCTTAAAAAGCAAAGTACGAAACGTAATGCCTATAGCTGGATGTCTGGCTGTTAGCTCATCAATTATGGAGAGTCCATGCATGTTCAAGGCCGGGCCTGGATTGTCTTACCGCTCCACTGCTCCTTGACACATGGAAGCGCACCTGACATTAACTAACCGAGAGGGCTTGATGAGTTTCAGCATGAGGGCGTAGTTAACGAATGTTTTTTTTGTCCTGCTGTTGTCAGACAACAGTAAAAAACTGAGAAAAAAAAAGGGAATCCAGACAAACACACTCCCATCTAAACGCAAAGTACTAGAGATATGAAAAAAAAACAGTTTAAGTAGAAACCCCAGCAGTCGCAGGCGCCTCTCTGGCGCCTTTTACTTTCACGCTGAGGTCCAACCGTACTGGAGGACTCGGCTCAAAAGGGGGACAAAAACGGGGACGGTGTCAAGACGCCTTGGCGATGATGAGGATGCTCATGAGGAAGACCATGACGAAGAAGATCCACATGAAAAAGCGGTCCATCACCTTGGCAACCTTCTTCCACTCCGCTACCTTGGCGCATGTGGCCCTCTGCTCTCGGAAGCAGTTGGCGATGTACTGGATGTTCTTCACCACCTGAAAGGAGACGGATGAATTCAATTGGATGACGGGAGAGGCAGATCAGTAAGAAGGAGAAAAGAATAGAGGGGGTATGGTGTCACCTTTTTGTGTTGGAGGCAGGGGCAGCAGCAGGGGCAGGACGGGAGGACCTGATACTTTTCAGATGGGTAGAGGATTTGCTCTTTGAGCCCACCGTTCAGGTACTGGATGTTCGGTGGGTGCATGGGTGCCTGGTAGTCCAGTTCCTCTGTCCCGATGTGATTGTAGCGTTGCGTGGGCTCCTGCTTGGTCTCCGGCCTGGAGGCGTTGTTGTTGTAATGGTGGTGCCTACCGTTGGCGCTGCCGTTCGCGTGGTTTTGTTTTTTGTGCTGCTTGTCGTGATTGCGCACGCCGTGGCCATTGCTGTACCTGTACTGGTCGCTGTCCTGAGGGTAAAAACTGTCATGGAAACGGTCGTCGCGGTAGCAGGCCCCGTCGCTCATGGGCTCCTCTGGATATAGTGGGGTCCGTTCGCTCTCCGGCGTGGTGCAGTTCTCGCCCACTTCATATACGAAAAAGATTTTGGACATGTAGTCGATGATGAGCACCTTGGCCCAGTGCGGGACTGGTTTGGCCTCAGCACCACAGAAATGAATGTTCATTATGAAAATGGTGAGGGATGTGGAAGCTGTGATCATTGTCATGGTGGCTATGTAGTACTTCCCTGGAAGAGCAGAGAGAGAAAAATTACAACCTTACGTTGGCAGTTCATCCCTAATTTGCCCAATATATTGCTGCACAATTACCTCACTATCTGAAAGTCCAGTCAGCCCCGGGGCAGTATTTCAATCAATCATTTCAAGATAACATAGTCCCAAAATAATACTGTTCCTTTTTATAGCTTTAAAGAGGGTTAAAAGTAGCAGGATGTACCCACAGAGATTTCAGCCTTTGGGTTAACACGTGAAGGATTAGGAAGGTCCGGTGATTCAAAATTTAAGAGCTTTATAAATAATGCTGCACTGAACAGCACCCTGGCACTCTCTCAATTTTTCATTTTACTTTATTTTATCAGAAACACTCTGAGATAAAAACAAAAACAAAAAACATATGCACTCAGAAAGAGAAGAGCAAACATCATGCCTCCATCATCATGTTATCATATAAGTAGATAAATAAATAATTGGGGATAATTGTGCTTGTTTGACACTTTCTCCAAATGAATACAAATAAATCCAAAGTGCACAGTATCAAAAAATTCTGAGTTGTCTATCCAAACCTTAAAATTAGTAACTTTGCCCTGAGCTTCTGGCACCTCTGGCATTCTGTAAACAACAACCACTTTGGAGGTGTTCACTCTCAAATAAAGTCAGCCTTTATATTTCAAGAATTCTTATATCTATCATAAAGTGTCAATCTTCCATTTTCCTTGTGGTAATCTGTGTTTCAGTAATAGGGCAAAACAGAATCAATCAAGATCTTTCAAACCTATGTAGGGCATGTTCTCCGCGGGAGGCATGCTTTCAGCCACCAGCAGCTGGAACACAGTGAGGGCCAGCAGGACGGTCACCCCCAGCGACACCTTCTCTCCCGAGTCGGCCGGCAAGTAGAAGCCCAGAGGAGCCAGGAAGGAGATGAGGAAGCAGGGCAGGAGCAGGTTGAAGATGTAGAAGGAGGAACGGCGCTTCAGGAGCAGCGTGTAGGTGATTTCTGTGTAAGGGTCGGAGCAGCAGCCGTACATCATGACGTTCCTGACCGCCGGCATGCCGTGACACTCCCACTCCACGTTCTCCACAAAGTCAGAGAGGTCCCCGCTGTCCATGCCCAGGCTGATGTCCACCTGTAAAAGTGGAACAGTCTTAACCAGACATTATACCAGAACAGAAGCTGTTATGTGGCGATATGTGCGCTGTCGGATCTTAAATTCCACACATTTAGTCTCAGTAAAATGACTGACCTGATTGCCGTTGTAGGTCCATGAGCCAAAGGTCAGATTGCAGGACTGCCAGTCAAAGGGGAAGTAGGCGACATCCACAACGCACGTGCTTTTTGTGATGGCTGGTGAGTCCCAGACTATTTCTCCATTATAACGCAGCTTCACATTGGTGTTAGACGGACCGGACGACTCCTCATCTGCTCTGCAAAGGCATTCAAAAAACACATTTTTTTCTTCCGGTCAGTATATTTTCATTGAAAGCTGCTCATTATGTTTAGCTCTTTTTCTGTTGTTGTTGTTGTTCTGCCTCTTGTTACTGACTTGTTGTAGAGAACTATGTCCGGCTTCCAAACAAGGTCACTGGGGATGTTTATCATCTCCAAGTCATCATAGTCCTCCTTGTCCCACTTCAGGTAGGCATCATACCAGACCTGCCTGATCCACAGGTAGGTAGTTAGCACCTGGTTCCGCTCATCCTACTCACACACACACAGACAGAAAGAAATAGAGAGAGAGACACACACAGAGAGAGATATACTTAAAGATTAATAGATTTGTGACTTTCCTTGAATTTTTCCCCCAGTTCCAACTGAACAAGGCATGGTATATGCCCTTAAACTCATAAAGGCTATTATACTATTATTGTTTATTCATATAAATATCATATAAGTATTCATATCATACAAAGTTGAAAGGCAACAGAGATATTCAGTAATCTAACTGTTAATAGGAAGAGACACATCTGTTAAGTGGTAGATCTTTTTCAACAGCTATAAATACCTACTTATGCTGAAACCTGCTAAGGGAAAGGCGACTAAGTGAAAAGCTTTTGAAACAACACCAAAGTTTTGCAATAATTTCAAGTTCCACAGCAAAGCTAGCAAAATTTGCTGTTCATTCAAGCTGATAGAAATAATTATTTGTATTATTTCCCTCCATGGCTATTAAGCTTTCTGCTCCACCTTATGACAATTACTTTTCAGAGGTCTGTATAAAAAAACAAGCTATTAGGTAGAGACACGTATGAAATATACCTAGTGAATATGTACAATATGAACACTGTTACTAACTTGCTATTTAACATTTTTGTCTGATTTTCTAACAAAAATTGAAGAACAGAGCATAAAAGTGGCCATACTTCACTGGGTTCACATTAAGTATAACATTAAGATTTAATTACAAGGAGCCTGTTGTGCTGTATACCATACAAAAATGCTTGCACTGGAAATTTTAAAAAGTGCTGTATAAATGCTGCACTGCTTCCATATATTTTAAAAGGACAGTGAGAGTACACTGTGTGAGAACAGGGTACTCGCAGTCACACACTTATTTACTTTTGACACAAACAAGTACAGGCGATGATCACCTGGGCCAAAAAAGCCCTTTATCTGTGTTACTTACAGAGTTTTCATTAACTCTGCTCGATATTCTTTCATGCCAGTATATTTTATAATGTCTTACAGGATTTTTTTCCCTCTTTGTTTTCAGTACTGTTTTCATTGCATCTGAAAAATTATGTCACAAACATTTTTCATTTTTGAGTTATTTCCATCCACTGTAAATTGGAAAACTGGAATGTTTCAGTTGTTGGGTCTTGTTTCGTTGTTCTCTTTTGCATGAAGATGCATACACATGAATCTGTTCTGCTCACCATGTCTTTGATCTGTGACAGCGTGATCTGCAGTGAGACGTTGAGGGCATCGTCTGTGTCCTCCACAGGCCTCAGAGCGTTGGAGTAGTCCTCCATCAGGTCGTTCAGCAGTTTTCGGGCATAATGACCCTGAGCACAATGGGACACTGTGTGGACGAGAGGAAGCGGCAAAATTGGTGCAAGACAACAAATGATTAGAAGTTCCACCATGCAAACTAGCAAAAAAAAAAAGTAAGCTAAACGTTTAGCAAAGTCAACTAATATCCCTAAAAATATCCACATCACACAGATTCTGCATGCCAAACAAACCTTGCAGCAAAAGGCTGAGCCAAACCATCAGAGCTGCCCTCCTCATTTTTTGCCAGTCACAAGCCAAGAGATCAATAATTCAGCAAAGCAGTTGCTGAGATAGCCCGAGCCCAAATCCAGAGCATCACCCGATTCTGATCTCTGTTCTGCCCCGCTCAGACTGAACCCGTCGAGACCACAGAACATTCTCGAAGTCTAACATCCTGTCAGAAGCCCTCAATGCTTCGCTAGCTGTTACTCATAGGTTGCCTCTGTCTGTGTGTGTAATTGCTGCTCTGGAACAGGACCTTGGGCTATCCGAAGACACACAGGCACTCAAGCACAGGTACACTGCAGCACGGTATCGCTGTATCACATGGCCCCGGGTGAAATGTGATGCCTGCAGCCCTATCCGCCCGTGTACATGACCACAACCAGCTGTATGACAAACGCACATCCACACAGAGCCATACTGCGTTACACAGCTGACATGTGTCAGTCCCACGGAGACGATGAAACATTCTTACAAAAGGCCACTTTAGGATGAAAACTCTCTCATGGTCAGGTCACACTCAGTAAAGGAAAGTTGTTACCATAAAAACTGTAAAAGTGTTCACTCCTCATTGATCTTTCGGCTTAAAGGCGTCGCAATTTGTAAAAAGAGGCCACATCTGATTGATCTCTACATGCTATCCTTCTAGAGTGGAATATCTAAAGTCACAGTGACACTTGAGTTCTTTTGGACTGAATTTGTTGTTATATTACTTATTTTAAAAATGCAGCCAAGGGCAAAAAGCCAAAAATGGTCTGATTACGTGTTAGAGGAAAACGTTGGCAAGCATTTCCACAAATTAAATGGAACTAAAAAAGTTGAGAAGAAATTAATGCAGGCTCGGACTAAAAAAGACCCTAATAACTTAGAGGTTATGACATGAGTATTTATCAGACAGCTATTTGAAAAAGCATCTAGTACATGCCGTTTTGTTTGAGTTTCAGAAACTTGCTCAATTTGACTGCAGATGCCTACTCGGGGTCAAGATGTGAAAGACACCTTTTAAATAAAGAAAAGAAGCAGTCTGATTCAACAAAACACGGCAGGACCTTCAAATTTCCTTCGTGGCGCATTTTCTCTCTCACAGAGGAGAAGTGTAGCAGCATATAACTGTGAGCGTACCCTTGAGGGTCACTAGTGAAGGGCCAGAAACAGCAATTAGCTGTATTGTTAAATGTAAAACAAGGCTTTTTTTCTTTTTTAAAAGACTAAATAAAGGTGAAGGACATCTCATCTGTTTATGTATGTGGATATGTTTCATTCTAGATTACGATTACATGGAAATGTAAATATCCAAAGCTGAAAAGAAGCCTGGATGTTGAAATTTACATTGAGGAGATCTGTCTAGAATTAAGATATGCTTTTAGAATTAATATTTATGCTGCAATTTTACCAAAAATTAAACGAAAAAAGTCAAATACGTTCTCTCAAAAAACATTTCTTAATCGGCAGAGAACTGTGTATAGCTACGTGAAGTGTTTCTGTGGTACTGAGCTCACACCGAACAGGTGTTTCCTGTGTGTTTGTGCTAGTGTGTGTGCGTATGTGTGTATGTGTGTATGTGTGTGTGTGTGAAAGAGAGAGAGAAAGAGAAAAAAACAGAGTGCTTAAGTCAGTCTAAAAAAAAAAGAAAACCTTTAGTAAACTATTTATAATCTTCATTTGAGTGTGTTAGTTGACAAGTGTGTCTCTGCCAGAAAGGACTAAAACTGTCACCAGGGATGGTCTGCTCACTGGTTTAAAATATGGTGAAACTGCCGAAAAGAGGAGCAAGGAGCCCAGACATAGGAGACATAGTGGGATCCAAAGAAACCTATAAACCTTTAGTTTCCATATATGACGCTCAGCCATCTAGGTAATATGGTGTGCTTGAATAGAAGGCAACTGGGTTTATGGTTTTGAAAAGTCCAGTTGCTTTCCACTCAAGTGTTTAGAATTGTTTGTATGTATCAGTACTATGATCAGTGTTTTGAGTGTGCAATGCCTCAGGGAGGTGCAGACAACAAGTGTGATGGACAACACAGTTTACGGATGTGATTATGTGGAGTTGGTATTTTTTCTGAATGAAAAGAGCAAAAAACAAAGGAAAGAAATTTCATCAAAAGGCACACAGTGGCTATTCAAAGCTCTACAGTTGCTGCTGTCATTAGGCCAAGAATATCTTTCCTTTTTTTATACAACAGGGGTCATTCCTGCTAAAACAATCAGCTAATGCCTGTTTAAGGGTTTTTGTCAAACCTTTTCAAGCAAATATTTTTTACCTTTTCCTCTAAGAATAAATACTACTCCAAGAATATTTCACAATGCAATGGGTCAAAAATATAGGCAGAAAAAAAATCGGTTAGACATTCCATATTGTGGTCATGCGCAGGCTTTTTTTTTATAGCAAACACTCAATACATTTTTGTGATTTTTCTCTATATTCTTTACCTGAGTGCCTGAGGTCATACAACTCTTCAAACCGTTCAAAAATCATGCCAGGATTTTAAACATTAGATTTATGAATGTGTGTGGTGAATATTTGAAATCTTTAGTGTTTTCTTTTCTTATTAGAAAATGGATGAGAGGTAAGTTGTAAATTTAACATAGTTTTTAAATATCAGCTTTCACACGCAAGCTACAGCAATAGGCTAATGAAATGAAAAAAAGTATTTGTGCCAGATAAGAATGATGTTGTCACAGTTATGTATTTATTTACAGCCGAGCTAAAGTCTGCAAAACCAATAAAAAAAACAACTTTTTATCAAGATCTTTTCTTATTTTGATATATTTGGATTTATTCATATAATGGATATTATTGTTTTGATGGTCATAATAGGATTACGCTTTCAGTTTGTGTTTGTGAGTACAGATCATGCAGAACACCTTGAAACAACCGGTAAGTATCACATTTGGCTTTTAGCCATCCTGCTGGTGTGTCCAGCACATATTTATCAAGCCCTGCTTCTAAGTTGTGCCCAAAACACTCAAACAGCAGGATATCTCCCAAAAGTCCTCACAATAATGACCATTGTACATTGGAGTGGTTGAATGTCAATGTTTCTTTTTTTTTTTAAATTCCAATAATTTGTTGATGATAACCAAATCTTAGCTTAAGTTTTTTTTTTTTAAGTTAGAAAAAATCGTGAGATTAACACAGAGTCTCAGGGTTGAGTTGGAGGCCCATGTGTGCAGGCTCCATGCTCCTGTGCAGGTAATCTGGGGGGTTTTTCCGGCCCTTTTTTGCGGTTCTCTGCCCCCCTTCCTGTTGTGCCACTGTACAAAAAAAAAAAAAGGCCAAAAAAACCCAAGATCCAACAAAACCTTAACAAAAAAAAAGGATTAACACAAAATCTAAAGATCAAAACCTTTAGAAGTCTATGAAGTTCTGCCAGGCCTCGCAGCATACAAAACAACTGGAGAGTTCATTATAGGATCTTGTTTCTACAGCAGCCTCGGGCCAGAACTGAAAAGCACAGGTGTGGCTGATAACGTCAACCGTAACTATCTTAAAATAACTGCGCTCAGCTCCTGGGCTGTGCAAATATATAAGCTCATGAAAACTATTAGCTACACCTGGGCTGTGGCGACCATGACATGTTAAAGTGCCTGTGATGAGAAGAAGCTACTTACCAGGCCCCCTATGTAATTCCCCAGAGGCACTGGAGATGTAAGCACACCAAGTACCGCCAACTGTGAAGTGGCTCGGGGCGCACAGTTCTGTACACCACCGCCGTGTGCGTTTGTGTGCGAGAGAGAGACGTGGAGACGGGCTCAGAAACAGAGGGATGAGGCATTGTGGTAGCTGTGGCAGAGAGCACGATGAGACATAAAAGCTGTGACCACAGCAGTAAGTCAAACACGATGTGTCTGCCAAAGTGGAGCGATTCTCTCTCATCTCACACTTATTATTCAAGCAGATGGCATTAGATGTATCAGAAGGTATGCTCTGTCACTGTGTAGATGGAATTTAGGGCAGATCAATCAATAAACAGGCATTTTTGTAAATGATCTGGAAGAAACTCACAAATTTTGGTGGCTATTACCTTTTTTTTTCTTTTTTAAGTTTCTGGAAACTATGGGAAAGGGCAATTAGACAACGTATTAGAGTAAAATGAAAGAATATGGAGCCTTTTCCTCCAAACAGGTGTCAGGCACATTTTTATCCCCAGAGTTTTGTCTCATTATGGAATAATTTGCATGTCAAGAGATCGAGTGAGAACGGTTGAGAGCTTGTTTGCATAACTTTGTCTACATAAGGTGATATGTGTCTATAGGTTTCTGAGTTTGTGCCTGTGTGGGGATGTGGTTAAGTGTTCATCAGCATATCCTTGAAAAGTCTATATGATGTTTCTCATCCTCAGCCGCTCTGAACGCCACAAAAGACGGAGCAAAGTACAGAAAGCGGGAGAAAGAACTAGGGCGGGGGGGCAGCTTCTTTCCTGGTTGTCTCTTTTCTTTCACCCCAAAAATCTGGCGTATACAGCAGCAAACCTTTAACTGACCCATTTTCTCAAATATTTATCATTTGCACCTTTGAATAGGTTGAAATGTCATTAAATGTTTTTCAAACAGATCAAAACCGTAAAAGTATTACAATATTGAAGTGAAACCTCTTGAAACCAGTATGTCATTTGAAAACCTGATGTGGAGTTAAAAGAAAAGGTCTAAAGTCATATATACCATCAAAACAGCAACATTTCGTGTCTCCAGTTTTTAATAAACGCATCTTTTGTTTTCAATGGTGATACATTTATTCAGTAAAATATACAATTGTCTAAATACTTTCATGTTTTAACTGGGCACAGCTCAGAATAAGTACATATGAAAATTTCACCTGTCTATAAAAATGACTCAAGCATACAGCTTTTTCAGGTCAGATTTTATCACACCAGACATACCTCTAAATCTTCATTAGAATCATAAAAAGTAGAAGACCTTGGGCAATGAGATTATTTGTAATCTAGAACTATATTGTGACCACAGTACATATCACTTAGGAGACTCATCAAAACACATAACATGCAAAACAAAAAATTTAAGATGGCCATTCTTCTACATCTCCTTCAAACACCGCTCCAGAACTCCAGCATTTTGGATTACAAATATTACGAAAGCTTTGGTTATGATCTAAGACAAGACTTGCACAACATCAAGTGCTCATATAAAAAATATAAATTAAACATTGTACTGTTTTTTTTAAGACGTTTAGTAAGAAAAGTCATGGATGTATGCACATTTAAACGCCATGAAAACGTACTTAAAACTATATTACAAAGTTGAACACATGCAATAATCATGACCACTGTGTTGATATCTTAGCTATTTTAGTATTTGCTACTTTGCTTTGTGTATCTAATTACTCGCTCACAAAGTGTGAATCCATTTACAGACACGCAGACACGTGAAACATGAAAGAGTTATTTCTTTTATGGGTAAATGTTTTCAGCATAGTTCAAATCAGCATAGTTAAAAGATGCACAAATTAAGCAGTTGTGTACTTTTGTCTTAATAACATAACTTTACGAAAGGCTCCAATAAAATTAGATATTATATTGTTGTTTTCTCAGTAGGACCTTTCAATCTGTCATTCAAAGAAAAATACCCTTGTAAAGAATGTATCCGGGCTCTTTCTGTGAATTTAAAAAGAAAATGAGACAGATTTTTGCGCTGCCGGAAATTGAAACTGTGTCCTTGTCCTGGTTTGGTTTGACGTATATTCAGACCTTTTTGTTAACCCAAGAGTGAAAAAGGCTTTTTGGCTCTGGTCAAATTCACCAATAAAAAAGCGAGTATCAGGTATATCCTGATTTGTCCTCGCTCTCTGAACCAAATGACAGATCTAGGCCCACACCAATGGTGTACGGGTTGAATTAAAAAGAAAAAAATTCAATCTACATCTAACGAGCCTGAAAGAAAATGTCAAATGGAACTATCGAACAGTTTGAACCATGAAAAATACTTGGTTGTGCCACTGTACCTGTGCCAGCAAAGGGACCTAAAATATTCTGTTTGGACCCCCTGGACTGACATACTTTCCTCTGGCACACACAAATCCTCTGTCCACATACTCCAACCCCAAGAGTGAACAAATCCTTTTTTGGAGGGCTTTCTGCTGCCGTACAGGAGCATCGTGGTCCATTAGGTTTAATTTTCAATCAACGCATTCTCAGTTGTTTTGTGTTCGGGGGCTTTGTTAGTGAGAAACAACCCAACATAGTCAAAAGAAACCCCAGTTTGACTCTGTACCTTTGCAAGGCTGATTGAGTTTGAACAGCACACAAATATGCCATCTTTAAGACATCTCAGGCGGGAACCCAGTCATGGTAAGAGGTCAAAAGACCTTGCATTGGTTTATGCTGAACATGCGTCTCCTGGCTTGTTTTTTGGCCTGGTTGAAAACGGTCCGCACCGCGTACTCGAACACCTGCTGCACCCCCCGGTTGCTTAAGGAGGAGCACTCCAGGTAACCCTTAGCCTGGACTTCGTGAGCGACGCGTTTCCCCTCCGTGGGAGAGATGCAGCTGCCCCGATGGACCCCGACCTCCCTCAGGTCCGTCTGGGTCGCCACCACCAGGACCGGCACCTTGGGCAGGTTTTCTCGAACCTCGGCGATCCACTTGCGCTGGATGCTGGCCAAGGAGTTAGGGTTGGCCACGGAGTAGCAGATGAGGACCACGTCGGCCTGGTGGTACGATCTCGGACGGATCTGCTTGAAGTTGTCGTTGCCGGCCGTGTCCCACAGCCCCAGGCTGATCTGGACCCCGTCCATGTACACCTCGACGCCCGTGTTTTCGAACACCGTGGGCTTGTACGTATCCGGGAAAGTCTCCGAGGTGAAGCGGACAAGCAGGGCCGTCTTGCCCACCGCGCAGTCCCCGACAATAACGCACTTCACTGACATCTCCGTCACGCCGTTCATGATCGCAGAAAGTTCTCCTTCAGGTGTCTGCGCTTCTTCTGAGAGATTCTGTGATAAAGTCCTAGCAACTCGGGGGGGATACAGGGTCCACGAGATACCACCCTGTGTGCGCCCCGCTTCCGTATGCAGGTGACAACCTTCAAAGCAGGCAACGTGCTCGCCTGCTTCGTGGAAACTCCACTTCGAGATGTGCTTTCTGAAGAACCAGCAAGTGTTTCCTCATATGTCTCCGAAGCAGTTAGTGTGTAGGGTCAGGGCTTCTCCAGCAGACGGGCTTTCGCGAAACCCTTCGGTTCGTTAGGCCATCTCGGCTCGCGTCTTTTCCGCTCGGTCTCCGGAGCAGCGTGGTCCGTCATGCACTTCTCCTCATTCTGCTCATCCTGCCCCAACCTTTGGTCAGAGGAAGGGTTGCCTGGAGAAAAAGGGAAGACGAGATGCTTTTAGCACACCAGAAAGAAGAATGTCACAGCACCGATAATGTTTAGAATCTGGTATGTTCATAAGACGGAAGCCTCTTTTTTTTAATTAGTGTTTCTGCAGACAGCCGACATGTTCAAAAACATTTAGTCTAATATGGCGGACTGGTTCTCTGAATACAGCACCAATCTGTGATAATGTCAGGATTTAAATGCGGAAGTAGAGACGGGTATGTGGGTGTGACCCACAAATCCCAGTTTGCTCGTAAAAACTTAAGACAGGTGCTCATTGACAACAGGCTTCCCGAGACAAATGATCAAGCTTGCTTGTATGAAACGTTCCTCTTCACAGACTCTACTATGCTCCTTCTACGTTAAAACCCAATCTCTGCGAGTTCTGCAGCTCACACCCAAAACTGACGTCTGATGGCAGACAAGGATGTATCAGTTTGATACAGAAAGTGGCCAAACTTCTTCTAGAAGGTCCCTTCCCTGTGCAAAACTAAATGCATTCTTGATCTCAATCGATTTTTCTCCTGTATCAAACTAACTGGCCTTTAAGGGAAATCCTCCAAACCACCTGCCATGTCATACACTCAATGCCGATGGAAAGACCTATCATCACGTAGACGGCAAAAATAAATCTATGGTTTTTCCACACTTTTGTCATATGAGCTTACAATAAGTAACCTCAGCCTCAAATATGACAATGAATAGACAGAAATGCCAAGAAATGTTCTGCTGAAATCATTATTCTAGGATTATAGGAAAGCTGTGAATGTATTTATCCGTCTCTTGACACAATTGAAAAAAATGAAAGAAATAGCTGTCATACAAACGTTGGCCATGAAGGCGTCACCTAGAATTATGTCTAGTTGAAGTAAAACAAATGGTCCTTGGAAAAGATTACAAAGGAGAAGATGATCGGGCCTACCTTGTCAGTCACCTCAAACTCCAACGGGCGGATGCCTCCTTTGACGCCTCACAGTGTTGAAAACCCTTTATAAGTCTCACACCTCATAAAAATAATGAATAAAGAAATAAAACACTTTGCCAATAGTTAAATTATAGATCGAACTACAACTTGCAGACAGACTCACTCAGCTCGGAGAAGTCAAAATGCGGCAGCTTCTTAGATGACTGGTTGGAAAGTAAAGCAGGAAAATGACAACGTATGAGAAACGGCAAGTGAACGCATCCGCTTGTTGGAGTGTGGAGGTGTGACTTTCTGAATCTACCGCTTACCACCCCCACAGCAGCTGTGCTTCACAACGAGGCCCCCTTTTCACTTTCTTCATATCTTTTCCTCTGACTGTCATCGGTTTATGTGACTTTGCCTGCGCGTTTTATGCAGCAACAAGTACTGGTGCTAGTTTACAAAAGAGACTGGCCCACTGTGGCACTCAAAAATAAGGCCCTGGAATAAATTATCCAATGGAGAGTGTTATGGTTGATGTTTTTCAAAGTCCAGGTGACATTTCAGCTTGTTAACAAGTTCTTTAGTGATTTGTTTGTCTCAACTTCCTATGGGGTGAAGTATCATGCATTTAAGGAAGGTTGATTCTTTCGTCTTTAATTTGGTTTTAGAGGTTGCAACAGCTATCTTTTAGTAAAAGACTCAGACACCCTGTGTGCAAAAAAGAGCGATACCGCAGGTCTTTCATCCCTGCTGCTACCAGACTGTACAACTCTGCACTTTAATAACTGCTGTGCAATTGTGTTATATTTATTGACCTGTATAATATGTGTACTGTGTGTGAGCCCTCAATGATTGTATATATTTTAATCACCCAAATCTCTATGCTGTGTTTCTTTCTTTGTATATTTGCTTGCTTTTGATGTACTTTATGCACCTTTTCCTCCTTTTGTACCCTAACCGATATGTGACCAGTGAATTTCTCCACTGTGAGATCAATAAAGCTCTTATCTTATCTTATCTTATCTATTGGTCCTGAGTAAGTACTTTATGGGGCATCTTGCTGATTTCTATTAATCGGTTTGACAGTCTTACTCTTGACAGGCATGTACACAATCCCAAGAGTAATAAGACAGTTTATAGGAACATTTACAGGCTTTTGCCATGAGGAAAACTTTGTGCCAACAGTAACACTCAGCTCACAGTGTGAGCATACAAAGTGAAATATTATTCAAGTACCCACAGAATAAACCATTTTATGTACGCAATATTAATAGAAATTCAAGGTAAGTGGATAGAAAAAAAGAAAACCTTTTTTTTATATGCTGTATGTAGATAGGTGTGTGCTCAATTGATTTTGGGGGGTGGGCTTTGCAGCTGCTGATCTTGCTCTGCTTCACTGAGTCAAATCAGACAAAGAATTGCTTTGTAAAACAAATGTTTTTAATTAAGTGGATTTAAATTTGTTATCTTTGCTGTAAATCCACTGTCCGTTGCCGGTCTTAGCCTCAGCTAACTATCTTAAAATGAAACATTCAAGCTTATGCCTCTCATGTAAATTTTGTTGCAATTTCTTTAAGTTAGGTCCTTTTATGCACTAAACAATATATAATGTTTATCAATGTTTTTTTTTTCAAAATGCTGATGTCTGTGTACATTCTGCTAGCTGTTGACTACTTATATATTTCAGTAATCTATCATCAGTCTGGACATAAAGACTATGAAAATAAATACGGTAACTATAAAAAATAATTTCAACAAAAAAAACTCATATCAAAAGACAATAATGGGTCATTGAAGTGTTGATTACACTTCACAAGTATATTCCTGGTTGAGTGAAATGTTAATATTTACACAAGTATGAGAACATTTCCTTTAAAATATGCAAACTTCTGCTTCTCTAGCATTGAACATAGGAGGTTTAGCCAAAGGAAAAATGCCTTCCTTGTTAGAGAACATGTGTTTTTCTGCTTCCCAATAACCCAAAATGGCCTTTCTTCGAATCAAAGTAAAGGGAAGCAAGGATGCCAGATAAAAATTACCTTTGTGTCATGGCTTAGACTGGATTAAAAAACCACACTGACCCAACAGAAACACATGGACAAATAATGACAAGGATAAACAATTCTATACAAATATGGTTTTATTTCACAATATAACATCTTCAGTAAAACTTTATGAACAATATGGATAATTTCATGTGTTTACAGCTGCACTTACAAAGGGTAAAACTTATCTTTTTCAAACAGGTAGAAAAACCTTAGCAGTTTTAAGCATTAAAAAACTGATGTAGCCACACTTGGAAGACAAATGTTACAACACTTGGCGCACCGTGTTTTACATAGCTACCATACATGAGCTGAAAACAATCAACTGGCCTCAAAAGAGAAGAACCCTTAACCATTGCAGTCACCTGAGTTTAAATAACAGTTTATTAGCAGCTAATATTTGTTTGTACTATTATCAAAGTGTACCGTTAAAAAGGCAACGTGCCTCCACACAAAGGAGACCAAAGAAGTCACAGTAGGTGCTGCTAAACCTGCTTGATGAGGCGGTTCGACCACATCGACATCGTCTTTGATCGTCCATGACGTTTCATGCGTACCTCGTGGTGAAACTAAGACTTTAAAACAAGAGCTAAAGTTCTCTCCTCCTTTAAAGCATTTCAGCTTTATGATGCAGAAAAGCATAAAATGTCATGATAACCGTCTCAAATAACTAATTACTTTAAAACTGGTTGTGGAGTAAGATGCAAGTAGACCCCATGTGACTGGGATTCAAATAAAATATTAGCACTAACAGTTCAAGATTATGTTTACATATTAATGTTTTCATCATGGAGCCTGTAACACACACAGGACTTGTTCATTTTAAAACATATGGAGGTAAATATACACATATGGAGTAAAATATACACAGATTTGACATTAAAATAAACACATGTAATCTATACAGATGCATAAAATACCTCATTTCTTACCAATGCAGTCCTTTTTCCACATGAAGAGAAAGCAGAGTAGACATAAAATGAAACTAGTGTCAGTGCAAGCAGCAGTTCTCTCTCTGGCGGCTCTGTAACTGATTGAGGCCAAGAGACTCATGTTATGCACGTGGTGTATCGTGTTCAACTTGTGCTAAAGAAGTGAGGAATGAGAGAAGACGAGAGCTGAACTGCTGATCTGGAACCGTTCACCTCAAAGAGACAGAGATGAGACCTGGCTTTTCAGTGAACCTGCAAACATACATTGGTAGAAGAAAAGGTGGGTGAAGACGAACATCTCTCGGTCTTTTTTTTTTGTGAAAAGGTGTGTTACGTGTGTGCACACGTGTACCTGTAATGTTTGTTGGTGAGGTAGTCTATAACAGCGGGGCGGATGCGGGCCACTCCCCCTTGGCTGTGGTTCCCTCTTCCTGTGATTACAGAGAGCTGAGGTTGACAGAGACCCTGCTCACAATCTGCACACAAGGAGGCCGAAGGGGAACAAAAAAAAAAGGACAGAATACAGTTAGTGGACCCATGATAATGGAATGACAGAAGTATTACAGCAATAACGAAGGCACATTTAATTTCCCTGTGTACGTCGCCATGTATAGCTCAGACTTTGTTGTTCGGACCGCATGCAGGTACCTGCAGTTTTTTTCTCTAAGACCTGACCCAGATGTTCCAGGGCCTCATTCACATGAAGCCCATGGAGGTCCAGAATGTTTCTGGGCAGCAGCGATGAGTTGACCCGGTTAAAGATCTGAGCGGCTGCACGCTGGTTGGCTTCACGCATCCGCTGGCCGTGCATGTGGCCCTAAAAGGGGGTTACAGACAAATCTTTACACCCGAGTATACCATCCCATGGTGATATCACAGTATTTTACCAAATGTGGATAAATGAATATGTTCAGTCTGTTTCATTAGACGGAGTTGATGTAGCAAAAGAGGAAAAGGTAGATGACGTCACTGTAAAGGAATCAAAGCTGGGACTCGCCGGCCTTTTGCTGCTAAACTAACAAACAAATGACAAAACATAAACACTAATTTACCTGTTGTGCATAAAACGAGGCCACTTCTTTGCGGCCCTGCTTGTAGGCTTCAGCGGCTTTGGCAAAGCTCTCGAGTTGTCTCGTCCTCTGAAGGCTGGCCTCAGCTCTAAAGTCCTCGTACTCTGGGTCTTCGGTATCCTGATAGTTCAGTGCAGCTGATTCCAGGGGCTTTTGCCTCTAAGAAAAAGATAAAACCACTGTGATATGGACAGCTAACGAGGGGAGTGGAAAATCAATATTAATCCATAGAAATGCAGTCTCTCCGGCTGCTAAACTCTAGGGAAATTGAACCTATGCTGGAGGACATTTTTGCATTTTAGGAGCTAATTTTTTTACACCTGCAAAAGACACACACAGCAGATCATGTGACTAAACAGCAAAAGTGTCCCGCTGCTCTGTTTGCCTCCCTGTCTTTCAGTACCTTTTCTCTTTCCCTGCTGGCGGTTCTGTGATGGTCAGAGAGAGGAATTTCTGGAGCAATAACCGTCTTGGCGGGTCCCTCGTTCAGTAAAGAGCGAAGAAACTGCTCTGTCTCCGTCAGTTTATAGCTACAAAAAAACACAAACAAAAACAGACAGGTACAGAATTCAGGTTGGATAAACCCCATTTCTGGCATCACTTATTTATAACCAATAAATAAGTGTAGAAGAGCAGTAAATGAGTTCATTATCCCTTTTAAAGACTTGGATAAACACATTAAAAGTAAAAGTGCGATTTAGAGCACAATCTGCCTCCCAGTGGAAGAATGTAGGGTCTCTTCGAGATCTTAGTTAAAAACCAAAATCAATTTATGAATGAGAAGAAGGTGCCAAATTAAACCCTGGGCAACCTAGATATATCACAACTGGGGTGATACGGAAGCGATGTGTTTGCTTTGAGAGGACCAAAGGACGACAACACGCTGTTTCTCAACAGAAAACATCACATGTTTATATGTGTGTGGAACTTTAAATGATATCTGAAAAATGTTCTTGTAAAAGTTTGGCCTGTGTCCGTGTGGGTTCTCTCTGGATATCCCTGCTTCCACCCATAGTCCCCAAACATGTATGGGTTAAAAGGAGACTCTTAATTGCGCCCTTACGAATGAATGGGAATGTGGGCGGTTGTTTGTCTCTGTGTGGCCCTGTGATCGACTGGCCACCTGTCCAGGCTGCACCCCGCCTCTCGCCCAGTGTCAGCTGGCACAGGCTGAAGACCCTATGTGACCCTACCAACACTGAGCTGAGCACACACAGGGCTGAAAAGACCCACGGGAAGCGCGCTTACATTAGCAGCCTGGGCGGAAGCAGGTTTCTTCTCTTCTTGCAATTACAGGATAACCGCAATCGTCCGTCCGAGCGGACAGCGTCACAGCTGTTTTTTCTTACTTGTGGTCTCTGAAGATGTCCTGGAGAAAAATCCTGTCGATGGTGGGGAACAGGGAGAACAGCTGCTGCTCTTTTAATAAAGTTGCTCCATCCCGCTGGTCCAGGTCCGCACGGCTTTTTCTGGTCTTACAGAGAGAAATTCAAACAGATGTTAGTATAAACAAACGAAGAAGAATGAGATGTTTTTTTTGTTTGTTTAAAAAAAAAGAAAAAAAAAAAAGGATCAAGCTGTTACCTTTTGCAAAGTCTGTTGCAAAGCCTGCTCCTCTTTTATAATATCTCTGAGGGAGATGGGTGGATGGGACACACTCCAGTGGTCCATGTATGGAATGGGACCAGAGGCCCCATGTTGCCCCTTTTGTGGTGATAGTGTCCTGTCTTGTGGCCTATAATTGCCCCCCTGTGAATTCACCCTCTGTGATGAACCTAAACATTCAAACATGTACATTAAAAATGTATTTAGAGAGTGCGCTATTTATCCCTCCGTGAGAGGCATGTTTGCATGTTTTTGTATTGTATTGTGTGCAGCAGTATTGGTTTTATGTGTGTGTTCCAACTCACTTTCCTGAAGCAAGTGAAAAGAAAGCGCCGCTTGTCGTTGCCTTTCCTAAAAGACAAAATCAACATCAAGACGTGCAGACAGAGGCCGTCTCTCGGTGCTATTAAGAACATGGGAGCGCGTCCGTGACAGGACGGAGATTCAACTCCACCTGGATGTTTTCCTTCCACTTCTGGTGAAGCATTTTAGCCAGATTCAGGTCCATCAGCACGGAAAAGTCCTCTTCATGGCATGTTCCTGAATCTAGTTAACCAGACAGGACAACTTAGAAATTCAAGGATGTCAAATTAAAAGAAAAAACTAACAAAAAACCCCACACAAATAAGCTTTGACTAGACTAACTTGAACTTTCATTCCTTGTAAAAAATATAATTAAAAAAAACATCTGTAAATTACCAGTGCCTTAACAGAAGCTGGCAAGCTATGCTGGGTATCTAAACAGCTTCTTTAGGGATAGTTCATGGTATCTGTCAGTAGTGTATTTTCCCCTTGAAAAGTTGGAACTTTGTACCTCTGGGCATTATCATTTATCACCAAAAGAGGACAAAGTTTAAACACTCCTTTTCCAAGATTAATTTATTGATCCCCCTCCCCTGCCTACTGGATGAAATATGAGAGAGAGGAAAACATTCTTCTTAAAGCAGCTTTATTGGCAGCTAATTACCAATGTTTCCTGTCACTTTCAACAAAACTAAGATAAACATGCTATAATGATGTTGATCCTCCAGCTGACGCTGATCTTGATAAGACAGATGCCTCAAAGCGACGGTTTAGCTTCTAGGGTGGAAAACAGGGCTTATTATCCTCGTTATGTTAACAGGCCTCTGATTTTCTTTGGTGATTCACACATATGAGACACAGCATAAGAGAGACTCCTGTATCATTCCTAAGCCAAAGCAGCATAACAGGATGTTCTGGTTTGGTGCTACAGCTCTCTCCGGCAATAAGGTGCATCTGTATTTTTTATTGAATGTCAAAGTGCTACTCGAGTTGGCATTTCAGTTTAACCCTAACACTAAAAAATTGATTTTCCGTGGCGAATCCTATGAGTTAGTTACCTTGGTCGAGTCCAACAGGACCAAACAGCTCAGTTAACTGCAGCGCCAACTCGGTGGGCAGTTTCAGCTCCACGGTCTGAATATCCAGATGTCGGCTCCGTTTCTCCTCTTTCCTCTGTCTCTCCTCCTTCCTCTGTTTGTCCTCTCTCTCGATCTCGGCCAGCTCGGCCTGCAGCAGCCGATTGATCTCCTCCATGTTGGCCACCTCGTCCTCGGTCTCAACCCTGAACTCCTCAATTATCACTTCCTCATCCAGGGTCGCTCTGCAGGCTCGTCTGGCTGGGCCGGGCTCTGGTATGTTTATCTGATCCCGGTCGTCCCCTTGCCCTGGCTCTTTTGCGACTCTCGGCTGACACAGTTCTGTTCGAGAAGCTCTTTCCGAGTCTGATGTTGCATCTGATTGGTCCTGGTTTGATGCACCTCCCAAACTCTGCGCCTCTGCGTTGAAGGAAGTCCCAGAAGCCGACTCCGCTTGCTCTCCTTTAGTCTGTCCCTCTTGTTGAGGCTCACCTACCACGTCGGGACATCTCCTGCTTTCCGCAGCCTCATGTGAAGCTCCACCCACACCGGACGTTTTGATGTGTTCATGCTCCTGCTCTTCAGCCTCTTCGTCCCTAAAGAACCTCTCTCCCGAGTCCAGCAGCAGGTTGGTGGTCCACTCCAGGTCCTGGTGGCACTTGTCGTACAGATCCTCCAGTGTGTCGAAGCCGACCATTTTAAAATGGCTGCTGAGGATGCGCAGGTTCTCCAGACGGCCTCGGGTTACCCCGACGTCCTTCTCCTCCACCTGTGTGCCCTTCTCGTGCACCACGCGGTAGGGAACGTCCGCGTGGCCCGGCGGGTGAACGCCGGCTCCCGCGCTGACCGCGGGGGAGCGCCCCGGCACGAAGCGGGAGGAGTCGCCGCACACGACCGCGAAGGCGCCGGCCGTTTCCTCCGAGCCGTCGTGGTGAGCGAGACGCCAGAGAAGTGCGAAGTCTGTGGGTTCTGTCTGAGAGGAGCGGCCCGTTCCGGCCAGATGGGGAGGAGGAGGTGGAGAAGCGGGAGGGTTGGGGGGTGGGGGCTGAGCAGAGGGGTTCGGACCTGGATCGGGATGGAAAGCGGAGTCGCGGCATTCAGGGCGCAGAGCAGATGGGGCGTCCGGGTTTGCGCTGCTGTCGGGGTTGTCGGGGTTTCCGGCCGCGGGGTCGGGAGCGTCCGGCTCGTCGGGTGAAGCAGCAGGGCGGTTCTGAGTGAAGGTCAGGGCCAGCTTGATGGGCTTGCCGGCTCTCCGACCTTGCGGCTGCTTTCTTTCCTGACTGCCTCCGCTGCTGTCCGTCTCCTCGGACGCCCCACACGCCGGACTCTGAGATATCTCGTTGGTACGGCGTCCATCGGCCTCGGCATCAGCCTCTCCGAGGTGTTCACCCGGGTCCGCATCTGCGTCTTTGTTGCAGAGGGTTTCGTCCACTTTGGGGCGCGTGCTGGTTGATTTCGACACTTCAGACAGAGTTTCTGTCCTGCTTTCCGTCCCAGCGCTGTCCCTTTCCGTGACAACCTTAACTTCCTCTGGTCCTCGATGTTTTCCGGTGGTTGAGGAGTCGGCTGCCATCCAGTCCAGCACGCAGTCGGGCAGTTCACCTCTGCCGGCGCCGACTCCGTCCTGCTGTCTGTCCTCACTGCTCGGATCCTCAAACGCACCCTCGCCGCCGCTCTCCCTCTGGCGTTCCTCCCCCGAGCTGGTAGAAGCGGAGCGGGAGCTGGAGGAGCTGGTTTGACTTGGAGCGACACCGGTTTGAATGAGATCCAGAAGCTTCTGAAAAGCTGTTATGTCAGGGCCTGTCTTCGTACTGGTTGTTTTTTCATTGTTACTAGCTCCTGCCCGAGGTCCCTTTCCACTCTTGACTCTGTGCCTTTCTCTTTTCCTTGCCGGTCGCTGCTTCAGGGAGCCTTCAGACGGCCAATCTCCCACAAAGTTTAATGTCTTGGGCGCTTCCTCCCCCTCCTCCTCACACCTCGCCATCTCACCGTCCTCCGGCTTTTCTTCTTCTGGCTGGTTGGCGTCTTTCACCACATCTGCTGGCTCTGCCTGCTCAAAGCCAGACCTCCTGCTTGGCCTTTCTCTCCGAACTCTCTGTCCAATGGACTCAGAGAAGGCCGCTTGCACCGAATCGCCGCAGGTCTCTTCGTTCATCACCGACTCCACAACACAATCTGGGATGCCCCCGTCTCCTGCGGGGGGGTTCAGCTCTAACCAGGAGTCCAGCTCAGAGTCCAGCTCAGAGTCAAGCTCGCCAAAATCCATCTCATCGTCCTCCTCAGAGGCACCAGGAACGTTGTTTTGTGTTCCAGAGAGTTGGAGATGGAGCGACTCGGAAGATTGGCAGATATCATCCTTTTGCGCCGAAACCTCTCCGGAGCCGCCGACTGACGACACATCGGGAAGGGAGGACAAAAGAGGGGCAGGGTGGGATTTTTTACAGCTCTCAGTTGACTTCGGCTGACATACGAGGTCAGGACATGTCGTTTCAGAGGAGGCGGGTCTAAAGGAAAAGCGAGAGGAAGATTTGTAGTGTTTGTTTTGCTACAAGTGGCAACAAACATACAAAAAAACAATAGACAAGTATGATTTGTCACCATCTAGTCTTTATCTGTAAAAGCACGTCTTAAAATTAACTCTGAGCACAGTTTCAACACCAACTTAGATTAACCTAATAATAGAAAAAAATTAATCTTACGAAATTAATCTTTAAACATGCCTTAAAGGAAACCTACTGAAAAACTAGAATCTAGAATTCCCTAAGTCCCATAGATGACAATGAAATATCTTCAAATAATGCTTAAATTAGAAAGGTTTGATTTTTTCCAGCCATAACGATACATAAAAGTTGGATTAGAGCAAAGTTAGGGGGGGCTTGACTATTTTAAGCATCAATGTCTAAAAGTCTTAGTGAAAGGGGATCCTGAACGCCCCATCACATTCGAATCCTCAGGTCATATCACCTCAAAATCAAAATACACCTTTTGTGTGTCTTAAAATGTACTCTTCTTTTTCCAAATTTGATTTGGGACTCATTTCGCACGCTGGCAAATTACAATCTGTATGAAAAAAAGATAACTACCTTCATCTCCTCCGTCAGTAATGAAAGAAAACCTTTAGCTTTGTTCTGATAGACCAAGACAAAAAGTAAATAAATAAATAAAACAGGACTGTTTCCTTTTGAGAAAGTTTCTTTGCGCTAGAAAGTCACGGGGCTTTTGTTACTACAACTTCCTGGACACGTGTCGCCTCTATCATCTGAGCAGGAACGGGCTTATGTGCATGGAGAAAGTGTAAAGGAAACGGCACTCACTGTGAGCTTTTGTTCTCTGGAGGCGGACGCTGTTTGATCTCAGGCGCGTGCGAGCCCAAGATGGACTGGACGGTGACGCAGCGCTCGAATCCATTCAGCATGCGGCGGATGGTTTCCACGGGGACCTTGTGTGCGGTGCGTCTGGAAAACAGCACACGTTATCCTCGGACTGAAACTTTTCAGCCGACGCCATACTGTCCTTCTGCCCCTCTGACCTCTCCAGCTCTCTAGGCTTGTGCCTCCACCAGCTGTCCGGCTCTCTGAACAGCACTTTATAGCCATGTCTCAGCGCCTAGAACGGAGAGGGCACTGGTCAGTCTCTGAGGCCATTAAACTCCTGTGTGGTCAAGCAGGTCTAAACATTTGCTGCAATAACTGTTCCTCAAATCTAAGGTTTTCTGCGGTTTATTGCATTCTCTGGTATACTGACACCGCTCTGAATGTCTGAAAATGCAGACAGGATAGAAAGAAAACTTTAACACGCTTAGCTCCGTGACAATGCAGCAAAATTGATGCTTAAAAATGGGTTTTACGAAGCTCTTCCCATCATTTACCGACTGACCTGAGCCACATAGGGCTTCATCTCCCAGCCCTGCATGTTGGTGTTATCGATGATGATGGGGTGGGTGCCCTTCTTGAAAGCCTCTCTGGCTGCAGTGCAAAGGTGGTGCGAGAGAAACATAGCATTTGTTGTGAAACTGAACAGCAATCGATTGCAGAGATACAGGAAGAAAAGCAGACTTGTCGTCACTCTACGACTTTGTCTAAATGCAGCTCGTGTAGCATGAACCTCGCTTATGGTTCCACTCGTGGGCCTCCCCCAGCATCGTGGGGTCAAACCGGTACCCTCCATTGTGGGTGAAATAGTCGTCAGTGCTTAGTATTACTCCACCGGGGTTATTGTGCAGCAAGGCTCTGCAGGGGCACAAAAAGAAAAAAAAACTTACTTTAGGTGATGTTACAGCAGCTGTAGCGGAGGTCCGCGACTCCCATGTTACAGAAGTATTGGCGCAGTCCACCTCAAACACTTTTTTTTCACCACTTTTTATTTTTAGACCTATAGGATTGCTTTGTTTTGTTTTTTTAAGCAGTAATGTAAAAGATTAATGTCAGCACAATTTGCTGGGCTGTAAATTGCAACCAGGACAATGTAGGTATGTACAGTATATATTTATTAAAAAAACAAATTTTGGATTGTAACAACAATAATTGGATTGTAACACTCTCTTAAACAGGTTTGGTGCTTTCAGCCAAATCGATGCCATCTCTGCTTCCTTTAACTTCATAAAGTAATAAAAAGAATTTCATAAAATATTTGATTTTTTTCTCTGCATTTCTTGAAAGATTTGGGAATGTTTGCTGTCAACACAGCTCAGTAAAGTTTAGTTTTTCGTCTTTACCTGCATTGGTCTCAGAAAAGGACACTTTTCAAAGAATCCCAAAACTTAAAGAAAAAAAAAGTGAATAAAGCACATCTGAAAGATGTATTAGGTCTTTCTGTGTGTTTCTGTTTATTAGTTTGGTCTCCCAGTCACCACTCAATCACAGCCAATAGCATTAATACAATATTAGATAGAAGATTTACTGATCTGACTGTTTACCTTGCCAGGGTGGTTTTGCCAGATCCTGGAGCACCACGGAGGAGCACGAGCACTTTCCCCTGCAAACGGAGCTTGTTGAGCTTGACAGGGGCCTGAGGAGAAGAGGGCCGGTTCCAGGCCTTTGGGATAGTAGCAGTAGGTTTGAGAGGGGCCTTGCTGACAGCGCCCTGGGTGAGCCAGGGGGAGGCGTTCCTGTTCAGGCTGAGCCAGCAGGGGGGGGTTTGAGCCACAGGGGTTATGAAGGCGGGTCCCTCCTTTCCGGGCAAACGGGGAGAAAACACGGGTGCCTCCAGGTTCCAACATGGTCCCAAGAGACTAGGTGGATTGTTGTTTAGCGAGCTGGCTACAGAACTGGTTCCGCGGCCTGCAGCCTCAGGTCCTGCAGGTGCAGTCTTCTCTGACAGAGAGGGAGGCGGGTCCTGCTTTTTATACACCTGAAAAGCTGAGGGGCGACCAAACGCTGACAGATTCCAAGGAGGTTTGGGCTTGTCTGAAGGCATTTCTGTCATCAGGTGTTTAAAATCCAGCACACCTCCCTGTGGCTCAGCGGTGTTGTCCTCCCATGCACTGACCTGATTGGGGGGCAACAGAGCTCCAGATGAAGGCTCAACCAAGCCTCTGGGTGCAGCATCGGGACCCCACTGAAGATGCTCTGGAGGTGGAGGGAAAGATTTAGAAGAAAAGCTGCTGTGCTGCTCCCCCCTAATGTCTTGCTGCATGGTCAGTGTATCCAACTCTTGGTCAATAAGCAAGTCCAGCTCCTCTGTCAGCAGGTCAGTGGGTAGAGGTGAGGGGGGCTGATGCGATGAAGACCCCAAGCCTCGGCCTGGGTCAGAAAAGTCTTGGGAGCTGATCAAAGCTGCAGCGGTGTGCTCAAAGCCTGAGGCCGGAGCCGGGATTGGAGCCGCGCCCTCAGCCGCCACAGACAGCTCCAGGAGGGAGTCCATGGCGTTTTCAACTACGATGCACAAAGAAGACAAGAAGAAATAAATTAATTCACACATAATTTACTCCATTTTTTTCTCCCCCAAACTTTGTAGAAACATGGAATCAATATCTCAAACATAAGACAACAAAGCAATTCAGTGGGGAGCCAAGTGGGAACCCAAAACAACACCTTACAGAAATGGTCAAACTACTAGTCATGACATTTTGAATGACTGACAATTAACGCACTGTTGCTTTTACTGCCCTGTAAAAAAAAAAGAACTTTTGGTAACTCTGCAGGCCATTTCTTTCTTATCGAAAACCGAGAATCACTTCATGTTTAGCTATAACTATAACTCTGACAGGGGTCTAACAGACATAACAACATAGTTTCTGTCAACTCGGCAAGACCTATAGCATTCCCACGGCTCTGAACTGGGGCAACAGGTGGAAGAAGAAACGTAGACATGTTTACCAGGAGAAAATGATAGGCTCAGCTTTAGGCTGTCAGCAGTACAACTGATATGTAACTATCACGGGGCAGTTATCGTGTGCTACAAGCGCTTTAACCCGAAAGCGAGTCAGCTAACTATTTAGCCAAGTTTCACCGCCCACGTTTCACCGGTCGGGCAGCAGGTTGGACAACCGAGCCTTCGTTTGTTGTGGTACCTTTAAAGTCGCACTCGGACAACACGATGTGTATGACATCCGGGTCCAGGTGGGAGAACATCTCCCGCATGCTCTTCACGATTTTCTCCTTGTCAGCGGAGCTGGGCGCCAGGGTGCTAAGTGGGAAGTTGTTGCTCGCCATAGCTTGGTCATGTCCCGGACGTAGTGGGTATCCCGTGTAGGGGCCCAGGCTTCCTCCCTCCGGCGGTCCCCCGGGCTGCCTGGCCGGGCTCTGGCCGTTTTTCTTTCTCCGAGGCATACCGTAAAGCGGCCGCCTACTCTCATTAGCCACTAAAGGAGTTAACTACCCGCTGGTAAGGCACATGAGGGAGGCCCGAGACTCCAAGCATGCTTCTGACATTGGCTCTACACAACAAAACTACAGCGACTCAAGGTTATCATACCCAACAGCACTCCAAGCGGTGGAAATTAGACAGAAAACATAAACGACAGAAAACATAGGCTGCGTCCAACGTTGGTGTACAACACCGGATGTAGTTACCTAAAAAAATAAAAGCTTGGCCTCCTTGTGTGTTCGAAAATTTCTTATGTAATCTAACTGTTACCATTTTACAATTTAAGGCTCAAACACTCAGACTCGGAGAACGTCTCTAATCTGATTACCCTAAAATAGTGTTAACTTGATTGAAATTGATTAATATTTAATGTAGTGCCACTATCACAATCCACATGTCACCAGTAGTTACGACGTAATAGATACTGGCTCAGCGATGACAGTTGTGTTTTTTTAATCCTGACTATGAACGGAATTAAAAGCTACATTCAACTATTTGTTTTCAACTACTGATCTCTCTATAATTATTGCTTTTATTTTTGTAAGTCGTAGTGTATTTGAATTTACATATTTGTGGACAAACGTGTCGAATAGATTTTAGCAACGAAAAACATGTTTTCTATGTTAATTTTAAAATAAGACAATGCAGAATTACTGTCACTGGTGCAATGGGTTGATGAAGTGAAGAAACTTTAGTCGGTAGGTGCTATTTGTTTCCAAATCCCGCCATGAATTTGGAGCTGTGTGCTCCAGAGAGACCGAGGGGGGCGCTCTGCACCCATCTTTCACACAGCCAGCATTGACTGAACGGAGACAGAGCTTTGTGCCGAAAACTAAGCTCAACCTGAGTCAGACTAATGAATTAAAACGGCCCATTTGAGAGGTAAATACTAGTGAGGGCGCGTTTGCCAAATGTCCCGGGTTATATGTCGTAGCTGTTTATCTGGAGATATTTTTATTCCGCATTTGTTGGGGTGTTTAAAACCATCCGTGGGGCAAGTTGTTGGTGAGAGAGGAGGGCTCAGGGCGACGGTAGCAGCTCTGCCTCGCCTGTGAACTAGCGGCAGTACGGAGAGATGCTTGGAAGTTGGAAAAAAGACTGTAACAAGTAAATTAGCTATTTTTTTCTACTTCCCAAAGTAGTTTCATTAGTCGGAACCCACGGGAACTAAGCACGGGAACGGCTATTTAAGGAAAAGATGATAGGATACTTCACTTCCTCAGTGATTGTCTGTAGACCGAGATGTGATGGGTACCTGGACAGTTTGCGGCCTAGGCTAGCGAAGTAGGCTAACCAGATAGCACGGCTAACGCGTATTAGCCGCTCTCTGCTAACTCTACTTCCTTCCCGCAAAATGCTAACCTATGTTGTTTGCAAGGCAGCTAGCACGCTAGCTAATTTGATAACCTGTATGACAGTAGATAGACACCGGCTACCCTCGTGTTGATCGGAAAGTGGTTTTCCGACAAAACTGCTCTACAGATTGGCATAATATCATCGAAGCGGTGGGAGAATTCGTTTCTGTGTACAGTCGTTTGTTTGTGAAAAAAATATACGGAAAATGCAGACCTGATGTTTAGCTGAGGTAATTTAGCATACAGGCTAATAAGATGCACGGTGTTGGTTCAGTGATGGCTTTCGCTGCGAGAAGAGTTTTGGACGCAAATGTCGTTGAGTGTATAGGTGTCATTTGAGCAGTTTTGTGGAGCGAAAGCGATGTTTAACTGGGCAGAATGATGCTTAAAGCCAGGTTTTGGTAAGTGCGGTAGCATGGTTGTGTTGAACTTTTGTTTTCTGACCCATAGAGGCCAGTAGAAGACCGTGTGGACCATACATCAACGAGCATGGAGTTCCCGCAACAGCAGAAACCGGCGGGGGATGGAAAGATCATCTATCCACCCGGAGTCAAAGAGATTACTGACAAAATCAGCAACGATGAGGTGGTCAAACGATTAAAGGTACGGAAAGTCATGTTCATTGTCCCCAAACTCAAGCAACAGAAAGAAGCTCTTGACCCATTTTGAAGTGTTAAGTCTCTGACATAACACCAAAACCCCTTAGCATTGTAAACTTACACCTTAAGTCATCAGTGGCACTGTTTTGGCACACTGTTATGTGTATCATGACTGTGAGCAGTTTTCATCCTATTGTTGAATTGAATTAGATTAACTTAATTATCTGCTTACTTGATAATTGTGTAATTGAAAGCCTGGAGCTTAACACATGATATTTACCATTTGTGCCTCGATTTCAGAGTATATTTCATGGTCTCACACCCACTATGTATGACAAGCATGTTTGTGTTTACGATACACTTTAACCTACGCCAACTCACAATGATACAAGAGAATCAAGTGCACTTAGGTTATTTACAAAATACAGTTGTACTATTAACAGTCTGCTGGAGGTGGAAAGCAGATCTTCAGGTTGGTTTATAAGAAACGAAAGAGAAAGATAAGTGTTGTTAGTAATGATGAGAGGAGGAAAAAGGTTTTTAATAGGGAGGAAAACAGTCTGGAGTGCTGTGCTCTTGGTGGTTGGGTGGCAACCCCAGACAATGTTCTTTGGAGGGATGAAGGAGCTGTGGGTTGACCTGGGTCTTTATGAGAGTGTTGAAGTTGTACTGCTGTGCAGACCTGTGTATTTGTATTTGACATGAGCACCTACAGGTAGCAGGTGTAGCTCAATGAACAGCGGGGTTGTCCAGCGTTCTGGACCATTTGCATTGGTTTCAACATGGAGGCTAGGAGGCCCGACAGAAAGGCATTGCAGTCAAAGTGCCTAATAACCAGGCGACAGTAACTGGAGCTGGGTAGCTTGTTTTGTCATGGCTGGCCTGATCTTTCCTATGTCAAATGGTGGATAGTGCTAAGACCATGTATCAGACACCACACGATCAGAGACGGCCAGCCGGTCATCAGTCACAGCACCCAAGTGCCTCACAGTCCGAGAGGTCAAAAGGGATTGTTGATTTGTTCAACCTCTCTGCGTCTTACCTTTACATACTCTTTCCTTCTTACATACCAAAAGCTAGAGCACAGCTGAACTGTCAGGGAGTCACATGATTCAATAGACTCCTTCACGTGAACCCCGCCTGTTTTTAAAATGCAGCCAAAAACAACAATAGTCCAGCTTTATTATGCGTGATCATAGCTGCTATAAATAACTAATACGCAGACCAAGACGACGGTTTAACACAGAGGTTTAGTTGGGTTATCGTTGCTGTGACATATCCTTCACTGTGTTCCCATGTTTGTGTTGCTTGTAGATTGTATCACAGGCTGGTTCGCCCAGCATTTCTGTTCTGACCTCATTTGTAATTGAAAACCATCTAAACCGAGTTGGGGCGAGGCGTATAGAGTCGCACGGGTCTTTTAAGGTATTAATGGAAACCCTCCCCCCTATTCAACCCAGTGTTGTGTTGTTTTGGACATTATTATAGAATGGAGGGTCGGGGTTAGGGTTGGGCAGCAAGTGATTATAAATCAACCGAAACTGTTTCGCTTTGGTGGATCCAGACAAATTGAACAGACCTGGTTTGAATTTTATTGTTTTATTTGCCCAACCGAAACCACTAAAACCGCACAATGACCAAACATCTGGAGCCAAACTATGAGCAATCTAACCCCTGTAGAGACAAATCCATTTATGCACTGCAGACTACTGGAAGTCCAAGCAAAGGCTGCACCACATAAAGCACATCTGATTATGAAAGATATGTGGACTTCATTGGTAAATTAAGTTGGGTTACACGTACTCTGCACCAGATGCAGCTTTTCGTATTCATGTTTAACAGCTGTTCATTACACGTTTGAGTGTTAAAAAGGTGAATTGCGATGAAATTGCCAGGCAAGGATAGATTATTAAATCAAATAGATTATTAAAGACCATGAGCTGTGTTCCAATTGGCAGGGTGCCCCTCGACTTGTACTAACTCGACTTTACCTTCCGGCACTGTTAACACAGCAAACAACCATGGCCTTGGCGGCAAAAAGTGGGCGGAAGGGCATGTTGTTGAATGTCCAAGTCAGATGTTTATAGATCATTTGAGTCAAAAGACTGACATTAAAAATACGATCTGTGGCCTCGGTCACATAGTCGGAGAGACACCGGCAGCATAGCATTTAATAAGGTGGTAGATTATAGGGCAACACAACAGTTTTCAAATACAGACCACCTCCGTCACGAAACCAACGCCCTAATTCTGTAGTACAGAGAAAGATTTATACTGTTTTAATCTGATAATGTTCCACGTCATATGGCTTTGACCTCAATTCATTCAGAATTGTTTTGGTGTTTTTAAACATTGTACAGATACGCTTGCTGCACTTATTACGTCCACATTTGCTCTCAACTTTAGCTGTTGAATCATTTCCACAGCAGCACCAGATTACTGATATTAGCCTTATCTTTTGGGACAGTTAAAGCCTGTCCAAAAATGAATTGGCTACACGAAGATACCAGAGGATATAGCTCCTTAAAGACGCTCTCTGCTGTGTGTGTTTTTAGAAACAATTTTGCGTGTTTCGTGTAGAGCCAGGAAGTTTGACCGTGCAAGCGTCCCGCAGCAGAGGCAGCGCTCTAAATGCTCTGACAAACAAAGCTCCACTGTTGGGCTGATTTTCTGAAAAAACACTTTTCCCACAAATTAATGAAAACTTCAACAAATTCTCAGTTTTGTTTCTGCTTTCCGAACTCCAGACACGTTTGTGCTGGAGAACTTCCTAGTGTGTGTGTGTGTGTGTGTGTGTGTGTGTGGTTGTGTTGCTGTGGACATGAAACGTGAACCGTTATGTCGCTTGCGTGTTGGTATTCACAAACTAGGACACATCTGAGATCAATGACGTGGTTGTGACCGATCAGGAAAGCTCTCGGAATCATGGTCCCTGGTCGACACTTTGTGTTTCAGGCTGTCGTTTTTCGGTTATAAAAGTACTTTAACAGGATGTCTGGCCCCGTTACCTGCCAAGTGCCATAAATCGTACAGACCCCTGACGTTTACAGGATAGCGAAGACTGCGAGCGTTCTGATGAACCTTGCTCTTATATAACCACTGATCGGAAGCATGAAGCCATGGCCAATGCGTGAAGATGTGTGTCCAACTCTATTTCACCCTGCCAGGAAAGCTAATGTTAGCCTGCCAGCTATTTTCATACGCTCTTAACCTATGGGGTAGATGCATTTAAAAGCATGCTTTCAGTCTAAGCCTTCGTAGATTCTCTCTGTGGTTTAAGCATCGCAATATGCCGTCATAATACACAGAACAGCTTTTGTGTGTCACTTCAGTCTTTGAGTCCTCCTGTTTGGGATAGATTCTCTGTGTTTGTGCAAGGAAATACATATCTGGTTTTGATAAATTGCATTAATTTAGCTTTACCGTAGAATAGTTGCAAACTTGAGTTGCGTGTTATCGTCGTGTTTAATGTGATGTAACATTGAACACGTGATGTGTAGCCTTCAATTTTATTTGTTTTATGATAATTGTCTGTGTTTTAGGTCCTACTAGACAATTGAACAGGCAGCGTAGGACCAGTGAGGGTCCTCGTGGTTGTCACATTCGCTCTTTATCACCAAAAATGAGATGTACAGTGATTCATTCCTCCGTCGCTGTCATACCAGCAGTGTCATATGGGAAGTGTGAACCTTAGAGGACATGTTAAAGATGAGGAACACAGAGCTGCAGAAGTAGGGTGGTTTGACTTCTGATCAGCTGCTCATATGATTCCAGTTTGCGTAAATCACAGGGCAATAAACAGTCCTCTGGTGTTTTTAAAACGAATAGCCAAGGCACATATTTGTTTTTCTTCCTCACATGAGCCAAGCCAAATTTGAAAGCTTTTAAACCTTAGCCGAAGCCTCTGCTTCCCATTTCTTATTACTTCCAAACACTCTCACCCACTGCTTTTTTATAACTTATGCAAAGGACTGTTTGTTAGGCTAATATGAGTTTTTATGGGAAAAGAACATTTAGTTATGGAAACATTTGAGTGCTGGAAGCGCTTGAAACAACGTGCGGCTCTTCTTCTGACAAATCAGCCATGATTAGTGTTGACAGTCCTGAGGTGGCATAAAAGATCCAGATTTCATGGAGTTAGCAACAAACTGTAGTGAAATGAAATCACTCAGGTTTCTAAGCCTGTAAAAAAGCGTTTTATTTTTTTTGTTTGATTTCATCTGCTGTTTAATTTTTTACGTGTTTTGAGAGGAATATGAAGACTTCAGCACCACATTGTGCTGCATGTATTATCCAGTCCTGCTGCTGACATATTTAAAGGCTTTAAATGGGAGAAATCAATTGGGAGATTTAAGATGGTGAAGTCTCAGTGAGTCAAAGGTCCATTTGCATGGGTTAATGAATGCCTCAGCACAATCATAAATGGAAAAAGGATTTACAAGGAAATAAAACCTCTTTCAATTCAGCTCTATCACATAAAGGCGATGGCTGGGATTCTGAAGGCACCTCGTGACCCGATTCATTTATTTACGGTTGTAAAACCCCCTGTGTGACCACTTGTCAAGAGTGTTGCTGTTTCTGGACAGCGGTTTTTATTTCTGAAGCAAAGCGGGGACGTGGCCAAGCGGAAGGCCGCGTCCGCACACATATTTTGCACTCACGGAAAAAAAGACGCGCCTTCAGCATCGCGCTTTTCTTAAGTTGACGCAGATGTTGGAGTGTTCCGAATTGCTGCTCAAAATAAGCGCCTGGTAAACAACATTGTGTTCTGTGCGGTGAGTAAGCGCACTCACCCACCGATGGATGCTGCCGGTTCAAATGGGAACCAACCTGCCATCTCCTGTGAAGAAGCGCACAGTTGGGGTGACTTGGCTTTTTCTATGGAAGTTTCAGCTAAGCTACATACTTTCCAAAATGATTCTGCGACTTTTCCCTGTGGATTGGGGGAATATGCGTCTCAGCAGAGCTTCTCTGAGATAAGATGGTGGATCACAACACTGCAAAGTTCTGTAGAGTTATTTGTCTCAGGATGAACTTTATACATCATAATAAAATGCAAAAGTCCATTTTTTTGTGTGTGTTCGTTTTGTTTTCTCGTTTCGTAGACAAAACTTATTTGGGCTTCATCGTGTTTCCAAACTATTCAGAAACCTTAGAACTCCCATTTGCTATCTTTCTGCACAGAGTTGCTGGTCTGATTCCCGGCTAAGAAATGGATGCGTCTCTACAGTGTCACTTTGACACTTAAAAAAAAATATATATTTTACTTTACTTGCTTGCTCATCACTTGATCATTTTTATTGTTATTTCCCTCAACCCTCTTGCCTTAATAATGTTTTCCGGGCTGGATGGCGCTCTCAGTCTGCACCATTTTGGCCGTGAGCCCTACAGTAAATGTAGTTTTAAAGAGATGCTCCGGCAGCCTGCTCAACAGGCCCACACACCAGCCTCTGTTCCGAGAGCTGTCCTCAGCTACCAACACCGAGGCTTTGGGCGAGGGAGCCAGCCAGCCAGAGAGTGAGTGTTTGTGTGTGTGTGTGTAGGAGTGAGTGCGCTGCTCTGCAGTCTGTTGAGCCGATGGCCCATCCCCCACCCGTGCTGGCTGTCTGACTGTTGGGAAAGCTGTACAGCTACACTTCAACTCTCACATGCACACCCACAGAGGAAGTGGCTGCTCAAAGCCCGACACACTGGTGCATATCCACCAAAAACGGGTGATTCGATAAGACAACCGCACCGGTGCGCCTGCTCCTTTCCTTTTGGTTTGGAAAGGGAAGGTGTAATTGAGTTCATTTGAAGTATTGTGAAGACAAAGTTGTTTTTGTTCAACTTTTAATTAGATCATAAACAATAACACAAACTGACAGACATGAGCTATTGTTGTAAACTGCCCTCATCATATTAATGTCAAAAACAAATACTCACATTCATGTAAATCAAACACAACTACAGAAAAAACATGATATGCACTCTTTTTTCAATGTTGTTCTGTTGAAGAATCCCTGCTGTAAAAAACCTGCTTAGTTCATGTAGGCTTGATAATTTACAAGGCAATCATCCCAGTGAAGGCTCTGTTTAATAAGAGGTGACACAGTTTCTCTAATCGTGGACCTTGTTTTTTTTTTAACCATCACTTCTAATTAGGTCAATGATAAGAAGATAACCCCTTTTTCAATTTAGCATCTTGAAGTTTTTAGTATATGAGTATGTTTCCCAGACAGATGTAGGTGGAGGTAAACCTTACTGACACAGTTCTTTTATGTTTTTTGGTGACTAGTCTCTTGTCATTCCAGTTTTTGTATTCCTCCCCTGTAGTTGTTTAGTCATCCCTGCCTTTGCTTTTTCGTCATATTTGCCCCGTGATCGACATTAAAACACACAGCGATAAATATTGTTCGACTTGTAGACAAACCTTTATTGCTGTCCATGGTCTCCAGTCACCCTATAATGGGTTCACCTCTGCTTTCTACTGCACGCAGTCCCTCAGACCGTAGGTCTGCATCGACATGGTGGAAACCTTCCTTCATGTTTAAAAGTTTTTGGGTCTTCTAAAAGTTTTGTTGTCATCTGATAATGGAAATAGATGGCTTTTAAAAAATTGAGCTGATTGTGATGTGGCACCCAACTTCCCGTCTCGCTGCGTTTAACAGATGGTGGTGAAGACCTACATGGACATGGATCAAGACTCTGAAGAGGAGAAGCAGCAGTATCTCGGCCTGGCACTCCACCTCGCCTCAGAGTTCTTCCTTAGGAACCCCAATAAAGATGTGCGGCTGCTGGTCGCCTGCTGTCTGGCTGACATCTTCAGGATCTACGCCCCCGAGGCCCCGTACACCTCCCACGACAAACTCAAGGTCTGGATTTATCTATTTGGCTCACGCCATCCTGAAGGGGAATGCGTTTAGGGGAAGTTCAGACCTTTAGCGGTCACTCATCTTGTTAAGAACCCATCTCATTTTCAGTCTTGCATATCAAAAAAGTTATTAAAAATTAGCATTAATTGTAACAGCAGAAGAAGTTTTACACATTGGAACTTTTACTGCCACATAACGCTGTTTATTTGTCAGTCTGTAAAAATCGTTCTGCACCGACCAAATATAAACTACTGAATCATGTAATCGAAATGACTCTCCTCTCCAGGACATCTTCCTGTTCATCACCAGACAGTTAAAAGGACTAGAAGACACAAAGAGTCCCCAGTTCAACCGATACTTTTATCTTCTGGAGGTGACGCTTTCTTTTTCTTAAAAAATGTTGTTTGGATAGAGGGAAAATGCAATTTTTAAAAATGTGTTTATTTATTTAAAGAAAGTACATCTGTCTGATTATCACAAGTTTGGATTGTAAATAAAAGAAAAGACATGGTGGATTTGATTGTTAAAGATGAGGTTTTCTTGTGTTCCCTTAAGAACTTGGCCTGGGTGAAATCGTACAATATCTGCTTCGAACTGGAGGACTGCAACGAAATCTTCATCCAACTCTTCAAAACGCTCTTCTCTGTCATCAAGTAAGGCCCTGGTGGTGTTTGGCAAACCTTTTCCTGAATCTGGGGGAAAAAAAACTCCTAAATTCCATCAACCAGAAGGTTACTTTGTTTTCCCCTGAGTCATTTTGTATCTCCCATCGTCTGCAGCAACAGCCATAACCAGAAGGTGCAGATGCACATGATGGACCTGATGAGTTCTATCATCATGGAGGGAGACGGAGTCACGCAGGAGCTGCTGGACACAATCCTAATCAACCTCATCCCTGCACACAAAGTAAGCCTCGCGTTTGGAAATCCCATTATCAGAGTAACATTGAAGTGGTGAGGCCAAAGAGATTTGGAGATCCGGTTGCTTTTGTGATTTTATTCTATTTGTTTAAACTCCGGTGGATTCTAATGAGCGTTTCACCCCTCCTGGAACAGAATCTGAACAAGCAAGCGTACGATCTTGCAAAGACTCTGCTGAAGAGGACGGTCCAGACCATCGAGACGTGCATCGCCAACGTGAGGAGCTTCTTCTTTTCAGTTTCATTTCCACAATTGTAGTTTTTTCCTGCTCGGTTAGCCATCCTCTCTTCATATCGATAGCTGGTCTTCATCAATAACCCTTAAAACTCTGTCTTGTTTCTCCAGTTCTTCAATCAGGTTTTAGTAATGGGAAAGTCCTCCGTCAGTGACCTCTCCGAGCACGTCTTTGACCTCATCCAGGAGCTGTTTTCCATCGACCCCCTGCTGCTTACCTCTGTCATGCCGCAGCTGGAGTTCAAACTCAAGGTAAACACAGCACACAGCCCAAGCTTGGACCTTTTGATATTAGTTTTTTCATTTTTACAAGAGTAGATAAAGATGTTTAGTAGCTATGTTTGTTTTTAATTTTGTCTTGAATTAATGGGAACAATTCCACAGTAACTTAATGGATTACAAACGATCACAGGGCCATAATGGAAAATGCAATATAGTAAAACACATGGAAGCAATGGTTTTATTTAAAATTTTTATTTTTTAAATCAGTTTTGTATTGCCCTCTTTAGCTCAAACTTAGTCACAACTCTCCAGAAACAGGGGTTTTTAAAAATCTTTTATTTTAATGTTTTGAATTTAACAGTCACTGGCTATACAGGCAGGAAATCCCACAACATATAATCAGAACTCAACCAGACCTCTGCTTCCCCCGTCTTAGTCCCGTAGCGGTCATGGACATGAGGAGGTTTAATTCAATCGGGCATTGAGCTGAGCAATGGCCACATTAAGCCGACCAACAGATAATAAATAATGCACACTCGCCTCCTTTCTGGGCTGTCCAGTGTAGCTGTGGTGCATTGCTCTCTGACTACATGCACATTCCACACACGCATTTTTATGCCCTCTCTCTATGTTTGCATTATGAAAAGAAATAAATAAGTTTGAAGAACATGAATCATTAATGATAAATAATAATAATAAAGCTTTTTTTTTTTAATCAAACATTGCAATCCATTTCCAAATCTTTTGGTTCGCAGAGCAACGATGGCGAGGAGCGACTGGCCGTTGTGCGGTTGCTGGCAAAGTTATTCGGGGCCAAAGACTCGGAGCTGGCCTCGCAGAACCGACCGCTGTGGCAGTGCTTTTTAGGACGGTGAGCAACTCCCGACACGTCTCGTGACGAAGGCTGTGCAAAGTCGTCAAGTAATAGCGGGCCAGTAATGGAAATGTTCCCCCAGGTTCAACGATATCCACGTCCCAGTCAGGCTGGAGTGCGTGAAGTTTGCCAGCCACTGCCTCATGAACCACCCAGACTTGGCGAGAGACCTGACAGGTGCGCCGTGCCCTCATTCGCGGTTTATTTCGGGGTCTAGATCGGCCGCCTTCCAACTGAAATCGTTCGTTCACGTGCCCCCTAACAGAAAAACCCAATCCTCTCATTCAGAATATCTGAAGGTGCGCTCCCACGACCCAGAGGAAGCCATCCGCCACGACGTCATCGTCACCATTATCAACGCCGGCAAGAAAGACCTCAACCTGGTCAATGACCAGCTGTTGGGCTTCGTGCGGGAGAGGACCCTCGACAAGAGGGTGAGACTTATTATTTCCTTTAGATTCTTAGCGGTTGACGTTGAATATTCAAATTCCCAAGCCTTTAATTTGGCCTCCCCCGAATGCATTCCTTAAAAAGAAGTTCAGGGTCTCCTGCTCTTGACTGAGGACTCTCCTCTCTTTCCCTCCACGTGCAGTGGCGTGTGCGTAAGGAGGCCATGATGGGCCTGGCTCAGCTCTATAAGAAATACTGCCTGCACCACGAGGCCGGAAAGGAGTCGGCCCTGAAGATCAGCTGGATCAAAGACAAACTGCTGCACATCTACTACCAGAACAGCATCGACGACAAGTGAGAACACCCCAAACTGTCCATAACATTTCATTCTTCAGCCCGTCGCCCACAGGGAGAAGCTGTTTGAATGGTTGGATGTAGCGGCTGATGACAGTCGGGTTAATTATGCACCGTCATGACAAAGGTTCATGTTACCAATCTGGGGGCTTTGCCAGGGCCTAACAGTGAGTAAATAAGGCTGTTAGTGAAACACAAAAGTTCAGATTTCAACTGTAACTGGGAGCATGCGCATTGTTGATGTGCATTGACAACATATCAGCGTGACCAACAGGTCTGATGGTGATATTTCACAGTCTCTGGATTTCTTATTTCCTTTTAAGTCACGCACTGAAACTTTCCCCCTCCAGGTTGTTAGTGGAGAAGATTTTCGGTCAGTTCATGGTGCCTCAAAATCTTGATACAGAAGAGAAGATGAAATGTTTGTACTACCTTTACGCCTGCCTGGACACCAACGCCGTCAAGTTAGTCAATCCGAAGCATTCTGCACATCATTTAAAAAATGGACGAGTGTTTTATGTGCGACCCGTAAATACTGACCTGCTTTTCCTCTGGTTGTAGGGCTCTGAATGAGATGTGGAAGTGTCAGAACATGCTCAGGGGACTTGTCAAAGAGCTGCTTGATCTTCACAAGCTGCCAGTGGTGTGCTGAGACTCATTAACAATTCTTTTCTTTTATAAGTGTGGATGGAACTGGAGATTTTAAAAATATCTCACATGTCTCTCTCTCTCCCTGTCCTGGTAGTCTGAGGCCAATAACACAGCGATGTTTGGGAAGCTCATGAGTATCGCAAGTAAGTTGGAGGCACACACAGAGAAATTGTGCTTTATCGTTCGTGCCCCGCACGTTTATTCTACTTAAGTGTTTTCTTCCTACTTTTTAAGGCTCGCTTATTTCTGTTGTTTTTTTGTTTCTTTCTTTAGAGAACTTACCAGATGCTGGAAAAGCCCAAGACTTCATGAAAAAATTCAATCAAGTTCTGGGCGAGGACGAGAAGCTCAGAGTCCAGCTGGAGATGCTCATCAGTCCGACCTGCTCCTGCAAGCAGGCCGAGATCTGCGTGGTGAGACGACACTTAGTTCCAGATCTGTTTTGCCGCTCAGCATTTAGTCTTTTAACGTTTGGCGCCCGCACCTCTCAACGGAGCTAGTTTTTTAGCCACAAGCCCCAATGCTTTGGTGTCAATCCCGTGTTTAGGTTCCAGATAAGAAGTGTAAATATGTACGCAGACGTATAAGCACAAACAAGCCTGAGCGTTTGTGTTTACTGTGTGTCGTTTGGATCATGTGCAGAGGGAGATCACTCGGAAGCTGACATTCCCAAAACAGCCCACCAACCCCTTCCTGGAGATGGTGAAGTTCCTGCTGGAGCGGATCGCCCCCGTTCACATCGACTCTGAGGCTATAAGGTCAGAAAGCGTCCGTTTTTTTATTCTGGACGAAGCAAAATATCTGCCTTTCTTAGATCTAAATTTAAGATTCTTGTAAAAAAACTCATTTTTTAAGATGGTCCAGATTGTGTTTTCATTTTAAGAAACTAAAAAAGCTGGCTATTAATGCTGAGCACCAGAAATGAAACGGTCATATAACAGAGCAACAGGGTGTATTCTACTTTCTCAAAGAGCTTCATGTGCTGCCTGTGTTATTGTGTAACACACTACCACCACCAGGCTTTTCCTCATTCACTGAGACACCTAGTGGTGGTGAAGTGTAACTGCGGGCGTCCGCTGGGCTCGGATTTAACCCTTTCTGTTTGGTGGAAAAACACCACTACAGCTCACACTAAAAGGTCACACAGTGATATATTCTTGGCCTAGTGGTTGCTTTTCCAGCTATGAGTTCTTCACCCTGTCAGAAAATCCCAGTGATGCATGTTGTAAACAAAAGGATGGTCTCGTTTGACGTTGACATTTTGGGTTTTTGTTTGTTTTTCCTGTTCGTTTTGTTTCCAGCGCATTGGTAAAACTGCTGAACAAATCTATCGAAGGCACGGCCGATGACGACGAGGAGGGCGTGACCCCCGACACGGCAATCCGCTCCGGACTGGAGCTCCTTAAGGTATGGGCTCAGAGTGAGATTCAAGACATTAGCTGCACACTGAGCTGAAAAACTGCCTTGTTCATGGCGGATAGCTGAGGTACTTGAGGGACCCCATTAGTGTCTGCAAATGACCAAGTTCCCCTCTGGCTTTAGGTCCTTTCGTTCACACATCCCACCGCGTTCCACTCAGCCGAGACGTACGAGTCTCTGCTGCAGTGTCTGAAGATGGAGGACGACAAAGTGGCGGAGGCAGCCATCCAGATTTTCAGGAACACCGGGCAGAAGATCGAGACGGAGTTACAGCAGATAAGATCGTAAGTGGCCGGTGACCAACAGCTCTGTTGACCTTTATCTGAAAAGATTCAAACAAAAAAACAAAGTACAAATGGAGCTACAGTGTTAGATAGGGCCCTAAATGTAAGATCTTTTATAACTGAATGATTTTGCTGTGGTGCGTTCATCAGGACGTTGATTCCCATCCTGCATCAGAAAGCCAAGCGGGGCACTCCTCATCAGGCCAAGCAGGCTGTCCACTGCATTCACGCCATCTTTAACAACAAAGAAGTGCAGCTGGCTCAGATCTTTGAGGTAAGAGGCGGCCGCTGCAGCTCCGCTGTTCCTGAACACGCTTTTGTGTGGATGCGCTCACAGTGTTTCCTCTGTCACCTCCAGCCTCTGTCGCGTAGTCTCAATGCAGACGTCCCCGAGCAGCTCATCACTCCGCTCGTGTCCCTGGGACATATATCCATGCTCGCTCCAGATCAGTTTGCCTCTCCAATGAAATCCATAGTGGCTAACTTCATTGTTAAGGACTTGCTCATGAATGACAGGGTGCGTGGAACAGACACCCATATACGCATTACTACCACACTTTTTACACTATTCATAACGGGACGGCAAGTAAAGTCAGTGCATGACGAGTTGTTGATGAAGCGTGTGTGCAGATTCAGAGGAAAGGGGGATTTACAGATGTCTTTGTTTCTCCAGTCGGTGGGGAACAAAAACGGGAAGCTGTGGACCACTGATGAGGAAGTCTCTCCAGAGGTGCTAGCAAAGGTGAGACGCACACACGCTGAATAAAGTCTCTCAGTGCGAGCCTTCTATTTTTAAATGGCAGAGTTTTGTAGTAAAGGATTTTTAAAAAAGGATTCTGTGAAGACACTGTGAACAAAAGCTGTCCATTTCCCACAGGTTCAGGCCATCAAGCTACTGGTTCGTTGGTTACTAGGTATGAAGAACAACCAGTCCAAGTCGGCAAACTCCACGCTCCGCCTGCTGTCAGCCATGCTGGTCAGCGAGGGTGACCTCACAGAGCAGAAGAAGATCAGGTACTCGGAACAGGCCGCTTTGGCCGTTACGTAAGCAAACGACCCGGGAGCTAGAAATGTCTTTTAAGTGATGGATTTATCTGCTCTGCCTTCCTCACAGTAAATCCGACATGTCCCGCCTGAGGCTAGCTGCAGGTGGAGCCATTATGAAGTTAGCTCAGGAGCCCTGTTACCATGACATCATCACACCCGAGCAGTTTCAGCTCTGCGGCCTCGTGATCAATGTCAGTTATCACCATGTTCTTGATCAAATATTTCATATTACACACATATCTGCTTGCGTGAATTTGGGCTTCGTTGACACTTGACCCTCCCTCAAACAGGACGAGTGCTACCAGGTCCGGCAGATATTCGCCCAGAAGCTGCACATGGCCCTCGTCAAACTGATGCTGCCCCTGGAGTACCTGGCTGTTTTCGCTTTGTGTGCCAAGGACCCGGTGAAGGAGCGCCGCGCCCACGCCCGACAGTGCCTCCTCAAAAACATCTCCGTCCGCAGGGAGTACATCAAACAGAATCCCCTCGCTCAGGGTCAGTTTTCAACCTCGAAAATGTTTGCTCATAGTTTATATTAAAATGATGAAGGCAGTCAGGGACCTTGGGCTGAGAAAAATAATTAATGTTAAGAAGATGCCACCCAAACAACAACAACAGGAAGTCAAGTTTGCCCCTGTTTATCTTTACCTGGAGGCACTTCAAATGTGTTATCCTCCCCCCCAACAGAAAAACTTGTCTCTCTCCTTCCTGAGTACGTCGTACCATACATGATCCACCTGCTAGCCCACGATCCAGACTTCACAAAGCCCCATGAATATGAACAACTCAAAGACATCAAAGAGTGAGTGTGTTTTCCCTCTGTGCCCAATTTAGAATGAATTTCCGAGATAACGCGGAGATGCCACCAGTTTGGACCCAAACTGCATTGTGTGTCTGTTTTGCTTCTGTTTCCAGGTGCCTGTGGTTCATGTTAGAGGTGCTGATGACCAAGAATGAGAACAACAGTCACGCCTTTCTAAGAAAGATGGTTGAGAACATTAAACAAACCAAGGATGCTCAGTGTCCCGAAGACGCGAAGGCCAACGAGGTAAAGGCACACACCGAATAAACATCCAGACACACATTCGGTTGAGGTTTCGTTGTGGTTTCAAAGCAGAATCCCTTTTCTGTAGCTGCAGCTCCTCTGGATTAGTTTTCCCCGATCACAGAACATTTACTTTAAGGGGGGAGCAGGCTAGTGTGAAGGACGATGTGGAAATAATTACCGATCACAGCTCGCCTTCTGTTGCTCTGCTTCCAGAAACTGTACATTGTCTGCGACGTTGCCCTCTTTGTGATCGCCAACAAAAGCACCGCATGTCACCTGGACAGCCCGAAAGAGCCGGTGCTACCCTCCAAGTTCTTTCTCATACAAGACAAGGCAAGAAATGCACACACACACACACAAAAGATGCACACAAGCTATGGATATAATAGTAAGAACAATATGTAAATCAAGACATGAAATAATTGTGTATTTTCTTGTTGGTTTTTTTCCAAAACAGGACTTCAAAAATGATAAAGAGTACCTGATGCCCGAGATGAGACAAATGCTCCTCACTGGAAAGGTTGGTGTGGTTTTTCCATATTAGTTTGTAACGTGAGCAGTGTAATGTCCGGCAGTGCAGGATACGAAGATGCAACCATTTATTATTGTGGATTTACGTGGATATCTGAGCATGTTTAATGCTTAAAAAAAATAATCATGTTATGCGTTTGAAACCATTCAGGACTCCACATTTTCCCTTGATTTTTAGATCACCAGGATGATAATTTGGTTGGCCAGCTGCTGAGCTAATGGAAATCTGATAGTTTTGGGGGATGAGGTCAATGTTGAGGTCATTACTGTGGGCACTGGGGTGTAGCATTACATGCTTTTAAAGGTTTCATTCAGGCAGGACATTAGCACTCAGATGTCTGAGAGGATTTAATAAAGAAGAGTCGATTATGATGGGCTGGTTAACAATCCCATACTTTTGGATTGTTAATTTCGTCCTTTACGCCAGCCATTCGTTTGATTCTTTCGGTCTACATCTGTGCATCCTTTAAGAGAGATCTTCAGCAATATAGCTGGTAGCTTTTTACTGAAGGGCCCACCGTACTGCTGATAATTAACACCTTTACACAAAGTATGTATGCAATAGGAGCAACAGTCACACATGGATCATATTAAAAGACGAGGAAACCCAAAACCCCTTTCAAATTCTCCAGTCCTGCAACTTGAGGGCATCCTAGTGAATTTCGGGCCGTTTGGACATTTTGATACGTTAAATATTGTGTTCACACGCGAGCTGTAAGACACAGAATGACGTCCTCCTGAGTGGCTGTACTCTGGTTGTTGTCATGCAGCCGAAACCTGCTCCAGTGCTGGCAGCTGTCAACAAACCCCTGACGGTACCGGGGCGGAGGGTCTTCCCCAAGACCACCGCGGCCTCAGACGCGTCCAGCAACACCAGCACCAACTCGTCTCCGCTGAGCTCCACAATCAACAAGAACAGGTGAGTACCCACACGGCCCGCTGGGGGTTTATCACGCGCCCGCCCAGAGAAGAACCGCCGCTCAAACCCGTGTGTCCGCAGCTCAACCACCGAGTCCTCGGAGAGCCGAGCCCAGGAAAACAACGAGAACCCGGTCATCAAGAACGACGAGGGCAAGAAGGTAAGCGTGGGCGTCCCCGTGCCGCGTCGCTCCCCGCTCCCCCTCCTCTGCAGCGCCTCTCTCTCTCTGCCTTTTAAAGGACGAGCCCGGTCAGAAAGCGGCTCCCGAAACCAGGACAGAAGCGTCGCCGGCGAAGCGGCGCGGGCGCCCCCCCAAAGCGGCCGCCGTGGCCCCGCCGTCGGCCGAGAAAGAGGGCGCTGTGGCCGCCGCAGGGGGCGGGGCCGGCAGGGGCAGGAAGAGGGCGGCCGACTCCAACCAGTCCACAGAGTCCATCAACGCCAAGATGTCAAAGCAGCAGAACGACGAAGGGACAAAGAGACAGATCGACCTGCAGAGGTAAGAGCCCCAAAGCAAAACCCCTCCCAGCCCAGATCCAGCAGACACCAGAGGCCTCCTGCAAACGGCCTTAACCCGCCTAAAGTTTGTGAGTTTAAATGTCAGCAGGGCAAACGCCGGTGCCTTTCCCTCCCTTTTTGTGAGCGCGTTTCTGTCTCAGCAGGTGGCCGACTTTGAGCAGAGCGAATAAGACAGGGAGGAAAAGACAGTGGGGCAGATTACAGGGACAGTGACATGGAGCTGATAGAGTCCAGCCCAGAGAGAGAGACAGACAGCTCCACCTCTGCCTCACGTAACCAAAGAGACCAAAGAGACCAAAGAGACCAAAGAGACCAAAGAGACGGCGAGTCCACAGGGAGAATTCCTTCAGGCAGGCAGGGAGAGTCTCACTCTGGAGGAAATGCATGTGTACAGGTAGAGAGTCAGTGTGATCGGAGGGAGATTCTTTGCAAACATCTTGTAACCCTTTTTAGTGATAAAAAGATAAGCTTCCTTTTTCATTACTTCTCTATAAGCACACCTAGGCACCTTAATGCTTTGTGACCATTTTCAAGACGGCAGAAACAACACAAGTCACTCAGAAATACACAGAGACCTCATTTAAGCTGCAATTTTAGTCTGAAAGCGTCCTCACATGTTTTTAAATTTGGTAAAGGTCAATAACATCTGCTTGGATAATGGAGTTGTTTTAGTTTTAGACACGCTTTCTCTGCAGTTCAGCTGAGTTCCTGCTCCATAAATGACACTGTGCCGTTTAGCCCATGAACTGTTTCAGCTATCTAAAGTAAGGAGCAGATCATTCCATTTAGAATTGAAAGAGGCCCCGTTTCTTCACAACTGCGTTTGGCCAAAGGTGTTTATGGCTCGAAGAACAAGTATGACTGACTGACGCTGTTGTTGTTCTCCAGGTAAAGAGAGAGACCACTGAAGGTGAAATGGAGACTGTAGAGAATGGGCCACACTCTTCCTCATACCTCTCCCTACCCCCGACGTACAGGCTCCTCCGACTATTAGAGCTTTCCCGGAGAAATCATGGACCTTTCTTAAAAAAAAAACCTTAAAAAAACACACAAAACAAACACTGAATATACAAACGCACGCACGCACGCACGCACACACCGACTTCCTATAGGGTTTAAGACACCTTGTAGTCATGGATTTGAAGCTCGCTGTATGTAGGTCTTACAAAGAAACATGATATTTTTTTCCTTTGTGTTTGTTGCTCTTTGCTTCTTTTGTGGAGCCATTTTTAAGAAAAACAAGAAAAAAACTACAGGATGGACATTTTACAAACGTTTTAATCTGGTTATGATTGTTGCTTATTAAATTCCCTGGGATATATCCCACCCTGTTGACTCCCGACCTCTTCCTCTTTGTGTCCGTTGCACTGTGTTGTGGGTGTGGCGCTCCACGGTTTTACAGGTATGAGTTTGTATCTGCCCACTTTTTCAAAAATTTCAAGACAGTTGATTATTTTCAGCGAATCTTTAAAACAAAAAAAACAGTTTTCTAAACTTTGTTACGTTAAGGTGCTTGGCTGTAGCATCACAATGCCAACCTGAGCACGAGGCCTTTAGATTCATTTCCAGCGTGCTGACTGGACAAACTTCGGTCCATCGTTTCTCTAAAATGAACTGGCTTTTCTTTTTTTTCTCTTTTTTTTTCATTTAAACAGCATTAATACTCCACTTTGTAACGCATAAATGATCTATTACTTTACATGTGTTTTTGTCATCTTTTTCAGTTACATTTATTTTTATTTTTAAGGATCTTGTCACTTTTCTGTCGGGTAAGTGCTGCCTTTTAGCGTCGAGCGAGAGGAAAACCTTACGGGTTGTTAACAGTTTTTTTTTTTTTTTTAAGTTAAAATTTTGCTTTTTTTTATTTTTAAAGAAACCCCCCCCCCTGCCAAAAAAAAAAAAGAATAAATGCTTTTTAGATGTGGGTTTTGTCTTGACGGTTGTGTTTTGAGGTGCAGCTTTCAGAAATGCAGGCAAACTTGTTTGTTTTTTCTCCACTTTTTTTCTTTTTTAATCAAAAGGAACATGACACTGTCACAATAAATAACCATGCTGTTTGTACTGCTGATGCTTTCTTCCGCGCAAAAGGAAATAAGTCTCGGTCCAGATGGAGAAACTGAGACGCGACATCCCCCCCTCCCTTTTGTTTTTATGCTTTGTCATCGTGCAATATTGTACATAGAACGCCAGGAAGACGGGGTAGATCCAGCCAGCAAAGGTTCCCCCTCTGTGGTAACAACAGCTCTTTCATAAGGAACCGAAAGCTATTTACAAGGAGATCGTGTGTACATTCTCTCTGCTTCTCCTCTTTCTTTTGTTTTTGGCTCTGCACGCCCGCCCCGCCGTCACCAGAGGGGAGCATGAACTAACGTCGGGACCGCGGAGCTCCGCTGTGCCCAGAAGGGCCGAGTGGGAGGTCAGGAGAAAGGAAAATAAATCTGTAATCGCAGACGACCCCCTCGGTCCAATGCATGTGCACCTTTTTTTTTTTTTTCCATCTTTGCCTCTGTAAACTCGAGCATCATTTTAATTTATGTTCTCGTATCCTTGAAAAACACTGCAATCCTCAAACACAACAGAGGCATTCCAGGCCTCTTAACACTCCAAACATGAGTTATCTTCTTTTTTTTGGCTCTGTCGTAAAGCACATTCAGGTGTGTTGGACATCACCTTTATCTATATCTTTATGGCCAACATTCTGACTCGGTGACCCATTTTGCGCCGTTCCGTCTCCCAATGATTACAGGAGCGCTTTTTTTCTTCATGGGCAGGCGACGATTGCCCACAAGCGAGTGAAAGAAGCACGACAGCACTCAAAGACTGGATCCTCAATGACATCCACGCCACTCAGTTCTTGCTGAGGTGTTCTGTTCATGGCAGGGGAAACGCATTCCACAGAAATGGGTTTGTGGGGAGAAAAGTAAAACAAACACAGAAAAAGGCTCCAATTCCCCCACGGATGAAACTCAAACTGAGTCCCTGTGTCGTTGGCATAAAGGGGAGGAATTTGAAATGAACATCCCCCTGACACCGTTTGGCTAAATGAGATAAAGGCAACAGAACATGCAAAGATAAAGACACTGGGAAAAACTGGGTTTGGTTGGAGTAGAGGGGGAAATCGTGTAAAACTGGTTCTGAAAGTCAACCAAATGAGTAGGGCAAAAAAGGGACTTTCCAATGGTCAACGAAGAAAACAAAGATATCTCTGAATCTAACTGTAAAGTAGGCATAAATTATATTGAAAATAACTTTTTACAATGCCACCCATGTGTGTAGGGGAAAAAAAATTATATCTCCGTGGCATTTTCAAATGTACACACATATGTACAGTTGACTTTTTACCTCTGGAGTCGATGATGCAGATGTGGGTGGATGTGGACGCATGGCACAAAATCACAACCTTAAAAAAAAAAACATCCCTACTTCTGCAGCGGGCCGACGCGTCTGTCAGGTCAATTTAATCCAGCGAGACTTTTGTTTTTTCTCTTAACACTTCTTAAAAGTCTGCAGTGTGACAGCAGTTTGAGGGCTTCTCCCTTAAATTTGACCCTGCAAGATCCACCAAGCGGCGGTGGTTGATTGAGCACGATTTAAAGTTTCAGAGCAAATAAGATGGCGGGGGGTTGGGAAAAAGGGATGGGGGTAGAAAGATGAGCGGCATGGGGGCAAAAGTTTGTTCGAGCTCGTGGCAAGAGCACGTTGGCCTGAGATGAGGGGCCGGGTGAGCTCAGGCGGGCAGCAGGGTGGCGTGCGTGTTGGCAACTGTGAAGCCACCGGTGGCTAACTCATCTGTGATAAAAAGAAGGCTCGGGCTGCTCCTGTGGCCGCGTGGGGGGGGTGGTGTGGTGGAATGGTGCCAGAGGAGCTGAGGCTGCGGCCGTCCGGGGGCTCTGGATCCGTGCACCTGCGCGGGGGGGCCTCAGTTGCTCAGGAGCAGCTCTGTTGCCGTTTCCACGTCCCAGGATTTCGAAGACAAGGCCGCTATTACTGCATTCTGAAGGGGGGAAAACAAGGGGTCGGTCAGACATAACTCCACTTGAGTTGTACTCGGGAGGTTAAGCGTCGGGGACGGCTCGGACCTTATCGAAGCCCATGGCACAGAGCTTGTCTATTTTTCTGGTGTAGTCGGGGCTGGTGACGGGAGCGCCCGCGTAGACGTGCGACCACAGCCTCGCCGTCTGTTTGAACATTTCTGGGTTCTGCTTATACTGAGGGTTCAGACATAAGACCACAAAAAAAACGACAGTTATCCAAAATCTAATCCTGGGCTGAAAACACACTGCTTGTTTGAAACGTCTCCCGTCGACTTTGCGATGCAAACATAAGGAAACAAGCGCCTCTCACCTGGTTTGCTACGACCGCGTCTTGTGGATCATCTGGCTCTGCGGCGGCGAGAAGGGCCTGTAGAGACAAGAGCACCGTCCGCAGGGTCATGGCAGCTGCCCTGGGTGAGACAGGTCAAAGGTGTGAGCGGGCGCAGCTGGCCTCTGACCACAGTGGGTCGCAGGGCTCAGAGAGCTTCTCACTCACCACTGGTCTTTCAAAATGTCCAGACATATGGCTCCCGTCACAGAACTGATATTGGGGTGCCAGATCTTGGTGATGAAGCGCACCTGGAGAGGGAGGCGGATCGACAGTGACGGTTGAGGCTCGTGCCAGCGAGACAAAGTGCGAATGCAAATGAAGGTTGTAAACATGTTTCCATTTCAAACACGGTTTACGCTTCCTGGTCTGTTTATTTTCCGTTTTTCAGTCGATCGCTGCGGATCGCCACTTTAGGATTTCTGTTCCTAAAACACTCCTCATACGCTGTGATCAGAGACGCAACGACACAGTCCGCCCGTCTAGGAGGAGTTATTTAAGGCGAGCTATTAGGAGTTTGTTGGTGTTGAGAGAGCGTGATGCTCGCCAGGGCAACACTGAGACAAACTAGAGGACAAAGCAACCTAAAGTGTGTTGGTAGGCTGGTGGGCCATCATATGCCAGCGCACCTTTATTAACAAATTAACTATTCAAAAGGGATGGGGACAGAAACTGTCCACACTGTTCAGCTGGACTGAGATGTAGAGAACACGTGATTTAATACATAACTTTCTTTCAGGGACAACTTCTTCCTTACTGAAGGGGACCCCCTCCACTAAAGGGTTGGAATGGCCAATAAAAATAAAAAGTCCAATACAGTCCAAAACATTTTTGGGGAAATGTCAAGAAAAATATGAGCCATCTTTACCCAACTCTTTTCATCACAAGGTCTGACACTGGTCACTGACTCACTAAGCAACGATGTTGGCCTGCAGCACCCAAAGTACACATGATCAATAAAGAGCCTACAAAAAGCATGCCGTCCTTTTGTTTTCAGGATTTTCAAAACTGGTCAGTCAAGGGGAAGAAAGACAGAGTCAAACAAGTGCAAGCATGGGAGAGGGGGCAGCAGCTCCTGACATTCAAAGACTCCGACTCAGCCCAGACACAGTTCCCGCTCATTTCAGTCCGCTGGGATCTCTCCTGAGCAGACACGAATCAATAAAACACACCACGCCCGACCACAAAAGCACAACAGTGGCCAAAATCTGCTTATGGTGGGCTTCTCTTTTGGTCCGGAGCACATCTGGTATTTGAATGGATGCAACAAACAGTGTGGAGGCCATCAGCCACTTTCCATGCACACTTTACCTTGGGTGGGTTAAATGGGTAGGTTTCTGGGATTTTTATTTCGAGCTGATATCTTCCACCTTGGAAATAGAAGACAGTAGCAAAACGTCAAAGCTTAGCATGGTCATGACAAGTCCTGCTGGGGTGTGAGTGTACCTTCGTAGGGCGTGTCTGGAGGACCTGCGATCTCCCCCCTCAGCTCTGTGAAGTTCTCGTCCACCAAATCAACTTTAATCTGGTTTTTGCTTGTCTGAGAGTTGGGGGGAAAATGGTAGAAGGGTTAAGTGGTGTCAGAGTTCCTGGTCCGTTACGACAGCTTTCAGCGGGGGGGTTATTTAGCCACCCTTCATTTTGTAAACATGAAGTCAAGGACACGATAAAAATGCCCACTTAAAAGTCCTGTTATTCACGGGAGGTGTTGGGGGAACGTAAGCAAAACAGATTGTTTTGCTCAAGAAGCTGCTCAAGCCAAAGTTGACTATAAAACCGCCAGTAAGTCAGGCAGTGGAACGAGGGTATAAACCTTTTAAATGACCGCAAGCCTTCTACGCTGAGTCGATAACAAGTTTGTTAAGTGGCGGAGCGTTCATGGACACGCCATGCTAATGCTAGCCGTACGTGAGTGTACACGTCAAGTTAAAAAAGCCTTTCCCCGAGTACGCTAAAATCTTTTGAACTGGTGTGTGTGTGTGTGTGACATACGGTGATGATGTGAGAGGCGTTTGCGGCAGTTCATTCAAAGTAGTGGGTTTTAATTAGGTTATTTCTTACAGGTATGCGGTATTGTTTGCGCTAAGCGCGAGGGCCTGTCAGTTGACAACCCTGAATCCCCGGTGTTTCCTGAACACACCCACCTGACACAACACGTTCGAAGCTAACGCTAGCTAAAGTTCTCCTGTTCGGGCCCGACCTGCTGAAAACATACGACTGGGACCTCACCAGGTAATTCTGTACTATCCTAACGGGCTCCTGCCTGTACACACTTTTAATAGAACCAAAACAGATCAAATGGAAGAACAAAAATAGGTCGGAAGACAACAAAAAACAGTAACGCCAACGCACCTCCTCGCTTTTAAGAACTTCTTTGAACTCTCGCTTGATCCTTTGAACCGCGATGTTAGCCATAGCTGTGTGTGTGTCGAGCTGCAACCGCTGCCGCCGCCTCGAAGGTGGACCCGGGGCCTCTCTTTTTCCCGGTGTTCTCCGTCTGTGTCGGGCTCTCCTGGGCGTTCTCCGCAGGTATGGATCTCCTTTCACTTTCGCCGGTAAGCGCTTCCTTTGGCGTCGGAGGGAGCTCACCGCGGCCCGCCAGGCAGCGCGCAGCGTCAGTCAGTCCAGAACATGCAGCGCAGGGCAGCTGCTGCACGGAGCACAGGCTGGAACTTTCATCAGCGAGCCCGGCTCCAGCGGCGGGCTGACAACACAGGTTAATGCTCTTTTCAAACTTGCCTTCGGGGCATTTCTCGTCACGAGCCGAGCACATCTGGTTTCCCTAACACTGGGAGGATTTTTTTTACACCTGACTGCGATTTGCTGTGAGGATTCCTGCGTGAGTGTGTGTGGGTTTGGGTGATTTATATTCCAGAAAATGTCACTAAAAAGCAGCCTTAAAGCTCAACACGTTTAGTTAAAAAAAAAAAACAAAGTTGGTATACCTTGACTGATGTGGCTGCCTAAGTATAAACTATTGTTTTGTTGTCAAATCTTTAAATTTTAAGTGATTTTTTTATGCCACTTGACACACCAAACTATTCACCTTGGTTGCTTCAGACTGAAGAGAAAAACTCACCCAACTTGCCTCTAAGATAGTAAAAACCCCTGGGTTTGTTAGCAACTGCGTGGAATTTCAGATATGCCCTGGTGATATTAACAGTAATGAGCCTTTTCAGTGCTTCCATCTGCTCATCTCTTACAGACCAACGTACTGTAAGAGCCCGTTGGCTCTTGACTGCTTTATTGCAGTCTGTAATCAGCCCATTGCAGAAACATATGAAATATGCATCAGGCCCTTAAGAGAAGACACCATATTAAAATGTCTCATGCAGATTGCTTTGTTCTATTTTTTAATTCTTTAGGTACATTATCATGCTTAGTACTTTTTTAGTAACTGGTCAGTGTTGCGAAATATTCTCACTGTGTCATATAGTGGTGAAAGATGTATTTAGAATGTTCAAACATAGACCATTCTTACACAGCAATGTAAGAGGCTGTAAATCAATTCCTGCCATTATCCTCAGTTCTAGAACAGAGGTGCTACAGTGCAACTGTGTGGCATACATTTGAATGAATCATATTATTGTGAGTAATATCTACGCATGATTTGCAGATGCCAGAGATTAAATTCATGTTGGAATTAGGCACAAAACCTAAAAAAGGTGTATTAAAACTTTTCTAATCCTAGAAAAAAAATAAACTGTATATATTATCATATGTTTGGTTACACAACTGCACAAATGTTTTATGGGCATCCGTATATTTACAGGCAGACAGCTGGACTGTTTGTTTACTGTTATGACGACACGATTCGTAGTATGATGATTGGCTATGAGGGCCGCCCATCACATGTTTGCACCAATAGGAAACGCTTTCCTCGTATCATGCACCCATGCTCTTTTCGGGCCCACCGGGATTGGCTCCCCTGAAGTCCCGGATGTGTATCGTGAGGAACAGCTAGTTGGCTCACGTGTATTAAACAAAACACAGACGGCTGGTTGACATGTCTGCGGACTGACGGTCTCTGGAACGGCAGCGTCAGTGCAACGCAGGGCCGCTTTAGACAATTATCGTCTCTGACCATCGTAAAGGGATCAAGTAAGTCGGTTTTTTCTGCGCTGTATGCTGTCGCATATGTGTCCAACGTGGGAGTGAAAAGAGAGAAGGAAAAAGCCTGACATGAAAGGGAGTTTTTAATGGCTTTGTTGGCGAGACTAGCAAGAGGCTAGCTGAGCTAAAATGGTTCGAGAGCACAGCTTCAGCGCTGATGTGTCTTAATACTTAGTCAATAGAAAAAATGTCTGCTGCAGTACAACATTGGGTTTGATCAGAGTTGGTCTTAGTGTGCTAGTTGCTCTACAGATGTGCAGTCACCCTCCCGAGAAAGAACAAAAAAATGTAACGCATAGATGTCGGTGCTAAAACAAACAGCGTACTTGAATGCAATCATTATGGAAGTCATGTTTGGTTTTAGTTAAGCTGTGCGTGGCGTTTTTTCCTTTAAACAATGGCGTTTGTTTGTCTGTTTTTCATCCACCTCAGGAAACGGTCCCTCTTCATTTCAATAATTTCCTTATTAAAAAAACACACACTATCAAAGTATCCCATCAGAGATTTCCGAAATAGTGGCTTTCTTTTCATTGATGGAAGAAATATTTATTTATTTATTTTAACATACAGGGCACTTTTTTTTGTCTCTGTAGAGTTTGGTTGCTGTCATAAAAAAACACTCCATCAGCTGACCTTTAATCAATTTATCCAAATGTTGACAAACTAAAGAATAGCCTTTTGACGTCAATCTCGCTAACACAGACAGTCCAATTTGAATAAACAAATACATAATTTGTATCTTATTCACTGTATAATTTAGAAATATGTGTTGAATATTAAAAGTTAGGCATTTGACTAAACATCTGAGGAAACCAGCTTCTGTCATAGTCTGCCATAGATTAATATACTAGTTCAACTGTTCAGCAGGTTTTCTTTGTCGTTTGTCTTCAGTTGATGGAAGTTGCCTGCAGGCAGGTGGACACGCCACCCAAACTTTGTAATTATAAAGCCGTGTCATTATGCGGGGTGTTGCGTGTCCTTTATCATTGTCTAGCTGGAATATCTGAGGTACTTTCTGAAAAAGATTCCATATGGATGGGAGTAGTTCTCTCTCAGGCCTGAATATAGCTTTGAATTGTCTTTTCGTTGTACCAAGTTAATTTTCCCAAGGGGCACCAATGTGCAGACTTGAGCTGAATGCAAATACCACGCTGGATGCTCTGTCTTCTCTTGATTCTAGAGCATAGAGTGTCAGTATGTTCCAAAAAGATTGTACCTATCTCTATTTGAAAAAAACTCTCCATTCCTTAGATACTTGAGTCCCTTTTTTCAGGTTTTTCCTGTGCGATATGCATTTAAAGGCGTACTTTGCATGATTAGAAACAAAAAAAAAGCATAAGTGGAGTGAAGATCTCAGTCTTTTAAAAACGGAGGACGCTGACCTTCTCCAGCTGGGCAGTCTCCTCCCCCTCATCTCTGTGGGACAACAACAGTCCAAAGCGTTAAAAAGAGGAAGCATCGAATTTCTCCCACTTGTTTAGGAGCGCCCCAGTTCCATTCACTGCCTTTTGTCTCAAGGTGGATACTATCTGGTGAGAGATGGCAGAGGGAGGCTTTGACCCTTGCGAGTGCATCTGCACTCAGGAGTACGCTATGAGGCGCCTCATTAACCTGGTAAGCAACTAAACGGCGGGAGGGGGGGGGCTTCTAGAGCCAAATGAAAGTGTGGGGGGGTTTAGCTCGTGCCAGAGCAAAGGTGCAGGGACAGGTGGAAGCATTCCAAGAATGTGCCACGACATGATAACGAGGAGAAGGAGCGGTGAATAATCATTAAGTGAAGTAAAGTTGTTCCCGTAGGACAGAGAAGGAAATGAAAAGCTACCGGGCAACTCTGAGCCAACACATCCTGGTTCTGGATCCGTGTTTGTCATGAGATCCTGCCGGCGCCGCCCCTAAGGCGACATCTCACACTGCTCCACTTCTGACAGATATCCTTTTGAAATGTGAACTAAATCCTGTCCTTCAATGGTGGACACAGAGTTTTCAAAGCAGATTCAAAAGCGTGTAAAAGGGTACAACCAGGAGTCCCTTTTTAAAGCCAGCTTCCAGATGACCTTATTTGCTTTGTGTGCTCTGGTCTAACTTGTGTGGCGGGTTGTGGTTGGCTGAACACTTGGAACCACTCCAAGCTTTCTGATTAAGCTTCCTGCATGAAAGGATGATGCCAAATTTCCTAAAAGGCAGCATTTGCAATTTTGATTTGTATATGCCGAGCGAGCATTGTAAAACCCAGAACATCATTCTATGTTTTTTTGTATGGACCACTTTTAACGATGAGCCATAAATGGCCAGAGTGAAGAATTCTGTCATTTGATCCTTCTGGTTTTTTTTTTTCAGCTTAGACAATCTCAGTTCTACTGCACAGACACAGAGTGTCCTCAGGAGTGTATGTATACCCATCTCTCAATTTCACCGTTTCTGCATTATAAAGCGTGAAAAATAATATTCTCAAATGAGAAATGTATGAATACGTTTGCAAAACTGGTGTGTTTCCGCGCAGTGCCAGGACCCAGCGGGACAGTGGGCGGAGGAGGTGACCTGACCCTCCCCATGGTTGTCATGGGCTGGGTGGTGGTGGCCCTAGTTCTGTTTCTGCTGCGCCCATCCAGTCTCAGGGGAGCCCGTCCTGCAGGCAAACCCACTGGACCTCGCAATGTCAGTCGCCGCTCCTTCTTGTATTACTTTATATTCACTTCAATACCTCGAAAACTGATGGTGTGCGGGATGAGAACATGGGTAGGACACAGCTTATCCGTTTACAGAATTACTCAGGCCACAAAGCAGATAATAAGGTTAGGATTATGACAAAACATCTAATAAGATAAAATATTATAGAAACGATGAAAGAAAAAAAAGATGGTTAAAGAGTATAGTACCAGCCATACCTACTTCTCCAAAATTATATTCTAACAGCCTATTTTCGGTTAAGTTAAAGTTGCATACAAACTTGTTCTCATAGATTTTAAGAGAAGGAAAGCACACCAAGTGCAGCTTGGTGCAAAGGGCTGATATACAAATATGTGTATATATACAGTATATACGTATATGACACTTGTGGGATTTAAAGATATAAACATTGAGCATTTTTGGTTTTGGCCACATGAAAAACCGAGTTTTTGTTTCTGCTGAGAGACATTAAAGAAGTTGCCCATCTCCCTAAGGTATGCAGGTTTCCTGTTCGGAACGGCTCTGTGATAGTGATGTTATTTTTAGTAAAGGAGACTGAGCGTTTTCACACCCACATTTTGAATCATCTGCTGGAACAACTGTGGAAACGCAGTCTGCTTTGGGCTACAGGCATTCCTTCATGATGAGATATGTTTTCCAGTGAAAGCCAAACAAAAACAGTTTGGACATTCTCTGACTCGAAGAGAAAAGGATAAACCCTCGTAGTGGTGAGCTTAAGACTCACAGCCTTATTTTGACTATTAACCTGGACACATAAGACGGTATTCTTGTTATAGTGTTTATCACCACCATCAATTCCTATTAGAATTCTTCTCATTTCTTTAGCAGAGTATTGATTGACCTTTGTGCGTTTTACAGAGTGATAGAAGGGAGCCCCCAGCACCACCTGTGGACTAACAGCGGGACCAGATCGTCAGCAAACATCCCCGCGTTCTGATTGGAGCCTCACAGTCGCCTTTAACTGTGGCCATGACGGAAGCATCTCCCTGACAGTTTCCACTTGCATATCTTTTTCTGTTTTTTTCTACTTCTAAATCATGTTGCAGATCTATATACAAAAAAAACAAACAATTATAACCAGGACCGTCTGATTAAAACTGGCACATTGATGGGATATCAGCTGGGCTCCATTAGTTACCTGAGAAAATGTTCAACTGTGTCTGTGCTTTGGAGTCAATCCCTGATTTCAGTTCAGGCACTTACGGATTCCCTGAAACTCAAGACACGAAAACCTTTTCAAGGAATTTGTCACGCGATCATGGGTGGTTGCGTTTTCCTTTAACCGCTCTCCCGGCGATTAGCTGTGGTTGGGTCCTCGGTATCTTGAACATTCCATAGTTTTTTGCTTTAAAAGTAAAACTTGAAGCAGTGCCAACTACGATGTCACCACATATTCAAACCAAACCAGCAGAATGACCAAATGTTTTAGGATGATTTGTTTAGGTTATATTCTGAGTTCGTTTTTCTTTCCAATAACAATCACTTTGTTTAAGGCAATGGATTAGTCGTTTGTGTTTACTGTAAAACTCAACCAGCAAATTGCCATGTCGGCTGTATACATCATAGTTAACTGTAAGAATGTGTAGCCCCTATTGGATCTCAGTCGGTCTGGTTACTGTGATCTGCTTGTGTGTGTGTTTCAGACAGCGGGTGTGGAACAAATTACAGGTTGATCTGTAAGAGATGGGGGTGAAAAAATTTGAAATCAAAGCTGTGTTCATAGACTTTATAATAATACGGTCAATTATTTGAAAGCTATTATTTCAAGACAATAAAATCAGATCAAACTCAGCTGTATAAATATTAAAGGACTGTAGTTATTTCTGGTTAGGGGCACTAACAAGAACAGTGTTGCCAAAACCCTGCTGTTCTACCTGATTCAGCTCCATAAATTATGTGAGCAATACAATACTTCAGCTTCTGCTCAAAGATGTCATTCTGGCAGAAAAGCAAGTGAATGAAGATCTGTTTAAAAGATGCCAATATAAATTCCTTCTTAAATTTAGAGCACTTTTGCAAAGAAATGATTTGCAGTGGGAGGATGTCTTTATGTTTAAATAATGTAGAAAGGGGTGGAGGGAATGGCACCCCTGTTGTTTTTTTCCCTTTTTTGTACACATTATTGGAAATATTATTCACTGCTGCAAAAATAAACAACCTCTTTTTAATCTTTCTGTTGTCTCGGGGAGATCAGGGACAGGAAAGCATTGATCTTCATGAATTGAAGTGTTATATGAAGGGGCATCACCTGACCACATCTCCGGGTGAATAAGTTGTATGACTTGACATGAAATGTTCAAAGTTCACTGTTACTTAGAGCAAAAGGGCTTGAACTATGCACTTTTCCTACAAAACAATGACAAATAAATACTTCAGTCTTATCTGTTTGTGTTTCATTATTTTCTGCAGAAGTGCCACACAGTCTACTGTATTTTCTAACTTTCAAAAATGTCCCTTTAAATCTAGTGAGAGCTTCAAGCTTTGTGTGTAAAAGCAGCATAAATAAAGTTGTATAATTAAAGGCTGTAGTTATTCGCGACTGCGTTTTTATGTTGCTCTTTTGATAGTTAAGGCCATCTAAATAGGTTCCAACTCAAAAACAGTTATGGCAGGAGTAGTAATCGAAACTGGAGTGGAATAGTTTTCGGTTATTTGTTGCCACGACTACTTTAGGAACAACAAAACTGTCATTAATTTAATTAAACGTATCAAGTCTTAGGCTTTTACCTGAAGTAAAATGCTTTTTGGACCATTGTTTTCTATTTTGCTAAATCCCCCGCCCCTTCGACATATTCCCTCCTCTTCCGCATTAGGTTTGGGGTCATCTTTTGAGCATGCGCAATGTTTAGGCGGAACTCGAAAGTCGGTCTCCCTGGGTTACCATCAACAACTCTGTTAGCACTCTGTAGCTTTATGCTAACGTGGGAGTTATATACATCCTTAGCTTTAACTGTATGGTGTAAGTGAAAGCACACGCCAATTGCGTCCAAGGCAAGTTTAGCCTAGGTTTTAGTTAGCCTTTGTGGTGATATTGATAGTATCAATTAACTATCTTTAGAAAGGGCAAGCTAGCACGCTAATGCCACTTCGCGTATTTGAATGATTTGTGTATGGTTTAGTTCAATATGACAAACGAGGAGATCACGACATTGGCATACACGAAAAGCCCTAAAACGTCAAAGAGAACAACATTTCAGGTGAAGTGTGAATTGAAGTGTGAATTGTATCTCTCATTTCAATATATGATGGCAAATTTCATATCACAACAAAGGTGATTAGGTTCCCCGAAAGCCCAATCAACCAGTTCAATCTCGTTGTTGCAGAATGAACTTCAGGCTGCTGTGGCTTCCAGGGCAAGAAAAGCGGAAGCAGAACAATACTCATACAATGATGACTTTGACGATGATGAAGATGGTAAGTTGTCAGAGCAGCAAAATAATACATATTGAATAATATGGTGAGGAATTCTTTTTTTTTTTTAAGATACATTTTTTTCATCCAGAAACTATACTATTGAAGTGACAGAAATTTTGATGGATAAAGTGGTAAAATTAAGTGGAGACAGAAATAACCTCTTTTTTTTAAAAATCTGAGCTGAGGAAGCCTCTGCACAGAGATACTATTGTTTTGTTGACATAAGTCTAATCCATTGATTGACTATTCTATTATTTATTGTTTTTCAGATTTTTTAAATGATCTTCTCAAATCAAGAAAAAAGAGGATTGATGCATTGAAGACTAGCAGGAATCAATCCAGACTTAGAAGCTTTGACCTCTCAGACGACGAAGGCAAACACAGTAAACCCAAAAAAGTTTCATTCCTAAAAGCCCAAAGAAAAAGCTCTCCCCCAAGTGACTCAGCAGTATCAGAGGGAGTAGATAAAGAGCCACAGGGATCCTCCATTGATGGTCAGTCCACTTATAATGGGTCCTTTTCCCAGCAGCACTCCACAAATGTCAGTGAAGAGAACTCACAGTTTGAAAATCGTGGCTTGGAGTCTGCTGACCCTCAGATCACAAATGGGACCTCGAGTCTTTCTTTTCAAACATCAAACGATTCTCTGACTTTGCCCTTACCGTCTGACGGCAGTGTGGTGGACACTCCGGCCCCAGGGCAGAAGAACGGGCAGGCTGTGGTGGAAGAAAGCTCAGAGACTCCACAGTTATCAGCGTCCAACCTGAGCCATGCTATTTCAGTTGGTCCGTTTAGTGGTCTTGCAAAATCTTTATAAAGAACATTACAAAATTGCACCGGTTTAAAGGTATGTTTTCCATTTATGTTACATATCAGATAGCGTAACGGATAGAGAGCCACCTAAACCCAAACCCCGGCAGCGGACGCTTGGATTGAAAGCTAATGTTACAGAGAAACCGGCTGAGGAAGTTGGGTCTCAGGATATCAGCAGGCCCCAGACATCTTCTGCATCCATCCCCCTCTCAACTGCTACATCCAGCAGTATCACTGTAAGAGGCCTCCAGTTTATCTCAGCATCCTGCACCCTAATTTGCAAAGTAAACAACTTTTTTCCTTGATTATTGTCAGTGGTCTGACAGGGATCACACGGATTCACGCGGCCCCAGCAAGTCCTCTTATAGTAAGAGTGAACCCTCACATGTCCTCACACAGTCTACGCTTGATTCTGGTTCCAGAGGTAATAACTTACCATTTCAGCGTTCTAATTACATAAATGTTATGCATCTACTCTCCTGACATTTGATTTGCTGCTTCAGATGGCTTCGTTTCTGGGGACAGCAAAGAGCCACAGGGAAACTACTCTTCATCATTTGAGGAATTTAATGTAAGATGTTTTGAACATGGTGGTTAGTCCCATATTAGATATGTTTGACCTCTTAATCTGAGTTTATTGTGAACGGCTCTCTCAGGACTGCTCCGGAGACCGACTTTCCTGTGCACCCGAAAAATCATTGGATAGCAGGTCAGTAGAAAGTTTCATTTATAGAATGTAATGGAAGGAAATAAATGTTATTGATCATCTTTTTTTTTGTTTTACTGCTATTAGGCCGTCAAGTACTACTAGTCTTAAACGCCCTGAACGGTCTCAGAGCGTTTGTTCCAAAATAGTAGAATCAAAGTATTTGGGAAGTCTCAAAGTTCTGGACCGTAAAGTCTCCTACCAGGAGTCTCAGCCACAAGAAGCAGATTCTCTCAGAGCTGCTATTTACCAGGTAAGTAAGAGGGTGTGTTTTCTTATCTGGCATCACAAAAGTCCACATTTCTGTTGTTACGCTCATAGTTTAGATTCTGCTTTTCCACCACCTGACCACAAGGTATTGTTGAATTTTAACTTCAAGGAATATGTTTTATTCCTCTTCACAAAGTGTCACATTGTCAACATTTTTATTTTCATTGAAATTCTGCATCTCCAAATCGCTCACAGATGTTTTTCAAGTTTAAGCTAGTTTGTTTGTCACAACAACAAAGCGCCTGACTGAAAGTCTGCTCATTAGACATCTATGTTGCTATCCACAGGAATGGCTTAAAAAGAAAAAAGAAAAGTCAAGAGAGATGATGCAACAAAAGAAGAAAGATGAACTTCTGAAGGAAAAGGAGAAAATGGTATTTAACCACCCATCATCAGTGAAGGTAAAAAACAACACGAAAATTAATATATCTCACCATCTTTCTGTCGAACAGAAACAAGAGGCGAAAAAGGAAGATGCCATGGCATCTTATGAGGCCTGGAAAGAAAAGAAAGCAGAGAGTCTCAAAGCTAAAGCCAGGGAAAGGAAAGATTTGTTACGAAAAGAGCAAAGAGCAACTGAAGAGAAACACGAAAAAAGCCAGTCTGCTCAACAGGTAAACCTCCCTGTTCTTTAGCATATGACTGCACTAAAGGTCCGTTCATACATTTCATTCTTTACTTTAGGTGTTCGAGAAATGGAAACGCGAGCACGACAACTTGCTCAGGGAGAAGTTCAAAAAACAGAAAGATGCTGAACATAAACTTAAACTCCAGAAACAAGAGACGGAAGAGGAGCGAAAAAGGGACAGCAGCTCTGCTTTTTCGAACTGGTCTGTCATTCATAATCTCTGTCATCTGCTTTTTATTCCTCTTATTCTAACCTTCAAACAATACTCCTATTTTATGGTTTGCAGGGATCTTGTTTTATTTTTCACATTTATTCTGAATTGGAAAGAAACCAACCATGGCGTTTGGTTGTGAAAGTGATCGACCACCAGATGGCAGTCACAGCTAAATGTTTGTGAAGGGATCCTGTAAACGGGGATTAACCTTTTTGTCTGAATCTGATTTAGGTCCAAAACGAAGAAAAATGTTCTCCATGAAAAGGTCACAACCGAACGCAAAGAAATCCAAAACAAAGTGGAGGAGGAGCAGTACATTAAAGAAGAAAGAGATAAAATGGCTTTAGAGATGTATGAAAACTGGCTGGTGAGTCGAACAGCTCTATCACTTGAAAATGATCACAAATTTGTCAAAAGGGACCCGTTTAGCAGTGACTTATGCAGGTTTTACATTTAGCAGTAGACTTTAAAACTATTTGACTTTTTTATTCTTTTTCAACAGACAAGAAAAGATCTAGAACAGAAGAGACAAAGAGAGGAAAGACGTATACAGGCAATACTCCGGGACAGTCCGCCTCCGCCGTGGAGCCCTCCGAATAAAACCATACCATTTAGAAAATAATGTTTGGAAGAAAGCGTGGCCTTTTGGATAGTATTTTTAGCATTATTTTATACATTTTACCCAGGAAAGTGTGCACAGTGTTGATTTATACTTTTCTCCAGGTCCATAGTTGGCCTGTTTTATATTTTTTTTAATGTTTCCGATTAAATAATGGACATGTGACGATTAATAAATTGTGACAGAATTTAACATTGGTGTGATAGAAAACTCACTTTATTGACTTGAAGAAAAAGTTTCTGTTTGTTTGTTTCCACAAATGGGGATGTTTGTCTTGGTCATGGTTTATATGTATGCTTACTTACATGGTTTATGATGCGCTACTTTTTATTTTTTAAAAATAAAATGAATCCTTCCACGGATATACAAACTCATGCAGGTGATTGGAGAAAGGCATCTGAAAATGGTGAAAGAGAGTTTTTCTTCAGGCCTTGACAAAAGTCCACCTGAAGTTGCCTAGAGATCTCAGATGCATCATTACAAGGGCTGTGATTCATCTGGAGTTTTTTTATCCTATAACCACTCCCTCGGGTTGTTAACACGTTTGTAAAATTACCTTACATTGAAAAAAGAGATGATAGTACTCTTCTTAGACGCTGTATTATAAAGTATGTTTTTCTGAATAAAAAAGGCTATTTCATATGAATGTGATATTATAGGTTAGGGTTAGGATTAAACTACCTTTACATCCGCAGTGGTTGGATATTTAATTACATTACCAGAAATATGTTTATTACGAATGATCTATTTCCACTGGACACAAAACGTCCCGTGCCTTAATTGAATAAATCTACGCTTTTACTCTGAAGTTATTCACCGGAAGTCCGTGTGTGCGCCTGCCCGGTCTTATAAAGACCGGTGAGTGGGCAGAAGTACCTCCTTAAAGTACAGGTTGTCATCGTCTTTCCCAAAAGTTACTAAAGGAATTCCTGGGGTGTGATTTTTACCCGTTTGCAGCTGCCCTCCCTTAGTTTCTGAAACATTTTGTACGTGTAACACGTCCCGTGGCTCCGGAATTAACGCTTTTTTCGACCCCAGGACTCATTTTTAACGGGGAAGTCAGCGCAATTTGCACATTCCTGAAGTTTAAAGGCTGAAAAGGTAACGGAACGTTAGCTACCGCTTGCTAGCTAGCCAGGTCAGTTCATTCATTGTGCGCTGGGCAGAGTCGGTCGGCTTTAAGAAGAAAGGGGGTAGAATTAGAGGTCCGTTTAGTGACTTTACCTTCTTCTCGTGCCCTAACGCTTCTCTGTAAGCGTTCTGCCGTCAAAGGGCAGAGAGCTACCTGTGAAAAAAGGGCTCTTTTTTCTTCTCTGCCAGACGTGGCTGATCCGCTATTAAAGAGCTCTTTATTTCCCACCAGGCTGAAATGGTACGGCTGGTAACCGTTACTGTGGTGCTACTGGGCAGGTCGGGCTTCTTACACAGGAGGATTTTTGTATCGATGTTTTGGATGGTGTCAGAGAATGTATCAAAATTAATTACGGTACTTTGGTTTTGGGACGGCAGACTTTGAGGGTTAGACACTTTATTCGGCAGCTATTAACATTCTTAGACGATAAGTGATTTTAAATCCTTGTATTACAGAGAGTTACACATTATTATTACTTTATTGCATGTTGACAGGTCTTTTTATTGTATTAATTAGTAAATCATCTGTAGAGGGTAATTAATAGATGATAAGTAGTTGAACTCTTAAACAGCCAGCTTCTCACACTGTTATCACCATTAATTGATAAGGACATTGGCTAAGCAAAAACTTCTTGACTTGCTTATCTGTAAGATTGGTGAGTATATGATTTGACGGCAGTTTATTTTTTTTTTTTGCATTTGTATGAATAAAACAAACCTTTCCTCTTCCAGATGTTTCAGATTAAAAGGATCTGCTGCATTGGAGCTGGGTATGTCGGAGGCCCGACGTGCAGCGTGATCGCCCATATGTGTCCAGAGATCACCGTCACTGTTGTGGACGTCAATGAGTCTCGGATCAAAGCCTGGAACTCGGACACTCTGCCCATTTATGAGGTTAGGGTATCTGTGTTATTACCAAACAACATTGGTCAGAGAGCTAATGAGCAGATTTACTTTCTCCCCCCTTTGCCTTCCCACCTTTGACTTCTACTTGTAAAACATGATAACTCATGGAACCAATCCTGTCGCAATTGTGTCGGTATTTAAAAGCCACACCTCTGTCTCAAGAGTTCAAAAACTCTGTGTAGAGTGTAGAACAAAATGTTGCCAGGCAACCTCCTGATTCTTCAGAATCAGAACCAGAAATACTTTAATAATCCCAGAGGGAAATTATTTTGTTAATGGCTACATAACTAAAACAGCGGCATATACATATATTCATTTTATGAAATAAGATGTAGATTAGTTCCAGATGGTTTTGAAAACTCCCTACGTCAACCCCGACCGGAAGGCATTACGTCACCATGACTAATGCCGGTCAGTGTGAGGTTGTGTTACATTTATGACTTGAGTTTTCCTTTTTATTTCCCCACTCATTCACTGACATGACACTCCTACTTCCTCTCGTTTCAGCCGGGGTTGAAAGAGGTGGTTGAATCATGCAGAGGGAGAAACCTGTTTTTTTCTACAGACATCGACTCGGCCATCAGGGACGCCGACCTCGTCTTCATCTCTGTGAGTTCTCTATACACCAGGTTGTGTTCTGACTGTGAAGCATGTCCTTTCCAGCCTCTGCTAACTGTTGTTCTGTCCCGGCCCATCCCACACAACACACAGGTGAACACTCCAACCAAGACCTACGGGATGGGGAAGGGTCGTGCCGCTGACCTGAAGTTCATAGAGGCGTGCGCTCGGCGGATCGTGGAGGTGTCCGACGGGTACAAGATCGTCACGGAGAAGAGCACAGTGCCCGTGCGAGCTGCTGAGAGCATCAGACGGATATTTGACGCCAACACCAAACCCAGCCTTAACCTACACGTGTGTATTGTCACAAAAAAACGTCTCCAGAGATTCTGTTCGTTTATTTTTGATCCGGTTAAAGAAAATGTGTCGCTCTCACAGGTGCTGTCCAACCCAGAGTTCCTCGCAGAAGGAACAGCAGTGCGGGATCTGAAGGAGCCAGACCGCGTTCTGATTGGTGGGGACGAGACTGATGAAGGCCAGAGGGCCATCAGAGCCCTTTGTGCCGTGTATGAACACTGGGTCCCCAAAGCCCGCATCATCACCACCAACACGTGGTCCTCTGAGCTCTCTAAGCTGGTGAGTTCACGGCTGTGGCAGACAGTCGATTAACCATCATCGAATATCACCACTCTTTGAATCAAATTTATTGACATTCGAAGACAGTCAGCTAATGGTGTTCCATTTTGTAAAACCACATGGTTGCTTTTTCCGTTCAGATAGAATTGATTTATTTAGTCTTTAATAAAAATCTAAGATAAAAATGCACACAAGTTTTAAAACATGTTTTCACCAGATATTTTTCCCCTGTCTTTTGTTCAGTTTTTTGGTCACAGCTTAGAGCAGGTGTCCCTTTTTTGTGCGCTTTCAGTTTCTTCGTGCGCGATGGTCATGAAATAATACAAATGGTCTGGTGTTTGCAGGCGGCCAATGCGTTCCTGGCTCAGCGGATCAGCAGCATCAACAGCATCAGCGCCCTCTGCGAGGCCACCGGCGCCGACGTGGAGGAGGTGGCCAAGGCCATCGGTATGGACCAGCGAATCGGCAGCAAGTTCCTCAAAGCCAGCGTTGGTAAGAACCCCCCTCCTCAGAAAACGCAGAATGTTTCCAGCGTGTCTGGCATACTGACAGCAGATTGGTTGTGTCTGGCCAGGTTTTGGTGGGAGCTGCTTCCAGAAAGACGTGCTCAATCTGGTGTATCTGTGCGAGGCCCTCAACCTGCCCGAGGTGGCTTCCTACTGGCAGCAGGTGAGAACCAGGCAGAGCGGCAGCCACCTGGAGCCTTCGGCTCCCCGTTCACCACCATCTCCTCACCGGTCCGCCCTGGCTCTGACTCTCCTCAGGTCATCGACATGAACGAGTACCAGAGGAAGCGCTTTGCCTGCAGGATCATCGACTCGCTCTTCAACACCGTAACCGGGAAAAAGATCGCTCTGCTGGGCTTTTCTTTCAAAAAGGATACCGGTGACACGAGGTGGGCCTCCTCAGTCCGTTTCTTGTCACTTTTTCCAACTTTGTCGGTCTGTCGGTGTAGACATAAAAGCCTCAAATAGCCTCTTAACCTGGCCGTGCATAACCTTTGTGGAAAAACTTGCAGAGTCAGTGCTGATCCCTTTACTGCACGAGGACTCGTGTTAACACACAGCCATGAACCCTGACCCTGTTTAGTGGTGACTGATGTTTGTCTGTTTCGCAACCACAGGGAGTCGTCCAGTATTTACATATCAAAGTACCTGATGGACGAGGGAGCCAAGCTTTTCATCTATGACCCAAAAGTCTTGAAAGAGCAAATCATTCATGATCTCTCCCAGCCCAGCATCTCTGAGGACAACCCAGAAAGAGGTGTGTGTGTGTGTGTTCAAGTGTTTACTGCAGCACCGTGTCTGACGCAACAGCTAAAAGTCAGTGCAACTCACTGGTTTAACTTTGTTACGAACTCATGATTTTAGATGCTCAAACCTGAAGCTTTGCTTTAAAAATCATATAGCATATAGGGTAAAAAATAAAAATAATTGATAAATAAATAAAAACATATAGCTTCAAGGAGGTTCTCTATGAACTTAAAGTGTTTGAAATAGGTATGAAAATGGGCCGCTCTGTGAGAGGTTACATAACTCATTCCTGAAACAAAGAGAGGGCTGCCTTTCACCTGGTCTCTGGACTGAGGAATGGTTTCACGTTTTCAAGATTAAGACTTGATTTAATTTATCACTGTGTTTCATAAGAGGATCAAAACTACGGGGCCTGAGCTTAAAATCGCATTAAACAGGCCAATTCATCGCCATCCAGACATGAAGCCAATGCAGAAGTTTTTAGCCACTCATTCCTTTAAGCATTTATTGAAAAATGGCTTAAGCTAAAGATGGCAAAAAAATAAAAAGAGGTGGTAACTTTTGTATTCATTCCTATAAAGAAAATAGTGAAAGGTGTGTGATCAGATAGTGTCCCGTTAACTATTAGCTCAAGGTCTAGTAATAGACCACAAGTGACTGATACACAGTTATAAAATGTTCCACTTTGATATCCGTCTGTTTGTTATTTATATTCTCAAAAAAACTTGACATTTACAGCTTTGATTAACAGCCTGGCCCTGAGCTGCTTCTTATGTTAAAAAATTATGTTTATCTTCTCAGATGGACTGAATCTCCCCAATATGGTTTTAAAAGGGTTCTTTTTAAGCTCCGTACAGCATGAAATCCAGCTGATTGTGGCAGCATAGAAGATACAGCGTGGCAGGGCAGCCTGAACAAAGGAATGAATTGCTGAATAGCCTGTGAGATGTGAGGGAGTTACAGAATGAAAACGAATTTGAAACCGTTTAAACTTTGTGGAGTGTGTCATTAAACATTGTTAGGCTCAAACAGCCACTTGGCATCTGTGAATTGTGGAGGCGAAAAGATGTATATCCATAGTGAAATGCTGGTTTGTGTCCCTTCCTCTGACCCTCTTTGTTTTCTATCAGTGTCCGAGCTGGTGACCATAACCTCAGATCCCTACGAGGCCTGCCAGAGTGCTCACGCGCTGGTCATCTGCACCGAGTGGGACATGTTTAAGGTCAGAGACTCGCCCGTCCACCTCATTAGTTTCCTTTCCTAACAGAAAGTGCGAACTTTAACCTTGCGCTCATATTAGGAACTGGACTATGAGAAAATCTACAAGAAAATGCTGAAGCCGGCCTTCATATTCGACGGTCGCAGAGTTCTGGACCACCTCCACGCTCAGCTCCAGTGCATCGGCTTCCAGGTGAGCAGGAGAAAAAAAAAACATGACTCCTTTCCTTTAGTCTAAAGGAGCGGAGGACAGAAAAGTGACCGGCTCTCTTTGGCTGCAGATTGAGACCATCGGGAAAAAGGTGACATCAACACGAATCCCCTACACTCCAGCAGCCGCCTGTCCCCGCATCACCGGACCTGAACCTCCCTCCAAGAAGACGAAAGCTTAGAGCCGACTGCACCCCCCCGCCCACCCCCACCCCACATTCCTCTGTCAGCCTTTCATTTCAGTGGCAGAGGGGCGGGACCCGTCCTTCTGTTGGTGCACATCCACTGATCAAAGGAGCCCCGCCGGACGGCCAGCTGCTCACCGCTGTGGGCTGGAGGTCAGGAGTGGAGCATCATGTAAACCATTCCATACGCACTGTTAACTTTTGACATCATTTGCTGTATAACCTGCGAACTTTTCAGATACCCGTCTGCTGGAAAGAAACACCCAAAATGGGACTATTTTCTTACACTCTATTAGTCAAATGGGGTTTTATCCTGAAACATTTTATACCGTTTTATTTTATTTTATTATAAATAATCTTACTGTATGTTAGTCAGTGTTCTACCAGAAGGGCCAAAGCAATAAAATGTGATGTGCGTCTAAACTGTGTCGCCGATCATTTAAAGGGACGTTGGAAAGGAAAACACAACTGTGACAAACTTAAAATACAGATTGAAGGATTTTAATTCTTTAAATACAAATATACACTTCATAAGTTGCTTTTCTTTCGCTGATCAGGGTTGGGAGCCACACATCTGTTTGAACCTCTCTACACTGAATTCAAACCTCATCTTTTCAAACGATGAGAGGGCTTTTTTTTTTTACCAACTGACAGGAAAGGGTCTATTTTAAAAGGGCGGTTTCAGAGCCCTGAAAACAAAAAGCTTTGTTTTTATACATCAGACGCACAACTTCCCTTCTCGGTCTCACTCGCTAAACAAATAAAACAAACAAGTTCTGCTTTGTTAAAATCTGGAGTGAGGCATCATAGCCCAACAAACAAAACTGGTTGGAGGATGCTTTGGAAGCTTTTTACCTGTAATCCAGCTGTGGGTGGTGGTGATTTATGAGCCCCCCGAGGAGCCCAGAATAAAAGCTACAGCTTCTTCTCCCTTTCAAGTCGTATTTTGTCCTGACATTGTTACAAAGACCAGGTCTGCGTACAAGCGCCTCTGCAGCTGCTTCTGATGTCAACCTCTCTGAACAGCTGTAACAGCTGGACCTGAGAACAACGTCATCTTCGAGCTTTTATGCTGCATAATGTCTTTGAATTTACTAGATAATGTTTTTTGTTATAATTTCCTGCGCTACAGGTGCAAACAACGGGTTATTGTGACCGTGGACTAAGCGTGTTTTGTCTCAGTGTCTTTTTATAGTTGCAGGTTGGTAGAAGTTTTGTTTTTAAAAAAGCTTCCGGAAGCTTTTCACTCTGCTATTGTGGCTTCTGCTTTTCTCTTTTTAAGCAGATTCTTCAAGAAGAACTCGCCTGTAAAGACACAAAAAGAGAAAAGGATTAATACCTATCGGTTTAGATTTTTACATAATCGTTTTTACCAAAAAGTCTCCTCCTGGATTTAACCAAGCAAATGATCTGGGTGCTCTAGTCAATTACATTTAGGGCCAGCCATTTCACGGGTTTAAAGCAAAAACGTTTCCTTTTTTTTTCTTTTTTTTTTTTTTATAAATGGGGCCAGTCGGCAGTTTGAACACCTCCCATAACCTCCAGACCTAAACCCCCTCATAGCAGGACTAACAAGGTGTCTCCACCCTCCAAGAAAAAAAAAAACACTGAAACTGAACGGAAAAACATTTGATGTGCGAGACAGAAAGTGACCTATGCCGAATGTTGGCCAACAAGTGGTTCTTTACACAAGTTGGGGGTGCCCCTCACATCAGCCAGCTCCTGCTACAGTCTGCGATTCACTAAGTACTTTGAATAATAAATAAATACACATTTTAAAAAGTGTTCATTACCTCCACAGAATTGTAAACTTTCCGTCTTAAAAAAATTGTCTCATGAAAAGCTCCTTCATAAACTGATCTACTAACTGATGTTTTTCTTCATGGACGTTGTCAAATTTTCTGATTTAAAGCTCAGTCGTGTTGAGCTAGAGGTTAGAAGGTTACTTTTTTTGTTAGAAATGTGAGTTTTCAGCTCAAAAAACAAATATAAGATGGCCACAGCTCACCTGCTTTGTAGGAGGACCGGACCAGCGGGCCGCTGGCCGTGTAGATGAAGCCCATTTCGTTTCCAACTTTCTCCCAGTGAGCAAACCTCTCAGGGGTGACGTATTCCTCCACCTAAACCCAACACAAAAGTCGTCTTAAGGTCCATCCACCTACCAAACGCTGCTCATTATGCCTGCTTGTGTGGCGCCTCACCTTCAGGTGGCGTTTGGTGGGTTGCATGTACTGGCCAAGCGTTAGACACTCCACTCCGGCCTCCCGCAGCTCTGCCGCATCAACACGAGAGCCATGTCACAATACGCTGATGGAGACCGCAGTGTGTGTGTGTGTGTGTGTGTGTGTGCCACCGCGGCGTATACACACCCGTCAGAGTGTCCATTATCTGTTGATCCGACTCCCCGAGCCCCAGCATGATGGAGGTCTTGGTGAGCACGTTGGGTTGGACCTTCTTGGCGTGTTTCAGGACACTCAGGGACTGGTCAAAGTTTGCTCTGGGATCGCGGACGTGCCTGCAAACAGACATCGTGACTGACTGAAAAGCACCAGGGAAACTAGGTGGGGACCTAGGACGCCACCTGCAGTCGATACTGGAGAAGTTGGCTTAAAAGTAGAAACCCAAAGGGAGGCTGGCAATTCTGAGAATTGGGGGAAAAGCAGGTACGATGCGCCCTAAGTGCGATTACCTCTGCAGCTCCCGCACCGTCTCCACATTGTGGGCGTAAACGTCCAACCCCGACAGGGCGATCACGGCCACGGCCTCCAGGTCGCCGCGAAAATCCGGGGTGAGACATTCCACCAGGATCTGAGGGTTTCTGGGTAAAGACCAGAGGAGCTCGCTTTAACTGCGCCGCGCATCCCGAGAAAAACAAAAAACACCCAACCTCTTACCTTTCCTTCAGATTCGAAACGGTCTTCGCAAAGTGCGACGCCCCTCCGTCGGGGATATCTGAGCAGAAACGGGACAATTAGGAGCCGGTAATAAAACAAGCGTTGGCCAAAGTTCTGAAGGCCAGACTGAGGCTGGAAAGCTTTACCATCTCTGTCAACCGAGGTCAGAACGACATAGTCCAGCCCCCAGGCGGCAATGGCCTTGGCGGTGTTGTAGGGCTCGTCTTGGTCCAGAGGCGGGGGCCGGCGGGCCGTCTTCACCGAGCAAAACCTGCACCCGCGGGTGCAGGTGTCTCCCATCAGCTGCACGCAGAGGGAGAGAAGAACGGCATTTGAGGTGCGTCAGTCCCTACCGATCGCAGGCTGTGGTGTTAGAACCCACCATGATGGTGGCTGTCGCCGTGGCGTACTCCCCTCCGCCCCAACATTCTCCAATGTTTGGACATCTGGCCTCCTCGCACACCTGAGAAAAACAGACCGTCAGCACCATAATCTGTCATTTCAAAGCCTTACATGTTCAAGAGTGAAAGTAACTAAACGTTTTTTCTACATTCCACATGGAATCTATATCTCTGTGGTTGAAACGTCAACAATGGTGATGTTTATTGTAAAGTTTGCTGCTGTGGCTCTTTCTTTAGCATCTTCATGAGACTCTACTGAGCAGGGTTTCTTCTTATGTCCAAAACAAAACTTGGGGAACTTGGGAAAGGTCAGAGGCAGGACACTCACCGTGTGCAAGTTGAGGTCTCGCAGTGTGTTCTTCAACTTGTTGAAGTTCTTTCCAATTGGGATCTCAGTCTTCAGCCATGGAGGAAGCCTCAGTCTAAAGTAACAGCAGAACAAGTGATTCTCTTACTAGTGTTTTAAAAGTGGGAGCGGATGGCGTGGGTCAAAGGTGTGCCTCACAAAGACACAGTTATGCACTCTATTATAATACTACTTACAGTTGTGGTCAAAAGTGTACATACACTTGTAAAAAATCATAATGTTATGGCTGTCTTGAGTCTTCAATAAGTTCTACAACTCTTATTTTTCTGTGATAGAGTGATCGGAACACATACATGTTTGTCACAAAAAACAGTCATAAAGTTTGGTTCTTTCATAAATTTATTATGGGTCTGCTGAAAATGTCACCAAATCTGCTGGGTCAAAAATATACATACAGCAACATTAGTATTTGGTTACATGTCCCTTGGCCATTTTCACGGCAACTAGGCGCTTTTGGTAGCCATCCACAAGGTCCTGGCAAGCTTCAGGTCGAATGTTTGACCACTCTTCTTGACAGAATTGGTGCAGTTCAGCTAAATGTGATGGTTTTCTTGCATGAACCTGTTTCTTTAGCACTGTCCACATTTTCTCAATGAGGTTTAAGTCAGGACTTTGGGAAGGCCATTCTAAAACCTTAATTTTAGCCTGGTTTAGCCATTCCTTTACCCCTTTTGATGTGTGTTTTGGGTCATTGTCTTGTTGGAACACCCAACTGCGCCCAAGACCCAACCTTCGGGCTGATGGTTTTAAGTTTTCCTGCAGAATTTGGAGGTAATCCTCCTTCTTCATTATCCCATTTACTTTCTACAAAGAACCAGTTCCACTGGCAGCAAAACATCCCCAGAGCATAATACTACCACCACCATGCTTGACAGTAGGCATGGTGTTCCTGGGATTAAAGGCCTCACCTTTTCTCCTCCAAACATATTGCTGGGTGTTGTGGCCAAACAGCTCAATTTTTGTTTCGTCTGACCAGAGAACTTTCCTCCAGAAGGTTTTATCTTTGTCCATGTGATCAGCAGCAAACTTCAGCCGAGTCTTAAGGTGCCTTTTCTGGAGCAAGGGCTTCTTTCTTGCACGGCAGCCTTTCAGTCCATGGCGATGTAAAACACGCTTGACTGTGGAGACTGACACCTGTGTTCCATCAGTTTCCAAATCCTTGCAGACCTGCTTCTTGGTGATTCTTGGTTGACTCTTGACCATCCTGACCAATCTCCTCTCGGCAGCATGTGATAGCTTGCGTTTTCTTCCTGATCGTGGCAGTGACACAACTGTTCCATGCACTTTATACTTGCGTATAATTGTCTGCACAGTTGCTCTTGGGACCTGTAGCTGCTTTGAAATGGCTCCAAGTGACTTCCCTGACTTGTTCAAGTCAATAATTCGCTTTTTCAGATCCACACTGAGTTCCTTTGACTTTCCCATTGTAGCTTTTGTAGCTGAGTCTAATCACTGGGTCAAATGAGCCCTATTTAAATGGGCTCATGAGAAGTCAACAGCTGTAGTCAATCAGAATCACTTAGAGGAAGTGAAGAGGCCATGACATGAAGCTTATTTGATTGACACAACTCGCTACATCACCAAAATTGACATATTTTGTTGCTGTATGTATATTTTTGACCCAGCAGATTTGGTGAAATTTTCAGCAGACCCATAATAAATTTATGAAAGAACCAAACTTTATGACTGTTTTTTGTGACAAACATGTATGTGTTCCGATCACTCTATCACAGAAAAATAAGAGTTGTAGAACTTATTGAAGACTCAAGACAGCCATAACATTATGATTTTTTACAAGTGTATGTACACTTTTGACCACAACTGTATTTGATAGTAAAAGATCTCAGGAACTGAATGAAACCCATACAGCACGTTTACATATCATCTAACCTTGGCTTCAAATCAGCTCTGGGTTAGAAACCACAGTTTGGTCTGGGACAACAGCCATCATACATTACTTCTAGATTGGGTCATTTTCCACCAAAAGGACATTTCTGGATGTTTACTTTATGGACATGACCATAGCTGATTACCTCAGGGGGGGAAACTAAGTGTATCCTTAAGCAAGGGCGAACTGAGAAATCAGTAGTTTGCCCTGAAACTGAACATTCAGGCTGATTCAGCACAGCATTCTGGTCTTTGAACCCATCTGATAACACACCACCGTCCTCCTTATGGAATTAGAACCCCCTGCTTTCTGCCCCCCACTTGTCAGAGCTAAAGTACCTCTCTCCCTTCTGTCTCTTCAGGGTGCCTTTGTACTCTTCCCACTTGCTTTTCTCCGACAATTCCCCTGAAATAAAGTCCTGCAGATCCGGCCCGTCGTCGGTCAGAAGCTCCTTCTTCCTGTCAGCCCGATCTGGAGAGGATTTGGCCGCGGTAGTCACACCGCTCGTGTAAACCTGCAGATAAACAGCAGCGGTTAGTCCGTCTGTTTTCGAAACATGCGAGACCGTGCCATGGTTTTTACCGTTCGACTTTGCAAACAAGCTGTAAGAGTCCCCACAGCCGAGTTACAAAACATATGATCAACACGGGCTGCTGGTAATCAAAGGCCCGTGACCCGGCTTCGTAACTGAAGTCAGGACTTAATGAACAAACAACGAGATTAAAAGTGTTAAAGTTACTACAACAGGGAAGGGGAAATACTCACATGTGGAATGTTCCTGGGACTCAGCCATAGGTGGTTTGTGGAAAAACGACCGGCAACACAGCAACTCTGTTTAAGCAGCGCCATGACTTTAGCTAGCGGGCGGCTGTCATTGGCTTCATCGGTGTGCAGCTGCTTCAGTCTTGTGTTGCGTTCCCGTTCTAACGGCAAATGGTTCAACGACGGAGAACCTCAGGTTTCTTCCGTTTAATGCATAGGTAGAAAGTCATCTCTAGCTACGTATTTTTCAAAGATTGGCTTCATTTTTAAATAATCAGTCACAATTTAAAATATGTCTTTCTGGACGTTATGTCTTGCATTTGGCTAGCTAAATTTCTGATTGTACGATTGCACGTAAAGGCATCGCCAAATGAAAACAGAATGTGAAGGTGACAAATTAAAACTTCTTAAGCTTGTATTTTTTCTGAATATTCATCCTTTGAAGACTCAATCTTTTTTACTCATTACCTAAAATGTTAACGAGATTTACGCAAAACTGCATGCGTTAAACGAGCGCAACGATTGTTACATCTTGTCTGATGACGTAACGTACGTACTCTACTTTTGCGTGGTGACGTCCTTCTTCTTCCTTTCCTCTGCTACCGGCGAGGTGAGGATAGCTTCGAAATTGTACCAAGAATTTCATCTAACCTAATCTTCGTTTATTAAACACGCTTTTCATCCAATTTTGAGTAATCGAGCACAAATAGTGCTCTATACAACGTTACCAATTATATTATAGCAGTATTTTACATTTGTGTTGAGATACGGCAGTAGTCTTTCAACAGATTGGTTGAATAAGGCCTGGTGCTCCATTTATGCTAGCGTCTACAGCCGATTCAAGAGTGTTGCATTTAAAGGCGGCATTATTATCGCCCATGCCTGGCTTTAACACACGCTAATCATATAAAAAATACGAATTGTAGTGTCAAGACGCGTAGCTGTGCCATCATGTTAGCATGGTTGACAACGTTGATCCTGTGCAATATGGCTGCCCGCCGTTGCTTAAATCTGAAGTTTTTATGTACTCACTTTTGCGTGTCTGTAAGTTGGGTAAAGTTGGTTCCATACAAGTAAATTTCCGTAAACTTAAACGTAGATTCAAGTGAATATTAGCTTGAACAACTCGTCAGTGACATATAGGCATTGTAACTCATGATAACGTTGGCACGGCAAAAATCCTGATCGAACTGATTGTCTCTTCTTGTAGAATGAAGACCATTCTCAGCAGTCAAACTGTCGACCTCCCCGACAATGGTGAGAGTTATGCTTTTCTGTGGAAGTAGTTGCAAACTGTGGGGTTAAAATCGCGCAGAGTGGATATTCACGCCTTTTTCTCTCCCACATGTCCTCCTCGTTGTGTTACAGTCGAGGTGAGGTTAAAGGGGCGAACTGTGATCGTGAAAGGGCCCCGTGGCAAGCTCACCAGGGAGTTCAACCACATCAACCTGGAGCTCAGCCTGCTGGGCAACAAACAGAAGAAGGTAAGGATGGGGAGGAAGATGCTGTGAAACGTACAGCTGTTAACTTAAACAAATAACCCAACTGAATTTATACCTGTAGCCACATTAATCCCAAGAAAACAAAATTAAGTTAAGCATCCTATTTATAATTAATAATTAATATCCTATTTATTTATGTGGGTGTAGATTGATATAATTCAGAACATATATGCTCCATTAAGATCAAATGGTCTGGAGACGTACTCAGTTTGAACTTTCTAAAATGTCTCTTTTTAGTAATAACATTTTTAGCTTAAGTTGCCCCAGTTGGATATTTTTCTATTGAGGTTTTTAAAAGAAATCTGTCATTTGTAATGGTTTGAAGACTTTAACTCTGCTCTAAAAGTCTTGGCATGACTTGGGCACAGAGGCACCATTCAAGTAAGCCAAACGCTGTGAATTCACTTTGTGCAGTGAATTAGGATCTGATTGTAGTACAGTGAGTCCCCACAGTGGAGGTTTGAAGTACCAGAATACTTTGTTTCCTCACTGAACTCTCAGCGTCAAAGTCTTTAGACATCCTTCAGTTGGCCACCCTTCATCTGAGCACCTGCTTGTTGTGACAAGGGTGGCAGGCCAGTTGAACAGTGCAGTTCGGCTATAACCCTCTTTTAGCTAAAGAAGCAATCGTTCTCTCAAAGGGGGGATGTATTGCCTTAGATGTGGAGTTATTTAGACGCATTACAAACTCAAATAGTAGTCTTCTTTCATCCATGTTAACCTGACAGAAAATAGGACCATGTTCTGTAATAGGTGTTTGCTGTTTAAGCTAATCATGGCGCTGTCTTCCTCAGCTTCGTGTGGACAAATGGTGGGGAAACAGGAAGGAGCTGGCCACAGTCCGCACCATCTGCAGCCACGTCCAGAACATGATCAAGGGCGTCACTCTGGTGAGACTCGCACTACCTTTTTTTGATGACTGCTGCTGAGTGGAATGGATCAGCCATTATGGTGGGGTTAGCAGATTTGTGTGGCTGATGCCTTTGTTGTTGGGGTACAGTGTTTTCTGTTGGCTCTGCCTGCTCAGCTCTGACCCCTCCCGTCTGCCTGTGACCGCAGGGTTTCCGGTATAAAATGCGCTCCGTGTACGCTCATTTCCCCATCAACGTGGTGATTCAGGAGACTGGAACTCTGGTGGAGATCAGGAACTTCCTGGGAGAGAAGTACATCCGTCGTGTCAGAATGAGATCCGGTGAGTCTGCTGCACATCGTGGAAAAAACATCACTCACCTGAAAGCAAACGGGCGTGATTGACCACGGCGTATGATATGAGGTACCGATCCATCTGCCAGTGACAGAATAAAGGGGAAAATACCACATGAGGGTAGCTGGACTAAGGACAGAACAACATTAGGTCATCACTTTGACCTTTCCAAAGAAATAACGCTGTCAGACTTCGTGCTGCATCATGTGCAGATGAAGCTCTGTTCCCCTCTCAGATGCTGCACCCAACTGGCTAAGCTCCAGTCGAGGAGAGGAAAGCAACCTCAGTTTGTCTTATAGAGGACGGTTGACAGATAATTCCTGTTATGAAGCTGAAAAGCAACACCAGGTGGAGTTCCTGGTTAAAAGATGATGGCTGGCTTTCTGGGACTCGCCATCCCATGTTGTCTGTGTTAACCTCAGCATGAAATCCCCCGACGGTTCAGTCAGCTGCTATTGATGTAGAAACGAAAAATAGAGAAATGGCATGGTTTTGTTTTTTTCATTTACCTTGGAAACAAAGGGGTGAAGACTTTGTGGAGTTTGGCTGTTTTGAGAACTTGAGATGCCCACACAGTCAAATCTTTTCATTGGATGTTTTTGGAGCAGTTTTTCCACTGGACACAATGGAAGAATCATTGCTGTTTGTTTTAGGGGCAAATAGAAAGGCTTAATCTTCTTGAGACAACCTGAGCAGTTAAAGCAGATGAAGCCTGGATCAGAAAGAAATGCAATGAGCTTCCATGTTTGTAAATTCCTCAAATGTTGTAATAGGTGTGGCATTTGCTCCATCCTCGTGTTAAATGTGTAAACTCAGTAAAGCAGAGTGGTCCATCTGTGCTTTCAGGTGTGATGTGTTCAGTCTCTGCTGCCCAGAAAGACGAGCTGGTCCTGGAGGGCAACGACATCGAGCTGGTGTCGAACTCAGGTATGTTTTTGCACCTTTTTTCTCAGCGTTAAAAAAAAAAAGAAGAAAAAAACATATTCAAAGAACTTATATTTTCTTGCATAACATCATGATGAATATACCAATAATGTTGTGAAGACCCGTCCTATAAACCAGACAGCGGCCCCTTTTCAGCCCCTGTCCCATCGTGTTTGTATGTTTCTCTTTCAGCTAAGTTTGAGCCATGTTTGGTCGGTTTCTCTGAGCATGACCTCAGAGAGGCTTTGTGTGACGTCCATACTGCTGTAAACTCTGTAACATGTTCTGACCGACCAACTCCTCTTTTCCAGCTGCTCTGATCCAACAGGCCACCACAGTCAAAAATAAGGATATCAGAAAGTTCTTGGACGGCATTTACGTGTCTGAGAAGGGAACAGTAGTGGAACCAGAGCAGTAAAAGTTCCACCCGCACTTGTAGAGGTTAGATGATGCCGTCGAAGCCGCCTGCTCGTCCTGCGCTTTTTCTTTTCTGCTTCTCTTCATGCAAAAGTTTTCTCCTCGTTTCACACGGGTTGCTCTGAAGCGCTTGATCTGGCTGGGCAGCTCGTGTGCATTTCCACAGCTTATCCACAAATAACCGAGAAGCAGATCAACAGTAGCGGATCTGATCATTTATTTTAGTTTGCACACTTTCTTTTCTTTCTAATACACATCAAATGCCTGAGCTCATGGGAATAACTTTAGGGGAAGAACGAATGCGATTGAAGTTGGTTTGTTGCTTCGCCTTCTTGTTGGCTGCTGATTTTTCTTTTTGCTCCATAACTTCACTTTTTTCCTCTGAATACTAACCAAAGCTTTCTGTCTTCACAATGTTTTGCTTCTTTTTCCTCTTTTTGACCAAATTGTGGTCTCACGCTGGCAGTGGTCATGCTGTGGTAACCGCCTCCCTGTCACATGACACCGGGTCTTTGTCTTCATTCTTCTTTTCTTTCTCCTTGTAGCGGCATTGATCCAACAGGCCACCACCGTCAGGAAGAAGGACATCAGGAAGTTCCTGGATGGCATCTACGTCAGTGAGAAGACCACTGTGGTGGAGCCAGAAGTTGAATAAAATGTTCACCTATCCTGTTTTGACCAATAAAGCAACCATCTTTTTCCAAGTCACCAGCTCTGTTTTTATTGGGTGGTTTTTGTAAGAGGCTGATGCGCTGTGGACTGGTCATGCACGTTTTAACAGCGTACAAATGAAAAATCTAAATTTGGAATCTTTGTGCATTAGCTAATACAGTGTGACACGTGGCTTGGACAAAACGGCTGATCATTGGTCATGTTGGGAATAGAGTTCCTCAACATTCCAATAAAGTAACAGAACACTTTTGTCTGAACCTTGAGGCCTTAATCAGACAGCATTCAGTAAAATGTGAACAATCACCCGGCTGTGATGATACTGAGGGCAAAAAGAGCAGAATATTCAAACAAACTGGAAATGTGTGACACTAGGATAGAGCTGTTGAGAGAAAATGTTTCTTGCTTTTTTCTTTTTTTTTTGTTTTGGTTCAGGATTAAGGTGTCTTTAAGTTTCTAAAATCTCCCAGAAAACAATTTCAACATCTTATGCAATATATAAATCAAAAGGATGTTTTGTGATGCAGAGGTACATTTTTAGGATGCTAATTAATCTTATAGAGTTTAACTGGAATTCCTTAGAAAAGAAAAGTGACATGGCCAGCAAATAGAGGTTTTAAAGCCATTATAAACACTTCTTAAATAGATTAAAAGTGAAGAGTGCAGATAAAAAGTCAGAAGTGGTGATTCCTTTATTTTTGCCAGTTATATCAAAATTGGGTTGAATTTAAGAAACCCATACTGTACCTGAAGAATTTATATCACATTTATTTGGGATGAATAACCTTGTGAATGTATGTGTAAAAGAGGCAGTTATTAAAAATCGCATTTGTAAAAGGCCTTATCTTATACCTAAGACTTGATTTCTATTTTATTGATTTTTACAGTCTTCTGGTTAATTTAGGTATTTGAAAAAGAAAATATTTGTACCTTTTTCAAATCAGATCAGAAATTATTCATATTTAATTTGATCATTATATCAAATCCTGATCAATATGATACAAATTTCTTACATCTCTTTCTTACTCTCTTTTTAATTATTTATTTTGTTTTGTGTCTATTTTTACTCCTGTGAAGTTTTCATTTAAAACTCTATTGTGTTTTGCAGTCATTGTAGGTTATCTCAGCAAAGTCCTTATTTCCATAATCCAAAATTAAATAGATTTTGGCATACCTTTCGAGTCAGTTAAGTCCAACAAGGTTTTAAAATCTCTGAAATACTTTTCATACCAACTTCCACTCTTGACAGCATCTGTTCCAGTGTTGTTCAAACTTGTACCAATAAAGCTCCATCATACATCCAACCTGCTGGTTTAGATATAAAAACGCTGTTGTGTTAATTAACATTTGAGAATCATCAACTGTTTCATCATTCGCTATTCATACAAATATAAAATAAATATAAAATAATAAATAAAATGAAAAGAAAGAAGAATAAACGTACCGCTGATGACGCACTGACGCACGCGGAACAGCTACGGGCGCGTCATCTCCTAGCGACCGCACGGGATTCTCTTCGCGCCAAGCAGTTGGAGGAAATTTCATACTTTTCTGATAACAAGCCCTCGACAACATTGCCGGAAAACGCGTTTAAAATGGTAAGTTGATATTTAAATATATAAATACACAAAGCAGTGCATGTGGAAATATGATAAAAGTTTAGAGGGACGGAAAATAAGCGCGTTCGCAGAGTTTTGGACGTTGGGCAGCGTTAGCTGCAGCTAAGAAGGATAAACTTGTGCACTTGTTATATCAACTGAAGGAGAAAAAACACGCTTGATTTAGAGCCCGCATGCGTATGGTATTTGGTTGTAAAGTGAGAAAGCTTTCAGTGAAAACGTTGGGCAGTAATGGTGTCCGTTTGCGTGCAGGCTGGTGAGGGACGCGGGGCGCCTCCAGTCAGTCCACTCCCAAACTAAACTCATGTTTGTGCGTGTTTGTGTGCGCAGGATATCAGGCGGTTCTTTGCACCGACATCAGCAAAGCCCGCGGTGCAGAAACCAGCCCCAAATGGAAACGCCAAAGCAGACGACGGCAAGAACAAGAAGAAGAAAACTCCCTCTCAGAAGTCTTCAGACGAGGAAGTGAAAAAGAAACAGACCACCAAGGCAAGCAGGTGTCTTCTGCTGTCATCCGTCTTTTCCCGTGACCTCTTTTGCTTGCTTGCTGCTCATTGGCTTTGGTTTATGTTTTTTTAGGCCAAAAGCTCCAAAGCAGGGGAGCAGCGCCAGGATGGTGGTAAAAAACGAAAGAAGCACGCCGTCATCGTGTCAGGTAAGTCACATTTAGACAGAATCATGGGAACAGATGCCCATTCAATTCCCCTCCAGTTCCAATGGTGATTTTCTGGTATAAGGTGTCTATGCCACAAATTATCGGACTTTTGTGCCGTTCAGACTCAGACTCGGAGGAGAAGGAGCCAGCAGTAAAGTTCAGCAAGTCCTCCAAAGACAAAGCAGCGAACAGCAAAGCGGAGCCGCCTGCTAAGAAGGATCCTGTGCGTTATGTTTCAGAAACAGGTGAGGATCCCAAAGTACAGCTTAATTTGTTCCTTTCTCCAATGATAATGATTAAAAGTTAAAGAAACATACCATTGTAAACACCAAGCTCGCTTTTGATTTAGAAAAGTGTTTCTCCTCTGTTTGCAGACTCGGACAGCGACAATTTTAAGTCCTTGAAGAAAGTCCCCAAACCCAAACAGAACGGCAGCACCAAGAGCACAAAAGCAAACCCAGACGGTTCTCGTCCAGCAGCCGACGCAGGGATGAAGTCACCCATCAGGCCGTCCACCAGCCAGGGAAAAGCTGGCGTGAAGAGCCCCGCTGCTCCCGTGACCCCCAAGTCGGCGCCGCCCCCTCAACCCAAACAAACCCCCACCTCGGTGATGGACTACTTCGGGAGCGGGACCATTCACCGCTCGGACAAGAAGCTAGTGGCGAGCGCCAAGCGAAAGGCAGTGAGTTGCCCACCTTCACCTCTCTTCCCCCTCTGTCCCAGTGATGACACAGATTTTTTATGTTCCTCCACTCACCACTCGTTTTACAGCAAGTTTTTCATCAGTTAAAAAAAAATAATTCTGCTTCTCAGCCAACTCAGGACCCCAATGACCTGATAAGTGACGAGGAAATCGCCCGGCAGCTGCAGATGGAGGAAGATATGGAGGTATGGTGTCTTTCATTTTCTTATCCCCAGCTCTCCTTTTGCTTTTCACACAAAAGAGATCGACATTTCATTATTTAAACTGAAATAAGCTGAATGAGGATACGAAGAGTAATCGGAGTAATAAGAAGCAAAGAAACCGATTTAACAAGAGGAAGACAAAAGGGGACTAGTTTGTTTTTAGGTTAATTTCAGCTGAAAAAAATAGCAGCCTCAGCATCATAAGCGTCAAGTAGAGGTTGCTGTAAGAAATGATTGAGAAGGCATGCAAGCTTTTTTAAATTGGACTTTAGATTAAGCATCTTGTCAACCTGACCAGTAGAAAGCTAATCGGTCTCCCTCTGAAGGCCAGTTTTCCCCAAACTCCCTCAGCCAACTTTGTGGACTTGTGTGCAACGTCAAATTAGTTTAGTTCTTTTTCTGCTGACCGACACCCGAAGAACAAAGTGCATTTCACATTATGTGATGTTCATCCTGTTCTTTTCATTCCCAAATGATGACTCAGTCATTTGAATGCTTTTCTCTTTTTTTCTCTCCTTTGTTTTTGCTCTCATTTTGTCAGCTGGAAAAACAAGTCCACGAAGACGCGGCGTTTGCCAAAACGCTGGCCATGCTTGATGCTGAGCCTCAGGCCAAGAAGGTAAAGAGCCCCGCAAGCGTGGGGGTACTATCCACAGTGCTTGTTTTTTTTTGTTTCTTTTTCTAAACGCGTGTCTATGTTTTTGTCTGTGTCCTCGCCCAGGCTCGCAAAAGCTCAGAGGAAAAGCGCGACCTACCCAGGAGCCCCCAAAAGAGCAGCGCCAGCAGTTCATCGAACAGCGTGCCAGACGACGTGGTCGGCCCGTCGCCCAAAAGCAGCCCCCCACCGGCCAAAACCAGCTCCAAGCTAGCCATGATGAAGAAAAGGGAGGAGCTGAGGGATGGGGAACCGAAAAGCAAAACGCCCACCACCGTGAAATCCTCCCCCAAGAAGGAGCCTGTCACCTCGTCGGGGCCGGATAAGAAGCTCACCCCCAAAGCCGGAACCACTCCGGCGGGGCTCAAAACGTCCCCCAAGAAGCCCGAGGTGAGCCGGACACCGTTAGGGGCAGCAACAGGAGGTCAGCGCCACGCAAAGCTCAGTGTCCTCCTTCTTCCCTCCACCAGAACACCAGCATCAGTCCGGAAGACGCCGAGAAGAAGAAGGGCAACTCTGCAGCCTACAGGAACTACCTCAACCGGGACGGACCCCGAGCTCTGGGATCCAAGGAAATCCCAAAGGTGTGTTTAAACGAGACCGAGGGAAAACTCTGATTTCACTTAATGGGGGGGATGTTTTGTAATCAAAGACTTCTTCAGGTTTATTATTGTGTTTGTCTGCCATCTGGAACCCTTTTTGGACCTAAATGTTGGTCTGTTTTCTTTGTCTTTTTGCTGTTTTTGTTCCTCCAGGGCGCAGAGAACTGCTTGGAGGGCTGCGTCTTTGTGCTGACCGGAGTCATGGAGTCCATGGAGCGAGATGACGCCAAAACTCTGATTGAGCGCTACGGAGGCAAGGTGACGGGTAACGTCAGCAAGAAGACCACCTACCTGGTGCAGGGCCGAGACAGCGGAGTGTCAAAGCTGGAGAAGGTGACCGTCCTGTCCAAAACATGAAGAAAAATTCTCATTCAGACCAAAAGGATCCAGACTAGTTGAATTATTTGTGATTAGGGAAAAGTTAGCCCTCGCTATCCTTATTTCTTTATTTTTTTACTGCTTGTATTTATCTTGTAAAGGCATTGTGCTCTTAAACGGTCCAGCTTCACCTCATTTGTCCCCAACGCTCAGGCGCAGAGCTTGGGCACCAGCGTCCTGGATGAAGACGGTCTGCTGGAGCTGATCAGAACCAAGCCGGGGAAGAGGTCCAAATACGAGATTGCTGCAGAAGCTGAGGTCAGTCGTCCCTCCCCCTTAAGTCGATGTGAAAGAGGCTGGTTTCTAAATGATGGATCACATTTTGTGTACAAGATGATTCAAAGTGCTTCACAAGGAGAAAATAAATAAAAATAAGTTAAACAAAATAAAACAACCACTTCTTAAATAGATTAAAAGTGAAGAGTGCAGATAAAATCCATTCATTCTTAAGCTGACTTATTTTATTTTGTGAGGGGAAGACAGAATTCGGGAGAAAAAGTTCAAACATAAATTCATTCTGTTGCTTTTCCTCCTTTTTCATCACTTAGAACAAAGCTTCAAAGACCAGGACGCCCCCCAGCCGGGGGTCAAAGGGCACCCCCAAAGCCCAGAACATCTCCCCCTCCAAAGGTAACTCCAGGTCCCCGCACACACCCAGCCCGTCCAAGACCGGCCAGACGCAGAAGACCAAGACCAGCGACGGCGCCACGCCGTCCGGGAGAGGCCCGGCTCCCAGGGCCCGGAGGGATCTGGGCCTCTCCTCCTCCTCCTCTTCCTCCTCCTCCTCCGCTGCGGCGCCGGCGGGGGAGGCCGCCACCCTGCTGTGGGTGGACAAGTACCGGCCGCAGTCGCTGAAGGCCGTGATCGGCCAGCAGGGCGACCAGAGCTGCGCCAACAAGCTGCTCCGCTGGCTGCAGAACTGGCACCGGCACCACGCCGCCGGCGCCAGCGGCAAACCAGCAGGTAGCACCGCCTTTTTGTTGTTGTTTTTTATGGCGGGACACGTTCGGAAAAGGCGAACATGTTGTTAACCGGCCGCTCTCTGCCGCACCGCAGCACGCTTCGGGAAGTTCGGGGGGAAGGACGACGGCTCGGGACACAAAGCGGCGCTGCTGTCCGGCCCGCCCGGCGTGGGAAAGACCACCACGGCGGCGCTGGTCTGCGAGGTGGGTCAGAACACACAAACACACACACACACAAGCACATTGGTCCCCGTGGAGACGGCGGCGCTCACGGTGCTCTGGGCCGGTAGGAGCTGGGCTTCAGCTACGTGGAGATGAACGCCAGCTGCACGCGCAGCAAGAACAGCCTGAAGGAGGTGGTGTCCGAGTCCCTGAACAACACCAGCATCGAGGGCTTCTACAAAGGTGACCGCCTCCTTCCGCCTCGTCCGGCTTCTGGCCTCCAGCACGCCAAAGCTAAGCGGCGGCGGCTTTTAGGATGACATGCAGAGCCGGCCGTCAGCTCCCTGTTGGTGTTGCAGGCACGTCGCGGACGGTCAGCAGCAAGCACGTCCTCATCATGGACGAGGTGGACGGCATGGCCGGAAACGAGGACCGCGGCGGGATCCAGGTCGATAAAAGCCATTCGTCTCAGATGGAAGAGAGAAAGCGGCTACAAGGTTGTTTTTTTTAACTTGATGCTTTCCACGTCCTGCAGGAGATGATTGGCCTGATAAAAAGCACCAAGGTCCCCATCATCTGCATGTGCAACGACCGCAACCACCCAAAGATCAGGTCGCTGGCCAACTACTGCTTTGACCTGCGCTTCCAGAGGCCGCGGCTGGAGCAGATCAAGGTGCAACCGCCCCCCCCTCTCCACAGCACGGAGGCTGATCTTTGGCTTTAAAAAAATAAAAAAAAGCTAATTACATTTTTTGGTTTCTTTTTCAGGGAGCCATGATGTCCATCGCCTACAAGGAGGGGATCAAAATCCCCCCACCGGCTCTCAACGAGATCATCCTGGCGTCCAACCAGGACGTCCGACAGGTAAAGAGGGCGGGGTTCCGGGTGTGCTCCGCTGGTCGTGGCGGGGGGGTGTTTCTCACCGCGCCGCCTGTCGCCGCCGCAGGTGATCCACAACCTGAGCATGTGGTCGGCCAAAGACAAGGTGATGACCTACGAGCAGTGCCGCTCGGACGCCGCCAACGCCCGCAAGGACATCAAGCTGGGGCCCTTCGACGTCTGCCGGAGGGTCTTCTCCTCGGGGGCCGACACGGCCAACATGAGCCTCATCGACAAGTCCGACCTCTTCTTCCACGACTACTCGCTGGCGCCGCTGTTCGTGCAGGAGAACTACCCGCACGTCCGTCCGGCCGCCGCCGGGTAAGACGGCGGGGGCCGCCCGCCACGGGTTCAGAGGGCGCCCACGGGCCGGACTAACGTGCGCTGATCCACCCCCCTGTTTGTGTCTCTCAGCGGGGATATGAAGGCTCACCTGGTGCTGCTCAGTAAGACGGCGGACGCCATCTCAGACGGCGACCTGGTGGACAGACGGATCCGCTCCAGCCAGAACTGGTCGCTGCTGCCCACCCAGGTAAGGCGGGAGCAGGGCGCCGTCCACGCTCCAGCTCGTCCGTTTGGTTGCGACGAGGGGGGGTCACATGCCAGTGTGTGTGTTTGTTTTTTTTAGGCCATTTATGCCAGCGTGCTGCCCGGCGAGCTGATGAGAGGCTACCTGGCCCAGTTCCCCGTCTTCCCCAGCTGGCTCGGGAAAAACTCCTCAGCCAATAAGCACTCCCGCATCCTACAGGAGCTGACCTCGCACATGAGCTTAAAGTGGGTTTCTTTTTTAAATATTAGTTTTACTCATGCTCTACAATTTGATCAAACACAAAACACTGACATAGTGCCCCCCCTGTGCTCCGGCAGGACTTTGAGCAGCAGACAGGCGCTGAACCTGGACTACCTGCACCACCTGCGGCAGGCGCTGCTGGGGCCCCTGCAGAGGCACGGGGCCGAGGGCGCCGGCCAGGCCGTCCGGCTGCTGGACGACTACCAGCTCATCAGGGAGGACGTGGACAGCATCATGGAAATCAGCGTGTGGGGGGGACAGCCGGACCCCTACTCCAAACTGGACTCTAAGGTAAGCCTGTGAAGTGCAGATATAACATGTGCATATCCAACGCGTGCTGATCCGCTCTGGCCTCCCCGCAGGTGAAGGCAGCCTTCACGCGGGCGTACAACAAAGAAGTCCACCTGACGCCGTACTCCCTGCAAGCCGTGAAGAAGGGCCGCCGCGGGGGCGCAGGGGAGTCGGAGCTAGGGGGGGAGGACGCAGACATGGAGCCTCAGGCGTCCGAGGAGGAACCAGAGGGGCTGCAAACCGACGGAATGATCAAAGTGAGCACATACAGACCACAGCCACATGTTTTAGTTTTTGTCTTTTCTTCATTTTCTGTGCATGAACCGAGTGTCCTGTTCCTCCCTGCAGCAGAAAAAGACCAAACCCACTAAAGAGGCAAAAAAGGAGAAGAAGGAAGATTCTGGCAAGGGCAAAGGAAAGGGGAAAGGCAAAGCTAAGAAATGACCCAGAACCGGGGAGGAACTTTCTGTGCTGGACACACACAACATTAGTCAGTTCATCAGGTTAACACCCAGAAGTAGAGACGGGTCTTCTGCTCGGACATATAACCCATCTGTCCTTATTCGGTTTATTGGCTAAGAAACGTCTTTTCTTTCCCTTTAACTAATGGTGTCTCTATAGTGAACAAACCTTTTCCTGTTATCATGTCTGTGCATTAGGAGTGACGTGCATTGCTTCAGCCTTCAGATGTAAATAATGTAGCCCCGACCAAGTAGCCGTTAACTACTATTTACATGTAAATTTCCCTTTTCTAATAGAGAAATATGCTGCTCATGAGCGTTTGTCTGTTTTTTTGGTTTGTTTTTTTGGTTTCCAAACGAAGAGGAACACAGCCACGTGCGCACAACTTCTGTATCAGGTAGGTATCCATTTGATTAAACCAGATCAGGAGAGCTAACGCCTTTCTTTAAGGTATTTGCACTTATATCACAATTAGCTCACCTAGTTTAAAAGATATTCACATTCCAGTTGGAGATGGTTACTATGGTTACGGCCTCTCAAGCCACCCCCTACCTCATAAGAAATCATCTGTAAACAGGTCAAAGTAGAAAAACTGGAAATAATCTTCATTTGCAGTTTCCATCACAGAAAAGTCACACCAGGGTTTGGTTTCCTCTTTATTTTTGTGTTTCCCTGACAACACGCCCTCAAGCTGCACCCTTCGCACCGCCGTTTTCTCCCACAGAACCGTTCTTGACATGAATCAAGGTGTTGAAACAGCAGACACGTTTACGCTGCAGCCTTTAAGCCGACAAACGGGCGGTTGGAGATCTGACGGGTGGAAATGGACACTACCATCCAAAAAAGTGTTTGTTTTTTTAGAAAAAAGATTGTATTAAAAATTCACAATTATAACAAGAAACATTTCAGTTTTGTTTTTTACAGATATGAAAACAGATTGATGTAAATATTCAAAAACTATGCAAAAAAAGGAAAATTACATGAACTTTGACTTAACTGCGGAACCTAATTCAATCGATTTTAGACTTGATCTGCCTCCGTCACTGGTCCACGTCATTAGTCTGCAGGTGCTTGGAGCAGTCGGAGATCTTCTTCAGCTGCGTGGCGCTCAGATGCTCAGAGCACATGGGACACACCGTCTCAGTTTCCAGCAACCTGCAACAAGGTTCAGAAAGAACAGGCCTATTTTAAGTGGAGGGTGTGGCCCGTGTGAGCCCCTTTGGGACCATGTGGTTACTCCAGGTGGGTGGCCTGCGTGGCCTCGTGTTTGCTGCTGTTAGTGACTGTGGGACATTTTAGTTTTAATCTAGTTTGAGTCTGTCTTATCCTGCTTCCACCTCCTGGGCCTTCTACATCCTCACTGACCAAAGTTCATGCTCCACTGTTCTTTACTGAAAGATCTAATGAAGTGTCTTAAAAGAAACACCAGAGGGTTAAATCAGTCCCTCTTTTGGACAGATTAAAAAAAATCTACTCTGATCTTTTTCGCATGTTTGATGATAGCTTGAATTTCTCCTTGATAAAAAGTTGTACTTACAGGACGAACTGTGAGTAGAGAGCTGGGAATTCGCAATGAGGGCATATGGACCAGTCTTCTTTTAGCATGTGACGACCCTGATGAACAGAATAGTTAAAAAAACATAAAGAAAACTACCACTCCACATCTGGAGGCGTGCCGTTACCGTGGCGATGCAGTAGGGGAGGTTGTTCTTGCAGGAGATGCACAGGAGCTCGTTCTGTGGCAGCTGGAAGCCACAGAAGGGACACGGAGTGGTTTCCTCCTCAAGTTCTGATGTGTCTGGACGCCTGTGAGGGAATGCAGACGGCACAAAACGGGGCTCAGAGATGTTTTCATTTTGGGAGTGGAGAATGAGGTGTTAAAAATGTTAAGAGGAAGTCACTCACCTGACCATAGCCTCAATCTTCTTCCTGTACTTGACGTCGATCTCGTTTCGGTACTCCGGTCTCATCAGCATGGCGGCGAAGCTGAAGGCGGAGTTCTTCAGGCCGGCTCGGTGGCATTCAATCACTGCTGACGTCAAAATGGGGACAACATCTGCAAACACACACACAAGACTCTTTAAAGTTCAGACTGCAAACCCTGCAGAGTTTCAGGCCAAACTGACACCTCCAGACTCACGCGCAGGAAACTTGCTGATGTTGTTGCTGACACGAATGAGCATCCGCGCTCCCTTTAAATGGTCCCCTCTCTTCACGTGGATCTACCGGAACAAAAAACACAAACGCGTCATTTAGAAGCTTAGAAAAAACTAACTGGCATACCTGCTAATGAGGCTGATACACCGATATGGTGTATTATCAGTGAACAGCTTTTAAATTATTGACAGTTCCACCTAAGACCAATCAGCAGCCGCCACCCTGTAACAGTTAATAAAGAAAATTGACTATTGATTATGGATTATCCCCCCCGACAGTCAACAGTCCATCGCAGGGCCACACAGAGACAACCAACCACACACTCACATTCACTCCTAAGGGCAATTTGGAAAGAGCCACCTACACCGGCTGCGTACACATGCCTCGTGTACGGTTTGTGCACTGCAGATAAGCTTGCCTTGGCTGGACACTGACCTTGACCAGCAGGTATGAGTGGAGAATCATCAGATTGGTGGCCATCTCAGCCGGGATCTTAATCTTCTGGGCCTGCAGCTCGGTATACATGCTGAACAGCACGTCATGGGCGTTTCGGTAATTCCCTTTAGAAAAACAGAAGAAAAAAAACGGTGGAACTTGCGTGTTTTTTTTGTTCTATTTCCATTTGAGAAGTCCACGGGAATGTTTGCACCTGCGCACTGCTCTTCTCTGGCGATGATGATGGCGGTGCGAGCTGCCTCTCTGTACTGTTGCAAAGCCATGTAAAGACGGAACAGGTACTTTGCATCCTGGGAAGAAGAAGCAGTATCAACATTTTTACTCAAAGCTTCACTCTATAGTCCCTCAAATCTCCATTTAGGTACTTCAAAGGCACCTTCAAATAGCATGTGTTTGATCAAATCCAGCAGTCACGACCAAAAATATTAGCTATGTCTCATCTAGTTTTTTTCTCCACTGTTTCGTCAATTTGTCCCTAATCAACAGATTCGATTTTGCTCATGACTGCTGAATATTCACCACTCAAAAAGTGTATTTGCTGAAACTGAACGTCTCCTTTGCGATGACTGCCATTACAGTTTTATTCACAACCCTGAATTTGATAAAGTAGGTATGGAAAGAAATAAGAACAACGTGGAACAAAGTGTGTGAGGATAGCGGCTGTAACTGTGGAGAAATGAGTGGGGATTATATTTAAAGGTTCCACATGTAGAATTTGGTGACATCTAGTGGTGAAGCTGGATATTGCCACCAACTGGTTTGTTAGAAAAGTGACATAGTTCCGTTTTGATTACCTTAGGCATCCCGTCACTTTCACCCATCAGGTAGTCTATCAGCTGATTGGTCAAAGCGATGTCCTTGGCCTGGCCCACCTAAATGGACGACACACACACATCAAATAACACACACAGACTCCGTCGGATACCCCGAATAAGTTAGCAACAAACACATCTCACCGTCTCGATAGCCATTTCGATAGCCAGGTTGTCCTCTGTGTTGGGGCACTTCAGGAAGTGCTTCAGGGCCTGAGAGGAGGACAAGAAGAAGGAAGCCGCATAAATAATTGAACCTCTCAGAACGTGACTGACACAGGATCGTGAAAACCAGGGACTCTTACTCTGCTGTACTGCCCACACTTCTGAAAGAACTTTCCAGCCTGCAGGTGCTTTTTCTCTCCTTCAAAGTACAAAGCAATGCTCTGGTAGTCCTCCTGTGTAGCTTCGGGGCCTGAGAAACACACATCACTGAATACCAATGTGTACCTCCCTCCATTTGGATAACAAACATAAAAAGCAAAGCCACCAGAAACTGATGCAAAAGGAGGGCACTGTGGAGGTTTGGTAACATCTGTATAGTCTCCACACACAGACTGACCGATGATGTCCGCGTAGACCTCCATCTGCCCGTGCTGCTGGGCCAGCTGGAAGGCCTCATCGTTGCACTGGGACAGAACCAGGAAGTGGATAGCTGAGCCGTAGTCGTTCAGCCTCAAGAAGAACCTTTGAACATGTTAAAAAAAAAAAAAAGAAACGGAGGAATGATGCGGTGATGCTGAAAGGTTGTGATATCAAAAGACTGACCAGTCAAAAAAAGAGGAAGAAAGCTTGTATCTGACTTCATTTAAAGCAGTTGGATCAAAAACATGTACACTTACTATTTCTTTATTTTATCGTTTATGTTCTAACTGGTTCTTTAGTTATTAATCAGCAGAGACAACTTTCAAAATAATTTGAGGCTGGTAACTCTAGACTGATTATTTACATCTCAAATACCTCAAAACAAGCGCTTGATTAAATAAAAATCTGAAAAAGAAGAGGAACAGACTCCACTGGTTTTCCAATCATACAAAAAAACACACGTTTTTAAAAATGTAACATTTAAGGAGCGTTAACCAGAAAACTCCCTCATGTAGAGACGGAGGGCTACCTAAGTGGACATCGTTTGTCACATTTGTCCTACCTGGCCACCATCTTTGCCCCGTCGATGCTCTGCGTCTCCCTGACGATGCGCACGGCGTCCTCGGGGTTGTTCAGGTGGTCCAGCAGCACGCGGATCACGTTGTCCCAGTCCTTGGCGCTCTCGTAGGCCTGAGCTGCGTCCTTGTACCTGAAGCACACGGCAGCCCTGGCATCAGATCCCCCCGCCCCTCTCCACCCCCCCTGCGGAGGGGGGAAAGGCGCCAACACCCCCACCTGCCGTCCGCCTCCTTGGCCTTTGCGTATTGCAGGTGGATCTTAGGGGAAGACACGTTTGGAAGCAGCTCCCCCACCTTGGCCCTGGGAAAAGAGCAACGACGAGGGGTGGTTTTATTTTATTATCTTTAAAAGAGGACACTCCAAAGCTTTTAACATGCTAATATTTGTCTCACCAGTTCTTGCAGCGGATGTACACAGAGGCAGCCTTGTCGTAATACTGGCCCTTTTCAAAGAGCTGAGCAGCTTCAGAGAATTGCTGTCACAAAGGGGAGGGGTGGTCAAAAATAACACAAAAAAAAAAAACAATCACTGAGACGCTTTAAAAAAAAAAAAAAACTTTTTCAGTACCTTCATGCTTTCCAGTATGGCTCCGCATTCCTTTTTGAGGATTCTGCTAGGATGCTGGATGGCCTGAGCGGCTCCTCGCCTGATGTCCCCCATCCTGATGGACATCCTGGCCACGCCGGCCTGGCACGCCTCGTCGTGCTCCTGGAACTGCGCAGGCAGGGGTTGGAGGAGGGGGCAGGGGAGAACGGAGCTGGTGTAAAGTCATCCAAGCTTTTTTTCGGGAACCGAATGAACTGTGAGACCGCACTTACTTTATTGTTGTGTGTCATGCCTTTCTCATAATGTGCCAGCGCATTCACATAATCTCCACTACAAAAGAGAAGAGGAGGGGTTCAATGGTGGGTTAAATCAGGGGCGAGTGGGGTAGTTTTGTGAGTGTGAGATGCTTGTGAACACCTACATAAACTCCAGATGCACGGCGTACTCTTTGGATATGAATGGGATCTGGTCTTCTGCGAGCCTCTTGGCCAACATGAGAGCGCTGTCCCAGTGCAACAGGTCTCTTCTCATCTAACATCCACAAAAAACATCAGACGATTTGAAACCTCTGGCACACGCAACGCTGTGTGTTTGATGTCTGACATTGACGTTAGCGGGATATGAACACGGGCGTACCTCCAGCGCAGCGATGGGGCTGCTGGAGGACAGATAAAGGTCCTGGGCCAGGTTGTAGTCTCCGAGGAACATGGCCAAATGTCCCGCCACCAAGTTCTTGTCCTCGATGCCCTGGGAGGAGTGAGATATGTGAGCCCTAGGTGAAGGCCCGGTGTTGGTGGGGGGGGCGAAGCGAAGCGTGTGTGCACCTGGAGGCTCTGCAGGGACAGCACCATGCCCATGCTGCCGCTCATGCGGTACACCTGGATGGCCAGCTCCACCTCCATGTTGACCAGGCAGGCTTTGCCCAGCTCGGTCCAGTCGGCGTCGCTGCCCGCAGACTTGCACAGGCGCCATGCCTCATGGAACCTGGGCGGGCAGTTGACAGGTGACAGACTTCCCCTAAGGAACCTCTCTGATTTGTCATTTGAATGTTTCCTAAATGCAATTTAATAGTTAGGTATAAATAAATAGAAATATCTCTCAAATCTCTCTTAATTAAGCGCAAAGCACAAAACGTCTGCAGTGGACAAAACAGATGTTTGCAGATTTCTCTGAGCAGTAAATGTAGAGTTAATTAACATTAACTGTTGCTTCATGCACTAATGCAACTCATGCCATCATCATGTAACATCTTCAAACTCAGACGGCAGGTGCCCGAATCCCTCAAAGCAGAGTTAAGAGCAGGGCGGACCTTTTGAGCATGAGAGCCTGAGCCAGCTGTTTGCTGAGCTCCTCTGCCGAGTCCGTCGCTGGGTGCTTCAGGAAGGAGTGCGTGCTGAGGGCCACCTCGCTGGTCTTACCGCTTGCCGTCTGACACGTCAGGTCGCCGTTGTACAAGAGCAAAGGCTTCTGGGAGAAGAGCAGCGCAGTGCTGCCCACCGACACCACCTGGGGGCCTGAGCAAAGCCACGGCTTCTTTTAGCTGTCTGAGCTTTTCTAAAAACCTTTTAAAAGGGAAGTTTTTGCTGAGAGGGCGTGGCGCACCCCCCTACCGTATATGGTGGTTTTATGCAGGGCGTAGGTGTAGACCTTGTCTTCGTCATAGGCCACAAACACTCCTCTGTCCGAATGCCAGTTGTCCCACAGCACTCCTGTGATGGTGGGGGAGAAGTTGGGCAGCTCAAAGCAGGAGGCCGTAGCCTGGATTGGACACGTAAACACATTTCCGGGTTTCATTTTTATCCCTAAAGAGACAAATCTGTTTTGGGGTGACGGCGTAAAATGAGTACTGACGTTTGACGGTGAGAAAAGGAAGCCGTCATTCTTGTCATCGATGAACACCAGCCGCGTGCCATTTACGTCGGGGAACACCTTCCTCACGCCGACTGGATGGCTGTAGCTACTCACCGCCTCCAGGTCCTCCACAAACACACACACCACGTTGCCTTGCTGAGAGGAAAAAAAAGACAGCTTGCATAAAAAGCCTGCCAACGCTGCCGAGCTTAAACGGAAGGTGGAAAGCCGGAGGACTAGATGAGTAGTCGCTGGGCCTTACGTCGGTGCCGTAGTAGAGGAAATCGGCGGTGAGGGCGTGGCAAAGGATGCGATCTTTTCTGTCATCGTCCGGGAAAAGCTTCATCTGCTTCCTCTCCTGCTGGTCTTTGCCTTCGATCTGAAACACAGCATGGGTCAGTGGGATGACGGTCAGTGGAACAGTCCTGCTGCGGCTCGGAGGTTATCGTGGCTCACCATGTGCAGCTGCACCTTTCCTTCAAACAGCGCCGCCGCGTAGTCCGCGTTCAGGCACATGCTGGCTATCGTCCCCAAATACTCCACGTCCTTTAGCTTGTTGAAACCTGAGTGACCAAACAAAAAACACACAAAAAAGCATTTAGATTGTATAAAAAGTGCTGACAATCCCCCACTGTGACATGACTTGTATTTGTACGCAACTCATTTGTACGCAAGTGCGGTGCGGACATACACACCAGGCTTTTGGTCTACCAGGGCATAAAACCAGGCTTTGTTGTTCATCCCAACGGCCACATGGTACGGCCCCACTGCGATGAACGTGGGCTCTACCTCCACCTCGATGGCAACGGGACTCTCCTGACAACACAATGCAAAAGGAGGAAACTTAACATTGTACCTAATCCCTCACAACACACAGGCTTTAGGCCTAGAAACAAATTACAAAAACCCTTTATTGTAAAATACACCCTCTAATGCTTTTTCAGTAAATTATATTCTTGTTATTAATAGAAACAGCTTGATTTATTAGGTCTAATTAGTGGCTAGTTGGACTTTGTACAATGGATTTGCATACCAATTCACACTTACGTGCGAAAGCAAAAATAACTCTATCTCTGGAAATTTTCTCCCCATAGTATTTTCTATCATGAAATGTAAATGCCTCGCTTGAATGGACATATTTGAGAGTTTTGAGAGTCACCCCCAATCTCAAAGGTAGCAGATCATGCAGGTTCTAGACAAGAGGCTGATGTTGTCTTTTTGATGCTATCGTGACTACAAAGTAACACTTTGAAACACAAAAAAAGTCTATTATGTGTGTAACATAATAAACAGCACTGCGGCGCTCACCCCTTCCACCTGGTTGGAGACGGTCACCTCCAGCAGGGAGGTGAGGTAGGCCATCCGCGTGCCAAAGCTGCCCCCCAGGATGGGGAGCTTGGTTAGGAAAACGTGAAGAGTCCCTTTTTGCGTGGAAACTGCCAGCAGCTGACCATCATCTGTCCAGCTCATCTGATCGAGACCTGCAACGGGAGACGCAAAAGAGGCGGGCGGTGCTTTGGAGACGCCTACATCAAGACCGTCGAGTTGATTTGAAAACAAAAACTACAAAAAACCAATCACCTTTGGTCTCATCATCCAGCTGGACTATGCTGCTGATGTCATTGAGATCAGAGAGCTCGTAGATCTTTATGCTGCAACAAAAACACCCATGTTTCTTTTTTTTAAAGTTTTTTTTTACCTCTAACAAAACAAGGGAAGCTTTTCTGTCTTTAAAGCCCTGTGTACCTGTTGTCGCCGCAGGTCGCGGCCTTGTTTAGGGCTGGCGAGATGGCCACGCTGTTGAGACTGTCTTTGTGGTTGTGCGCCTGATAGAGCTCCCCCCCAATCTCTCTGATGTGAGTAGAGATACCTACGAAATATCCATTTGAGAAGCCGATGAGTATATACCCATCGCCGTACCTGCGCGGTCAAAGAGGAAACAAGTTTTTAGTACGAGTGCGTGGCTCTGAATTAGTACCGGCCTGAGGGTGGTGCGTGAGTGTGTGAAGTACCAGCGGTAGGACACGATGTTGCCATAGCGCCGCTGAAAAGTCAGCTCTATCGGGTTCTGAGGGTCATTGACGTTGACAAGCGTCAGTATCTTCTTGTCCACAGCCACGCTCACCTGGAAAGTCATGTGACATCCGCCATGATGGAACAATAAATCACCGTATTTGTGTTCATTTGAATTTTTTGTGGGTTGTAAGTCTTTCAATTAGTTCCCACCAATTCCTTAATTCCTGTTTTAAGCAAGAAAGGTTAGCTTTAATCTTACGTACACAAAAATCAGAATCAGAAGAAATGTATGCATATAAATTTCTCATAATTAAATCTTTTTAGGGCTTTTTTTGCTCTTGCTCTGTATATCAACAAAGTAGCGCATATGGCAGGAATAAAGTTTGAACTTTTGTCATTAGTGTCAGACATGAGAATGATTAAAGTATAGATAAAGATGGTACTGTTTTCCAATTCCAGCAAATAGACACATTCTTCTTTAACCATAAATCAGGTCTACATTGTGTACCTGAGGCTTTCCAAATGGTATATGGAAAAAAAAACTAGAAAGGGGAAAGACCTTAAATGCTGCAGATTGAAACTGAATTGTTGTTTCTTCAGTTTCCTAAACAACCCCACCCAGCCTGTAAAGATTATCCCAGAGGGAAGCAGGGGCAAACTTCAAGTAACATTAAAGAAAAACATGGGAAGTTGCAGAAAACAAACTCACAGTGTTCTCCCCTTGAGAAGACCTCTCATCCGTTTTCATCACAGAAAAGTACATTTCTGCTGGTTCTCCGTGAAGCGATGTCTAAGAAAGACCAGAAACACAAAACAGTTTCCTAACCTTCATCTTATCTCACGGCCCCGGCGGCGATAAAAGACGTGCTAGCAGCAGAATGCTGCACAAACGCTACCTGTCTGATGGTGTCCCCCTCATGATTACTAATACTCAGACTGTGGTCGTCACTTCCTAGAGCCAGCAGATTCTGAGAACTCCAGCATCCACAGGTGATTTTCTTGGTGTGTTTACCTGGCACGTGGGAAGAAAAGTTGAATGCTCTACTATAATACCAACTATAAACAAACCCCCAAAAAGTGCAAACACTGAGTGTGCATGTTACCCAGAACAGGGATCTTGCGAGATGTTTGCTGGTTGTAGATCAACAGGTTTCCTTTAGCTGTCCCCACAGCCAACAGAGGACCTGCCTTTGACCACAAAATGAACGACATCTGGTCTTTGCTGAAAGCAGATACGGAGAGGGAGCAAACCCAGAGTGTTACACATGATGACCTCTCCCTCTCTGATGAGAACACACAGGGGCGTCATACCTCATTCCGCTATCTATCTGGGATGTTTTACTGACACTGGCATCCCAGAGGAAGATGGAGCTGGACTTTGCTGCAATCACAGCCAGAATATCTCCATCCTTATCCCAGTCCATGCCCACGCAGCGTCTAATGGGAAAGATAAGGAAAAGACAGAGGAGGTGAACTTTGAACTATATGGACCATAAAGTGTTAAACGGCTACACAGTGATGAGCTCAAGGCACAGACCTAAAGATATGTGTTCTCACACTTACCCTGGAAGAGATAGTTCCGTCCATTTGTTTCCATGTCGATCAAATATCTTCACTGAGTTATCCTGTCTGGTTACAAGCACATTTTTCAATTAATGTCAGTTTTGAGGACTTTGTCGTCCATCCTCTTGGATTACTCACCCTGCAACAGCGATGTAGTTACCAAGGCTTTTCTGCCACTTGTACAGCAGGTTAGAACCCACCCAGGCTTGGTCAGCAAGGACGAAAACACTCTGTGGACACCAAGATTCTTTTTGAAAACCTTAACTATGCATTTTCTTTAATCTTTTTTGTTTGAGGACAACAATTAATGTATTTCCGAATTGCCTAACTATGTGTGAGTGTGAGTGTGTGGTAGAATAATTCAATCTTCAAATACGGTGTCAAGTGAATTTTTAAGAGGTTTTGGATCCAGCACCTTCTGAGTTTTTGGGAGGATTAACACACCCTGAAGCAAACATTTTGACAATTTTTCTCATCAACATTTAGAAGCCCTGGCTAAGAGCTGAGCTCATTACTGAGATGGTAAATAACCAGGCAACGATGGGCAGGTTGTGAAGGCCACAATACAGTTGTGAACTGTTTTTGTTGTACATCCACAAAGCTGCATCCCACAGAGCCTTAAACAACCAGAAATAAATTCAATTAAACCAGTTTTTACTCATCTAGGTCTATAGTGGCGATGTTCTGTTATATGTTGGTCACATATAAGTTAGAGGCTAAACAAACTGAAAATCATTTGATTCAATATTAATGAACAGGTTATACTTTTTAATGCATTTACAAGAATTTGCATTTGTTCGTACCTTAAAGACAACAAACGGGAATAAACCAGGAAAATAATTCAATAAATGAATAAGATGGCTAGCAGCCAAAATCAGAGCTGTTGCTTAACAAACGTAACTTTAGCTTAAACGATAGCTAAGAGCTGCATACAATTAGCTGGTAAATAGCTTGCTCGCAGAAGAAGGTAAACGTAACTTTTAATTAGTAAAACAACCAAAACAACCGGGGTTTTTAATACTTTCTTTTTCTGGCACCAACCTTCATAGTAGCGGGGTTTATCGCTTATTATTTGTATGGATTTCTTCTTTTCAAAACATCTTCGACATAAACGTTGTGTGTGTGTTTCCCATGATGCATCACTTTGAAGCGTCTGCTACGGCGATGTCATAGCAACAACGGGTAGCCAATGAGGAGCCTCCAATACAGGAGCCGAAGCAACAGGTCCTTGATTAATCTTTGATAAAATGTTCGAAAACATGGATGCTTAGTACTGTCGCTGGTGTCTTGGCACTTAGAGACAAATATAAATGTTGTATTCGGATAAATTACGGTGTATTTATGTTGTACGTTGTTGATGTTATAATTACACAAAAAAGGTGTATTTTTGACATTGGGAGCAATGGGTGTTTAGCTTGCATTGCGGAAGAATATACATTATAAAGTTTGTTTTCATAAACCATTAACATACAAGACCAGGGATGCAATCTTCAAAATAAAGAAATACACAAATAAACTTCAACAAATATAGGTAGATTAAGTACATTTTAAACACCTGAAGCATTTTTAATTATATAAAGAATGACAATAACTGTGTCCAATATACTTATAAGTACCAAAGGTTTTTTGTTGTTGTTTTTTTTCATGTTTACTTTTGATTTTTTAAGCTGCTCAAATATTTGTTAGCAGACTGGGAGAAGAAGAGAAAGAAATTATAATGGAGAGATTGAAATGAAGAAAAACTGGACGACTTGGGGCAGTAGGAAGAAAGTGAAAGAGAACATCTGGAAAATATTTTTTCTGAACATGATGAGTTGATTTGAAAATCTGTACTTCCAGCACTAAGCCTGAGGGTGGCAGCTTTGGACAGCTGTGTAGAATTGAATCAGTCAGTCTCTGTAACATCTGCCTCACTCTTTTACCCTGAAAGTGTTCCACAGAGCTTTTTGGCAGTTAGCAAATACTACCTTTTTTTTTTTTCTACTGTGGAGTTCTGGCTGACCGCTGGCCTATACATACCTGTGTTCATCCAAAACAACACGAGGTCAACTTGTGCTTATAAATTGGTTCCTGGCCAAAAACACGCTGCAATGGTACTTTCCTGTGGGTGATGGATGAATGACAGCTCCTTTATCCTGTGCAATTTGCCGAACTGTGAGGAAATACCAGCTGTGACACAAATACTCTTTGGTGTGCTCTGGCGTGCCCAAGCTGAATACACCCTGCTGACTCAGATCTCATTAAGATGCACAGAAGCGAGCAGCTGAATGCTTTTCAAGCAAAATAATAAAAATAGATCAGTGAAAAAGTTTTGGGGGAGAGAGAAAAGAACTCATTGAAATATGAATGCAGCACAGTGGGGTTTTTTGCAGGCAAGACAATAAAACCCAAAGGAGTAGGGCTTTATTGGTTTGTGGCAGTCTATTTTAAACAAAAAAGTAAAAGTGGCTCAACGCACTTATCTTTCTTTTCATCCTATGAATCCTCAAACATGATTAATTTATCTGTGGCCAATAAACTGTTCAGAGGTTGCTTAACCTCATGTTTCTGCCGCTGCAGAGATAATTAGGTTATAATTAGTTGCATATCTGCTCATTGATCTTTATTTGTGAGCAGAGAATTCACACAGAACTTTGCTTCATTCCTTTTAAATCATACAGATGTTGGATCTTGCCCGGTTATCATGAAAAATACAGTGCTTTCTGAGACATCTGAGTGTCCAGTAGACAAAATTTTAAAGATGATGATCATTTCGTGCTTAGCCAGGGGCATCCCTGCAGGGTAATCCAGAAAAACACACGTAGTTTGGTATTAGGACAAAATAAAAAAAGATCAGCTCCTTCTTTGGTATTATAATGAGGTAGATAGAACCTCAAAATGCTATTAACGATAATGAAAATTTATATTTTTTTTACATGATAGCCAGCTACAGGCACGGGAACTTGAAAGAACGATTTTCTGGCTGATGTTATCAGTTTCCTGCACCATTGTGGAAGAATTTTGGCCCCCATCATTTTGCAGTATTGCTTCAGGTCATTGAGGCTTTTGAACATGTATTTATTCATAGCCCTCTAACAATTCTGCCACACCACATGAATCAGATTGAGATCTGGGCTTTGACTGGACCACAAAAACACCTTGATAATTCTTTGTTTTTTTCTTCAAACGATTTGTTGGAAGCAAGTGAAAATGCTTACGGTCATTTACTCAGTGCATCTGATTTATACTACCTTTCTGGCACTAACTCTCCTAATTCCCACAGAAAGAGCAAAGGTGGACTTTATAGCTCAATATTTCTTTGTTTTGGCTGCGGTTAAATGAATGAGAACACAATTTAAAATGTCAAAATTGATTTTAATCTATGGTCGTGTTGTTGAATGTATCCATTTTGAAGGCTTAATTATTTACATTTAATTTGTATATCTCTAAAAGATGAGAATCTAAAAAATCTATTTAAAAAAAGAATGCAAGATCTGCAAATCTCGTAAATCATTATTTTATTCATAAAAGAGCATATAAAACAAAGATATTGAGCAAATGTTGCAATATTTTGCAACATTTTTATGTCCCTGCATTTTCATGTTTGTAAGCCTCATTCTGAAATTGCTCTGTAATTTTTGGAAACAATTTTTGCTTATAGCTAAGTCTGCTTATCTTTATGTCTGAGAGACTCTGCCTCTCATATGTGCTCTTTTATTTATGTTACAGACCTGTCACAAATCTGTCTAAGTTATCCCAATTTTTTTCTCCTGCTGTTTCTACTAGTATCACTTGCCTCAACAATTTGTTCAAGAAAATTGATAAAGGATCTCATTTCCATCCTCCATGCTGTTTTGAATAAAATATTGGTCCATGAAATTAGTACATTATTTGTATTGTTTTATGGACATTTAGAACAGCATCATAAACATTCTTCACACAGCAAAACTTCTTTCTAAACCATCAATGAATAAACTCTCAATCCCTCACAAATAGTGACAAACATGTTCACTTGTTGCAACATTTTAAGTTGTGATGATTAGACCTTGTACGTTGAAGAATTTTTTTCCCACAAACTGAAACGTGAAAAGCCAAAGGCCAACGTCTCCCTGTCCCCTGAACACAACAGACCCGTGTGTGCGTCTTCATTGACAGTGGACGTTGAGCATCAGGGCGCCCGTCTGCCTCCCCCCCTCTTGTTTTCATCAGCCATAATGGACTCAGATCCTGTTAAGGCTACTGGGCAAGGTCTCTGGCATCCTCTCTCACGGGCCCGTTCGTCAAAACTACTTATGATTTACAGCTTCTGCCGCAATAAATAACGGAGCGGCTCAGTTGGCCACCGGTCGCTGTAACGGGGTTGAAGAACCCATAAATCGCCAGCATTCCTCCTGCTTTGACACTTGTTTCAGCCGACAGACACCCCGCAGCCACTCTGACAGGAGAAATGCGCACCAGGATGAACTTCCAGGCACAGGAGACGCACTCAGAGCATCCCCCAAAACCGCCCAGCAGAGCCGATGGGGAAACAAACATGTTTGCAGCGTGATGACATTCATGGTGATTGTGACAAATGCGAACAGGCTCCTAAGCAGATAAACGAACATGGGAATAAAACATCTGCACGTTAAGTGCGCGATTATCAGGCGTTGACAGGAAAGACAGAGGCGACTTTTAAATCAGATGTCGACTTTTATTGTAGAAAAGAGCGCTGAGCATCAGAGCATTCTGCGTGTGCGGGGTGGTGGAGGTGTTAACATTCAGCACGGCAGGACGAGGTGCGCAGCTGGGGCACCAACTGTCTTTATTACACCTCTTCATCATCTGAATCCAAGGTACCAAATAAAAAAAATAAAAAAAAAAAAGAGCAGCAGACAATTGCACATTGTATATTTAGTGGGCATAGTACACAGCGTAACGCAATAACACCACATCCACATTTCTTATTTTTCTATGTACACATTATACAATCCACTAAGAACATTATTTGGAATGCGTCCGTTTTAACTGTTAGTCAGCGTCTGGTACAGCAGACACAAACGATGACACGCTTTCTCTGCTGAGATGGAAAGAGAATCACTCTAAATGAGCAGCTTTGATTGGGGAGGACACCAAAAAAAGGATGCAGTAAACAGGAGTAAACATCGGCTCGGCCGCAGGGAAATGCTGGCCTCCCCCCACCCCCCGTCTGAGCTTTTTAGATGTCATGCTGGAGAATTTTGGAGCCTTTTCCAAACATCAGTGTCTCCCGGGACACGTTCGGTATGATGGTGCGTCTTAAAGCAAAAAACGCAGGAGTGCGCACCCCGTCATGTTTGGATGAAAAGTGCATCCTGTGGGCTCCATTAGAGCTGGATCTGTCGGTTCAGACTAGGGTGCGTGGTTTGGCTCTCACTGTCAGTTTTCCCCACTTAGAAAAAAAGAAGAAGCAGAGATCCAGCGTACATACAAATACACCAAAAGACAATTCAAACGAACAGCGTGAAATTGCCCTGTAACTGCGCACAATTGCAGGTTTCTTGTGGGCCGCAGTTAAGGACACGTGCGTGTGTTCCACAGATTTGTGTTCACCGCCTGTCTTACACTTGCTTAGTGTATAAAAACCTCAAATCCAATAAGGCGTTGAACATAATATCAATCAGAATGCGGGCAACGTCGGAATAAATATTATTAAACTCGGGGTCTCATCATAAGGTCTGTTCTTTTTTTGTCTGGGTACCCAATTCTGCTACGAAATGAAACGGTGCACGGATCTGTGTGTGTTCGCGTGAGTGGCGATGAAATGGGAAAACGTGGATGAAGAGAGAGCAGCAGGGAGCTGAGGATGTGGAGAGGGGAACGGAGGTAGGATTCTCATTTGAGATAAAAATATACTTCTGGCAATCTCCAAAGACCCAACACTAGCACACACTAACACACAGGCAGTGATGAAACATATACAAAGGATGAAAATAAGATGGCTGGGAGACAGAAAAAGCCAATCAAGCCCTGATGGGGGAAAAAAGAACAGGCCTGTAAATAGCTGACCTTGTGCTCCAGGGGAAACTGAAAACAAAATTTCCCTGCAGGGATTAACACAGACCCACAGAGCCGTTATTTACTACCCAGGCTGTAAACCTATCAACACCGCTTAATGGAGCTCCATTAATAA